ACACATGGTTCCAGGTCATCAACAAGCTTGCATGCGTAGTTGCAACGCGCCAAGACGCCTCGGCAACTTGTGAGTAGCAGTACGGAGTAGGAGTTGAGGGCACTCGTGGCGAAGGAGGTGTGCTTGCGCCGTCAAATGGTGCTGGATGTGTGTTGCCTTGTCAGCAGTGCATGGCGGATTGCCAACACCATTTGATAATACTGCCATATGGCGGACAGGCCACCATTGTGCTCTGCAAAATAAGACAGGATAGAATTCTGCTCTTCCCTGTACCACTTGATGTTTTGCCTTTGGATACAAGGTTTACCGCGTCGCATGATTCCGCAAAGAGGATGTAGCGAATGGCGAGGGTAAATCGGCGAATAAGAAGCTTCGTAAAACTCGACCGAACCTTGTTGAATTCTTTACTCCGTGCGAAGTACCAGAACACCACTCCACGTTTTGTCGAGGCCAACAACAAGTATACCCCAAAAGCCCTCGCACAGCGTGCCAGCAGACTGTGTGTTTGTGATATATATCGGCCCGCTCATTAAGAGCCTGGCACTTGGCATTCTGGCATTCTGGAACCCGAATACGTTGCGACTGGCGCGTTGTGGCCCGGGCTCTCTGCTTTTATTGTAGTACTTCGTACTTGGGATAACTGGCAACTTTCAACTTTTTTTTTTTTTTGACCCGCCTCCGCCCCAACCATCCCCAGCACTTTCGGTACTCTCTTCAATCGCACGCCCCTTGCTGTTTCTTCACGCCCCTCATAAACCCCCGTAATATTTCTCTTCTTCCCTTCCCTTTAAATCCTGGGGTTTCTTTTTTAGTTGGAATCCCCCTCTCATCCTCCATCCATCTTTCCTTTCTATATTTCCTTCACCCTCAATCCTCGTCGATTTCAACATCGTCTCACATCACCCCCATTGTCTGTGGATCCGTCTCACTAGGGGATTCTGTTGAGCTTATAGAAACGCCCGGTTTCTTTGCAGGAGCGAGCAACTCACCCCAGATTGAGCAGTATATTTCGCAAAAACCGAGGTGAACGACGGCATCATCCGGACAATGTCGTCCTCATCTTCGGCTGTTCAGGCTAAGGCCTTTCCCGATGGCACAACCGATTACGTGCCTCTGCGAGGCAAAAAGGCAGACTTCAACAAAGTTCACATATCCGATACTCCTATGACTTGGTCGAATTGGCATAAGCACGTCAACTGGCTAAACACCACATTTATCATTTTCATTCCCTTGGCCGGTTTCGTCGGTGCCTACTGGGTTCCCCTTCAGCTTTACACTGCCATCTTTTCCGTCATCTATTACTTCAATACCGGCCTTGGTATTACAGCTGGTGAGTTTACGCTGCCAACGCAACCTGACATTGGCTCCAAGTTTGTACCGGAAAACTAACAGTTTATATAGGTTATCACCGTCTCTGGGCTCACACCTCATATAGAGCCAGCACCCCTCTCAAGATTTACCTTGCCGCCGTCGGTGCTGGTGCTGTCGAAGGCTCTATCCGTTGGTGGTCCCGCGACCACCGCGCTCACCATCGTTATACCGACACTGAGAAGGATCCCTACTCTGTTCGAAAAGGTCTCCTCTACTCTCACCTGGGATGGATGGTCTTGAAACAGAACCCCAAGCGTGCTGGCCGAACCGACATCACCGATCTCAACGAGGACCCTGTCGTCGTCTGGCAGCACCGGAACTATCTCAAGTGTGTCATCTTCATGGGCCTCGTCTTCCCTACCTGCTTCTGCGGTCTCATGTTCAATGACTGGCTTGGCGGGTTTGTGTATGCCGGTATTCTGCGTATTTGCTTCGTCCAGCAGGCTACTTTCTGTGTCAACTCTCTGGCTCACTGGCTTGGTGACCAACCCTTCGATGACCGCAACTCTCCTCGTGACCACGTCATCACTGCCATTGTCACCCTTGGTGAGGGTTACCACAACTTCCACCATGAGTTCCCCTCCGACTACCGAAACGCCATTGAGTGGTGGCAGTATGATCCTACCAAGTGGGCCATTTACGCCTGGAAGATGCTTGGTCTCGCCTATGACCTCAAACAGTTCCGTGCCAACGAAATCGAAAAAGGTCGCGTGCAACAGCTGCAGAAGAAGCTCGACCAGAAGCGTGCCACCCTCGACTGGGGTACGCCTCTCGAGCAGCTGCCCGTTATTAGCTGGGATGACTTTGTCGCCGAGTCTAAGAACGGCAAGGCTCTTGTTGCCATTGCTGGTGTCATACACGACGTGACTGACTTTATCAAGGACCACCCCGGTGGCAAAGCCCTCATCTCATCCGCTATTGGCAAGGACGCCACTTCTATCTTTAATGGTGGTGTCTACAACCACTCCAACGCTGCCCACAATCTCTTGTCTACCATGCGCGTTGGTGTTCTCCGTGGTGGATGCGAAGTTGAGATTTGGAAACGTGCTCAGTTCGAAAACAAGGATGTCACTTATATGAATGACTCCGCTGGTCAGCGAATTCACCGTGCCGGCACCCAGGTCACTAAGGTTTCTCAGCCCGTCGCCAGCGCCGATGCCGCTTAAATGGTTGAGCAAAGTGAGAAAAAAAAATAATGTTTGTCAACGACTTGAGTACCTTGAATTTCTAGCGTGGTAAAGGCGGGGGAAGAGACGAGGGAAACAATCATGCATCATGGTGAAACTATTAGCAAACGAAATCTGCAAATCATGAAACCGGCGTTACTGGGCGAGTTCGAATTATGTGTCAGTGTCGATTTGTGCCTGCTGAGTTATGGAGCTCAATGATCACCAACAAGAGACTGAAAAAAAAGAAGGCAATGCTGTCAAGGGGAGGCGGTTGTGTATAGATATCCTTCAGCAGAAGTGTATGTGGTCCGCAGCCCTTGCACTATTGGCCCCATGAAACATATTTTACTGCGAGAAATGAGATATTCCCATTGTTCCACCTGTGATATTATTGTCTTAACGGTAATTCATTGAAAACAAGTACATGATTCCTCACATCATTACAGTCAGAGTAAAGCACTTGGTGCAAATGAATCGTTGCGTTGCGCCCCCCATCTTTGGCTTCATAAAGGCACGTTGCATTCGCCACTAACTGTGTCTCGGTGCTATTGCGACACCTGATGACTCCAATAAGGGCGGGTTCGAAATCGTAAATTCGTTGACTCCTTTTCGCAAAAATGCATCACCCCGTAAAACATTGTCAAGGCGTCGCCATCCTCGCCTTGACCATGACCAGCTCTGAACTCTTGGCCCACACCCCGTCTGGCGTCTGTCTATAAAACAACAACCGTCCATCATCCCCTGTGCTACCAAAAATCTGTCCATCGTCATCAAAGCCCACTCTCCACACGGGCGTCCTATGACTATCCAGTCTCGAGATTTCCCTGTGTGTATGATGTACCTGGCCCGGCTGCCCGGACCACTGTCTATCGCCCGCGCTCCCAGACTTGGCAAGACTGGCGCTCAATGTCGACGGATGGGGGTGTTTCGCGGCGGCCTCGTCCTTTGTCGGCGAGCCCCTGGCGGATGATGCGTGGCCCCTGGACTTGAGCAGGTGGCCGGCGGACCACGACTTGCCGTCGTCGTCGGAGAAGGGCGTGTCGACGCGGAAGACGCGCGCGTAGCCGTCCTGGCAGGCCGTCGCGATCATGTCGTACCCCCGTATGTTGCCCGGCGCCCAGGCCACGTCCCGCACGAGGCCCCGGTGCCCGTGTATCTCGGCCGCCAGGTAGAACTCCTTCTGCGTCTGGGCGACCCCGTAGGAAGCCGTGACGATGTCACGCGACCGGTAGACCTTGACGGTGTCCATGCCGGCGACCACGATGCCCAGCGAGTCCGCGCCCACGCCGGCCCGCAGCGCCGCGTAGCACGGCTCCGGGTTCGGGTCGAAGCGCACCTTGAAGGAGACCTCCTCTCCGCGATTCGGCTTGCTGCATATGCTGAACTCGTCGATGGACGTGTACTCGGACAGGTTCTCGGGCTGGTCGTTCTCGTAGACGGTGAGGCGGCCGTCGGTCGCCAGGAGCGCGAGGTACGTGTGCCGCGTCTCCTCGTTGTGCTTCATGCTGAAGGAGCGGTAGGGCGCGCGCGTCGAGCGCGTGTCAAAGGCTGGCCGCCCGCCGACGGAGCGGCCTGCGCAGAAGCGGCGGCCTGGCGCGGCCGAGGGGTCTTCGGCCCAGAGCCGGAACCAGCCTTCGATGCCGAGAGACGCGACGAGGTTGGGGTATATCGTTGCGGGGAGCCATTGGAGCTGTGTGGTTGAGAGAGAGAGAAACAGAGAGAGTTAGTCGGAAGAGCTGAGGGTTGGGAAGCAAGAAGTGGTCGAGGTGGAGGCGGAGGGGACGGAACGTACTTCTAGAACTTCACCGCCGTGGGCCGTCCATGTGTCGCATAACCGCCAGGTGCCGTCTTTATGTCTATTGAAGACACGGATCTTGCCATCTACTGAGCCGGTGGCGCAGCGGTCGCCGTAGGTGTTGAAGGCGATGGCTTGGACAAGGTCCTTGTGTCCGTGTTGGAGGTTCAAATCAAAGGCTTGCTTCTCTGAGATGGGGGATGATGGCCCCGAGGCGGCCATTGCGGCGGCCGAGAAGTGGTAGTTAACAATTGGCGAAAGTTATTATTGCTGCGATTAATCATAGAGGGCCTTGGAGTGTGCGATGGGTTGCGGATGGCGTTGGACGTCGTGGGAGTCAAAGCTTGGATGGAGGATGGCGGGATGATTGGAGGCTCGATTGCGTGGGCAGCTGCCAGATCCACCAACTCGCTCCTTCCTTGGCACATGCTCGGCTCCACTTGGCTTGAGCTCGTGTAAGTGACGGTTCTTGGGAAAGAAAATGCGACAAGGAACTTGTTTCCTTTTCTGAAAATAACTATGCTTCCGGAAGACGCCTCAACATAGCTGCTCTTGGTCCTAAGACCAAGTCGGTTTCATCGCGCGTCGAGGAAGGCTATGGTTTTGGTGGTGGTCAACGCTCTTGCAAAGTGCGACCCAGTATATAGCGTTGTGATATGTAATAATTATGCAGCTATATGCAATATAATATTCCAGCTTAGCAAGTCGACCCGACCAAAAGTCCCAAACAGAATTTCAAAGTACAGCTAGAGCACAAATAACACGCAATATAGAGCATAAGTGATATGACAGAAACGCCGCCCAGATGCAGCTGTCCAAATTTCAAGTCAGCAGCCATCAGAACCACATACCCGGCGGGCAGCCGGACAACTGCACCGTCTCACTCCCTGACTCCGCCACCAACTTTCTTACTTCACTCGAGCTAATCCCGTTGATATCAAGCATATGCCTCAGCGCTGGCCCATCCCACAGGTTTTCTCGTCTCGGCCACTCCATGGCTAGACCCAAAATCTTCTTCCTTAACCCTTCTTCCCGGCAGCTGCTCCCTGTTACATATAGAGTCGGCACGACTGCAAGATCGACATTTGCGTTGTCGCCAGAAAGTTTCTCTGTTGCCGGGCTAGTTAGGATGCCTCGCAAACTAATGGCTGCGCGAATGAAATCTTCGAACTCTGTTAGCTCTTCGAGCTCAAGCGACCCGACAGGCTTTTCGGGTAACGGAAGCATCTTTAATATAAGAGTGGCTCCTTTGTGACGGAGTCTGCTGGCATTGAAGAAGATGATGTCTTGTATTTCAAGACGCTTCATATCGGGATCGTTCTGACAAAGATATATTTTATTTCCGATCAAACGGGAGCGCTCCAGTAAAACAGAGTGTTGAAGCTTGGGGTAATGTTGCGCCCAGAAAGTTGTATCGCCGTGGTGGCCTCTTGTCAACCAGGCAAATGCGCTGGCGTCTTGGCAATAGCTGTCGACAGCTTCGTAGATATCCTCCAACGAGCTCAATTTCGTGCCGACTGATGCATCAAGTTTTCGAGCTTCGTATGTTTGTAAGGTCAGGCGCGGCCGGAAGTCACCTGTTACTAACCTCATCGCCACCTCCCACCTTGATAAAAGTCGGAGCAGATATAAGACCCTCACGTGAGAGTTATTCGACCCTTGATTCCATTTTTCAGGGTGACGTAAAACATCAGACACTTCCTCTGGTAGGTTCGCCATAAGTTGGAGGCCATTGGTTAAGTGGGTTAGGGCTGCTTTCCAATCATTCCGAAGCATTTCTATGCAGAAGAATGCAATGCAGCTGATGAGAGTTATTCCGTATCTTCTGCGAACGTCGACCTGTTGTGTATCCTGTGCCAGGCCTCTCATGGCTAAAGTATATTGCTGGATAATGAAGCGTTCAGTTTTGCTTGGCGGAGCGGTGGGATCAACTCGTTCTCCAGTCATTTGGAAATTGTGGTACGCTGCGCCAAATGCAATAAAGGCATGCTTCATGGATTCTACGGCATAACAATACTGCGGGACCGACTCTTTCCAGAACATAGAGTTGTACTTGTGGCGAATGCCAACTGCTTCCCCTGCAACGGCCCTAAAACAATGGAAGTAGAAGCGCTCTATCTCAGTTCCCGATATGTCTGCGAGCAGCGGCCTTGGAATTGATAAAGCTGATGAGGTGGCAGGTAGCATGGTGATTTGACGCCGAGGAGGCAGTGGATTTTCCGCAGCCTCATTTTTGCGCGATCTGGGGTTTGCATTGATGTCGTAGCCATCGCATTTCCGGCCTGTCGAGGTACATCGCACACAGGCTGGCTTTGCTTCATCGCATTTGACCCGGCGGATTCTACAATACAAGTTAGTATAACGGCGGTGCTGTTTCTTTACAATACAACTCACTTGCTGGAACGAGTTAGCCTTCGTGAACCAGGATGGGCCTCTCTGGAGAGAACACATACCATGTAATACACCCAGTCTTGACTTTTGGTTTACCTGGCCTTATCCGCCTTTTAGCGACAGTGCCTGCCACAGGATCTGTAGCAGATTTCATGGCGAACGTTGACGTTGTCAAAGATGTCATTCAGTCAGTGCTCCGTAGCAGGTTACCCGAGGCAATTCTTGGCCGATGCCCCAATTGAGCCCTGCTACAGCTCCATCCCTGAGGAACCTGCAGGCTTGAAAGAAAGATTCAGCACCAACACAAGGTATGTAAGCATCAAATTGTGAGATATGGCTGCATTAGAAACGCGCCGAGATGTGGCAAAGGTTGAAGTTGGGATCGATGTTACTAGCGGCGGGAGGCGAGCTGGGGAAGAAAGTTTTCCAGGCTGGTCCACACCATTCTAATTCTAAGATCGGAACGTTGCGAGGGCATCGCCAGCGACCCAGCTTGCCCGCCCTACCACATAAAGTTAGCGCGTCGTCTCAATCAAAGACAGTCTGACTACCGCTTGTTTGTCTGGTACAAGTACAAGTGCTGCCCGACACGACGGGGAGAAAGGATCAATTGATGCAAGTTTGAGAAACCGGGGAGCGAAGCAGTTGCCAACTCTCAGGTTCCTTCCCGCGACACTGGAGGTCTCTCTCTTCCTGTACCGACCGGCACAGAGGCTCTGATCAATTGATGCCTGTCTGGTCGCGCAACCAGAACTTGACCCACCTTGAACCAATCAATCCTCCAGTCTTTACCTCGACTCCGTACCCCAAGGGCTTTCAATGAGCATCACCACATCGTCTCCCCTTGCGCAATAATGGCCCATCTCGCCAACCCCTTGGCGACCACGTCGCAATTGTACCGGCACACCATCCTGTCTTCCCTACCGCAGGATCTCCAGGAATCCATCTTCATCGCCACGCAATGCCTTACGCAAGCCGCGGGGCAGCTTCTCGACCTACCCCAGTCTGTGACGGCACGAGCCAATGTTATTCTCGCGAGATACTGGCTTGTAGATTCGCCAATGGCCCATGAATTCAGCGTACGATTCTTCATCAGCCATCGTCTTCCGCATGTCCAACCATGGTAGCTAATACTTGCTTGCTAGGACGCCTCAGCAGCAGCAATCTATCTCGTCGCAAAAGTCGGCCCCATTCCTCGATCACCACGCGACGTGTCTAACGTATACGCGTACCTCCTTTCCTCGAGCTCTACACTCCTCAAGACTGGACAAGTGCCTGAAAACGACCCAAAAACATATTACCAATCCGAAGCCGATTCCTTCTCATTCCAGAATCGGCTCCTCGCACTTGAATCCCGCATCCTCTATGCCTTGACATTCAACACCCATGTTGCACTCCCGCACGCCTTAGCTATAACCTACCTCCAAACAATGGACTTTTTATCCCAGCCAAAATCCAGCATCTCACGAAAGACGATTCAACATCTAAACACGGCGCTGCTAAGCCCGCAGATGCTCTATCTTACCCACCAACCGAACGCCCTTGCGACTGCAGCAATATACAATGCTGCGAGAGACGTAGGGGCCAAGATGCCAGATTGTGACTGGTGGGAGGTTTTTGACGTGGACAGAGAGGAGTTGGGATTCCTGGTAGTTGGTATGAGGAGTGTTGAGGGGTGGTTTCGACAAAGGAAAGAGGAGGCACCCGAACTGTTTAAGGGAATGCTGACCAGGAAATTGATCGAGGGAGAGATGAGGAAGAGGGGATTACAAGTAACCAACGGTGAAGGAAAGGAGGATGAGGAGGATGAGGTTATGAAGATGATGGACAACCGATAAAGAAAAGGCGTATTATTTTCTCAACTTCAGCATTACGAATACCTCGCAAGGACTACAGCCACAGCGTTCGATTTCCACGCCATCCGATGGAATCGAGTCTTTCATCTACAGTCTTGAATTATGTTTCACAGATAAGGGACGGCCAGGGACGACATGCCTTCATGCTTTCTGCGGCGGCATAGAGGATGCAATTCATAGCTACAGCTGCGTGCCTGCCAACATCACGTTGATAGGCGATCTTTTCACTATCAAAGAGAAGACAGTCAGCCCACTCTTACACTTTCACTCGGCCAGGACTAGAGAAGTTTCGAGCCTCAACCGAATCTGATTATTACAGCTGGTGCCCCTCCCCTTCCCGGGATATGTTTAGGGCCATTGGATCGGTTACTTCAATATCATATATGAAACACAGCGGGTGAGACTACGTATCTCCTGAAGCACCCATTCAGCTACACCCGGACTCTTCAGGTTTAACAGAGTCGACCAGTGGTTGAGATTGGTTGGGACTATGTACCGCTGAAGCCAGATATTTACGATATTTGCCGCCCTTTCCTGTCGAAAATGCACAATTTACTGCTGGTCAGGGTCGACATCCTTGAACTCGGTTCCCATGGCAATCTCATCGTACCAGATCTGACGAAAGCCTTGTTTGCCCTTCATATAGCCTCGTCGTGCCAGCTGTTCGCATACAATCCCACACGGAACTGGAAAACGCTGTCATCGTCAATGGCTGTGGCAGTATTGTATCTCTCAACCACCTTGTTTTCGTCGAGCCAAATCTTGAAGAAGCCAGAGCCGTCACTGGCCCATTTGACCTGCATAATTACCTGGTGCCATTGTCCCGCACTGATCTGGCCAAGGTTTCGAAGGGTATCGATGTTGCTACCACAGAATTCGGCTGGCGATAGTTGCCAGTCACAATTCGAGAGAGCAGCTGATTTCCTTGCATCCACACCATGGTACTCGGCACGTAGTCATCTCCACCCCAGCCTGCTCCAGGGCGGTTGGCAATGAACTGGGCGATGTTGTAGGACTGGTCTTGGGAAGTCCCACGTGTCGGAAAGACGAAATGCAAAGCCATAGAAGGAAGAATCACCGCGCTTGTAGCCCTAGTTGTGGTCGACCTCGGAGTGGTAGCGATTGTGATAGTTGGAGCCGTAGGTCTGTGTCATCTTGGGAGCAGAGCTGCCCTTATAGACGACGTTGGTGACCTGGTCAACGGTTCCCTTGTGTTCTTTGCGAACATAGTCCCAGCCGTTGAGAGTGCCGGAATTGCAAAACGTTCTGGAGGCGAGCGCTCCGGGGGAGGTGACGAGAGCTAGGGGGGTAGCGATGAGATGTTTGTTAGAAACCTTGATGAAGACGAACGATGACGGTATGACTAGAGGGTTGGTGCGAATTAGGTGGCAAGGGCTTGGGGTTGCGAACTTGAGGGATGCTATTTCTAGGGAGAATAGGTTTCAAAGTAAATGTAGGCTTTGCCGTTCCGTTGCTGTATTCCTCCGCTTGCCAGGTCGTGTGGGATCTGCAGGACCATAAACCTGGTAGGTGTTGGCCAACGGGCAAGGATTTCGTTTGCCGGGCTAGATTTTCATCTTTGGCGACACGATCTAGACTAAGCGCCGAGTTTGATGTCAAGGCATAGTGTCTCCATATTGCCAAGTTGCTACCAAAGCTGACTGACAGTGTGGGCGTATCGCCAGTCACGGCCAGCGACCAATGTTACCATCCCAAGCTTGGGCTCAGCGCGGGGTTACATTCATTGCGCACCATGGCGCAAAAACGTGGATCCTGGATGTTTCCCTCTTCGGTTCGGCCGGAAAAAGACAGCATTTTGTGAAGAAGCGTAGTAGTGGAAGCTGGGTGGTGAACCCGACGTTGGACCGGGACGATGGACCAGCTGGCGCAGCCGCCGCCGTCTGGGCAGTCTTGGCTCAAGAGGCTGCTGGCCAGTCATGTGCCGCCCTCAATCGTGGTTCGGGTGTCGATTCGCGGATTAATTGAGTACACGGTAAGTATTTGGGGTCAATGTGCGGGTCGGAACGGGTTCCGCAGAAACCTGCCGCCTTCCCATTCTTCTGTCGTGACGGAGGAGATGAGTTTTCTCTTCTTTCCTCTCCCTCTCCCTCTCCGTCTCCGTCTCTTTCTTTGTTTCCACGCAGCACAACTCGCGGTTCAAGGGTCGACGTTTGGAACTGAATCATGTGGCCCGGCGAGTGAGCATTACCTCGCGCCCCCTTGTTCTGATGAGATCCATTACAACATTGACACACGGCCAGGGTTGAGCTTTTCGAGTAGAACCTGGGTTCCATTGAGTCGGGAAGCCAAGGCGGTCTTGTACTATTTCCCAGCTGTCTTGGCGGTCACTTTCTTGACCCCGGCCCATTGCTAGGTGCGTGTCACGAGGTCGCCTGATAATGAATATTCTCGACCAGCCTTCTCGTGAGAGATACGGTCAGTCGCCGTCGGGAATTTTTAACCGAGTCACAGAAGGAGTAGGTTACGAGACAACGCTACAGTCGTCAGACATCCCCTTTCACACATGTCCGTACGTCGGGTAGAGAAGGTAGTTGAAGCTCATACAGATAGTCGGCCATCTCTCCGTCTTGTTTATTAGCTACAAGGGCTTTAAAAGGAATGCCGTCTGTATCTCAGCCTAGTCTATCGACGTGACATGGCTCTGCTTGTGCCGTTGGGCGGAAGCTACCATTAGGACGCAGCACATGAAGCAGGGCAACAAGAAGCGTGCGTCCCATTATTCTACGTTGACAGCGTCAAATTCACGTGGTCTGATGGCTGGTAGCAGTGCATCACCATTGGCTGATCCCACTCATGTGCGGCAAGACGGGACGCGACCTTCTCCAGCCAGTCACGGCGCTATCCGGCAGCCACGCCCGTCTTCCTCCCTGCACACGGATGCCGGTCCGGACCCGGTGTGGGGTTGTTGCCGTGTTGGGAAACATCAAGTGATCGGGAGAACGGCAAACACCGCTCATAATCCATCTAATACAAATCACTTGAAGTGCCAATGTGTCTCTCAACCACTTTGAAGGGCATTCGCGTCCATCAAACGGGCGACTCTGCGGTTCTACGACAGGAAACCGATCTGGCAATTCCAGCCATCGGCGACCGGGACATGTTGGTCACAGTCGAGTACGGCCGGCTCTGGCCAATCACACTACAGAAAGAGAGGAGTTTGAAGAGAGATGGCAAGAGTTGCTGGAACTTGTAAGCTCGGGTGCCGTCAAAATAGAGTTGGGAGGCGTGTACACGTTGGACACGTTCGGGAGGGCGCAGGATGGGCTTGCTTCACAACTGACGATGGGGGAACTTGTTGTAAAGATCGACTAGAGTCCCATGCTTACAGCCATCATATCTATTGCTTTGTTTCATTCAGTTTGCTGCCAGATGAGCAACACACTTGATCTTCACCAGTATCTCGGGCCTGGGCAAGGCTCTCACTTCCACCGTTGTCCTGGCTGGCGCCGACGCACGATCGGCCAGACCCGGTTCCACTCGTCATTCATTCCCCTGTAGTCTCTTTCCACGTTCGCCAAGAAAACACTGGCCTCGACGATATTGTTCTGCTTTGCCATCTGTGGCGCCCTTGATGATTTCGCTAATGTTTGGCAGGACGGCCTCGTTTTCTGCCGAATACCCAGTTGTAATGTGGTGTTTCCCGACTCATCATTTTTATATTCGGCGACGGGACTTTCGGCGCCGACAAAAGTCCCGTCGCCGCGGCGGGAGGAGGTTCCGGAGACGTAGATGGTGTAAGCGTTGGCGGAGGGGACGATGCATGCGTGCGGGTAGTTTGCCAGGCCTTGCGCGCGGGCAGAAGGGCGAAAGTAGGGTTTTCCGCTGGGAGAGTCGTGAATTTTCTCCAGAATTCAAAGGACTTGCGCGATTATGGTGAAGTAAAGAAGATGTGAACGTGATTCGAGAGTCGAAACATGCATATGTAGATATTGATGAGATGTGTAAATGTAACTGAGAAGCCGTCTGCGGAATTGCCCCGCTCGGTTGCATCCGAGCACTGCACGAGGAAAGTACGAGATTGTGATGCTCGCCTTCCTTGTTTTTCGCGCCGTGTAATCAAAACCCTCAATCACAGTCATCACGGCTGCAGTCACCAACTTGAAGGTACGCGAACAGTCCTCAGATTCGTAAACACCTCCCTGCTCTGCTCACCTCCCTCCCCGCCGACGCCGCTTGCCTTGAGGCCACCAAACGACGTCCCCAACTCCCTCACCAGCCAACAATTCGCCCACACCAACCCTGCATCGATTCGCTCTCCAACACGCCGCACGGCGCATCCTTGATACATGGTTGGTCATGACTACCGCCGCCAGACCATTGGCATCGTCGTTGGCCAGGGCAACTGCCTCGTCTTCTGTCTCAAACGTAGACACGGTAACCACGGGACCAAAAATCTCCTCTCGGATGACTCGGCTCTCCTGGGAAAGCCCCGTCAACATCACGGGGGGTGTCCAGTATCCGCCTTGCGGATCCTCTTCAGGAACGGAACCCAGGTGGAATGTAGCCGACTCCTTTCGCGCCAAAGCCAGGCAAGGCCGTATCTTGGAATAGTGTTCTCTTGAAACTACACGCCCTGGTGTCCCTCCGCATTTATGATTTTTGCTTCACATAGCCAACCAATCCCGGTAGAAACTCTTCATGTCGAGAGCGTTGGATGTAAATTCTCGATCCACACAAGCATATTTGGCCGCTGTTTTCGAAAGCAGCCTTGGCCGCGAGCGGGGCCGCCTTGCCCATATCGACATCCTCAAAGATCAAGTTCGGGTTCTTCCCGCCTAGTTCCAAGGAGATGTGCTTGCCGATATCAGCAGCTGTATCTTCCACGTCAGCAGGTACAGCGGCGGGCTCAGCGGCGTGATGAGGCCAAACACACCCACTGGCGACCGGTGCTCATAAGCCATGATGGGTGACTCGCCGTCTACGTAGCAGACAGTCCCCTCCCCGCGGAGAATAAACTGAACAAAATAGCTGTTTTTAACAATGTTAGGCCGTCTTGGTCCAAATCTCATGACGGCGTAAAAGGGGGGCCCAGGTGCGAGGAGTCTATGCCTGAAGTTCGTTACAGCTCTATTAACCTTAGCCTCTGCCCAAGCCAAGGTCTTACCCTAATTCATACTCTCCCATGTAGCAAAGATATTCCTGTTATCTTCGATTAGATGCGCAACTTTCTGTAATAAACAAGCCCTTTCTTGCCTTGGGGTCCGGGACCAGGAAGGGAAGGCATTGGCTGCTGCATCGACGGCCTGGTCTACGTCTACTTGGGAGCTAAATGGGACATGAACTAGTGCCTTACCGGTTCGAGGGTTGAAGGACTCTAGCGCATCGACAGATGGGGAAGTTTCATAGAATTCGTTGCCCATAAAACTTTGTAGACGGAGAGGTTTGGCGGCGGTAGTTTTGAGAAGAGCCTCGGCTGCATCTATAGTGTCGGCGTTCCAGAGCTTTACGATCGTGCCCGTTCCGGAATAAGGTTATATGTATTATAGCCTGTGTTTTGGCTTTAAAAAGATCACAATATAAAAGCGGCTTAATACTATTTTATGCCGTCCGTGACGACAAGTGGCATGGCATGTGGTGCACATGGACTCTCGGATGCATCCAACGCGACCATAACAGCAGGGATTAAGAGTGGTATTTATTGCAAATTCAAAGAGTCAAACTGGCATTCTACATGCATATATATACAAGAGAAAGAAAAAAGACATACCACATATTCGAACTTACCATCTTGAAATGAGGATAGCCCTACATGTCAATACTTGTGCTCCCTCACCAAATCATGCAAGCCCAAAAACTCAACAGCATTCCGCCACAAGATTCCTTCTCTCCTCTCCTCGGACAAGAATCCTCTCACCCGCTCGTCCGTAGATATCATCTGTTCTGGAAGAGGGACTTGCCCCAGTGGAAACGGATAGTCGCTGCCCATAATTACACGTTCCGGCCCAATCTTCTTGCACATGTACTCTAACAGGTCCGGGTCATGCACCAGGCCGTCTATCCGGACATTTCTCTGGCCAAAGGCGACCTGATGTGTCGGCGATGTGCCCCCGGACTTGTGAGCAACTAGATCAGGCCGGCAGTCGCAGCCGTGCTGAATACGCCCAAGGAGAGGGAGATGTGCGCCGCCGGCGAGGGCGAAGCAGAGACGCAGCTTGGGGTGGCGGACGAGCACGGCAGACGAGACGATTGCGTGTAGTGTGAGAGCCGTTTCACTTGGCCTATCGAATTCAAGTATTAGTGTCAAAAAAAAAAGACAGCCGCAGACGGCGTTGTACATATTAAGGCAGACTTACATCCCAAATCAGCCAAGCAGGCCAGTAGTTGGCCCATCTCTTATTCTCCCTGGCCAGCTCGTAGCCTAGCGGATGCAATAAACAGCCGTGTCCAACTCCTCGCATGCTTTCCAAAATGGCCCCATGTCCAAATCGTCCAGTTCCCGTCCGTTGGTTTCCGTGCCAATCTCGACGCCTCTTAACCCCAGGCCCTTTTCCCGCTTCAGTTCCTCCACGGCGGCGGCAACGTCCTGCAAAGGTACCGTAGCGAGGCCAACGAATCAGCTGGGGTAAGCTCGATAAAGAGAGGCAATGTGGTCGTTTAATAGACGCGCAAGCATTACGGTGGGCTTGATGGGTTTGTCGTAGGAGAATAGAACCAGAATCGTGCCGAGGACTTGCACGGACACGCCGCTTGCATCCATTTCTTTGATGCGAGTCTCGGGGTCGAAGCAGTTGGCTTCGACGGTCTGGAAGAACCGCCTTCCAACGTACATGTCCAACTTTTGAAACGGTGAGCTAGATTCAGAAGATGATGGAGGCGGCTTGTGAGGTCGAAAATTGATCCATTCGTTGCGGTTTGACGTGTCGTCAAATTGCGACGTGTCTGGTAATGAACGGGGCATGATGTGTGTGTGAATGTCGATTCTGAAGCCCGTCCGGGAGGAATAAGGCCCTTCAACATGTGAAGGGAAGGCCTTGTCAGTGTTTCCGGACATGCAATCGCGGCGACTGTGATCAACGGCTCGTGGAGCTGCATGTTAGGTCACCCGGTGCTGGAGGAGGGAGGCGATGCGATCAAGCTCATCTTCAAGAGTACAGAGACATAACCGCTTAGTATATTCGTTCATGAGAGCTTATGTAGGTCATCTGTCTCCGGTTCGGATCTTAGGAAGGATTCCCAAAGTGGTAATACTTTAAGTATACACGGATGTATCCGATACTCCATCCGCCGGACCACGGCCCGGCCACCGTCCGCTGAATGCCGCAACTATTGTAGGACGAAGGAGGCTGTAGCAGATGGAACGTGACAACTTGACTACGGTTTTGCTCTCTCACGTCCATCTAGAGTGTTGAAGATTGATACTTTGTGTATCTGTCTGAAACAGCCAGCCAGCCAGCATCTGAACAAGAAGCTCGCCTCCACAAGTCCCAGCATGGCTCACAGCACGACTCCCATAGCTGGTACCGCACTTCTTCCAGGGCCACTTCTCCTGTCATCCTGGCTGTCTACCAATGCTGCCAACTTGCAGCCTCCGGTGAATAACCAATGCCTGTACTCGGGCAAAGACTTCATCCTAATGGCAGTTGGAGGCCCAAACAAAAGAAGTGACTATCATAGTATGTTCATGTCCTTGATATCGAGAAACATTGCTGACAGAACCTTAAACAGTCAATCGGATAGAAGTGCTAACTCACGCCTTATCAATCCTGACAGAATGTCGCTAAGGCCAAGGACAGGAATGGTTCCATCAGCTCAAAGGCGACATGCTATTAAAAATCGTCGAGAACGGTAGTTAGTTCCGCGAGGGCGAAATGTTCCTCCTCTCCGGTAAGTCTACCAACAAAACATCGCAAACGATTCAAGACCGTTAATCCGGAGCCATGAATAAAAAGGCAACACCCCCCACTCGCCGGTTCGATACAAAGACACCATTGGCCTCGTCATGGAAAGAACTCGACCAAAGGAGAGCATCGACCAATTGCAATGGTATTGCCCCAACCAAAAAGCACACAGAGAGGAGCCAATCATTATTCGACATGAAAAATTCTACTGTGCAGATATTGGGACACAGCTGAGGCTTGTGATTGATGACTGGATGAGCAACGAGGAGACTCGCAAGTGTAGGGAATGGGGCGAGACGGCATCGACATATTAACATATGTGGGAGTGTTGAAGGGAGGTATTTCTGCCTGACTAAGATTATTTACCGCCCTCTTTTCTCCATCTTGATTTGTCCTCGATTTCTGCCTCAGCTGGCCCCGTCTTGGTAGATGTCAATGCAGTCGCTGGTGTAAATGCTGCTAGGTCTGGCATGAATCGCATTGTAAAATCGTCATCTCCCATCTTGTTTCTACTAGCTTGATATAAGCTTGACAATCCAGGGCTGGGTGATTCCGAGGAGGTGATGGTTTCAGCCGCTTAGATTTACGCTGCGTATAGCGAGTATCATCTGTGTCAATACCTGAACAAGCCCGGTTACGGCAACATCCGGTAGCTGAGCCAAGGCCCCTTCATCAAGGATTGGTTTGAGCCGGAGAGCCGATAGTAGATCTCATCTCCAGGCAGAGATGTGAATCGGTCAAATGCCTTGCCAAAATTCTCACGTCTATCCAACTCGGATTGGGTAGGTCGCATATCGTCTTCCGTGAGCTCTGTCATATTTGATCTTCTTTCTACGGCATGGCTGGCAGGCACACCAGACTCTCTGGCGTTCATACATAGCGAAACAAGACCAAGGAAGCATCGAATACAGCTGCGTGGGATTTGTTGGAAATGAGGTGGTCTGATTGACGCGGTCTAGGGATGGTCGTCGTCCGCATGGCGGATCTCGACCCCGCATACGAACATGTCAGATCAGCCTTTCGGCCGTGGCTTGGAACTTGCCGTACGGACACATCCGAAAGGACAAACGACGCGAATGAAATTATAAGAAAACGTGTCGAAAACGTGTCGAAAACGTGTGGCAACTCTTTTACTTGCAACTTTTAGTTTGATGAATGTGGTGATGATGTTTCTTTCGAATCGAGGACACCAAGAACTATTGACTTGAATTAGCTCTTCTGATGGTGCATTACGCGCCAATTACTCAAGGGGTCAAAATAGGCTGGGCTGAAACTCTATGGAAGCTCAACACAGTCTTCATAAAACCTAAGCACGACCGTCTTGGACCGATCACGGGAATATTGGGATGCTTCACCCAAGGAGGAGTCGCAAGGTTTGGATGGTAAGACTCCAACTAGCAGTTGTGTCACTGCAGAACGCATCCGGCGAAGATCAAGCCATGAAGCACTAACGGCAGAGATGGTGTCAATCATGACGCAGTCGCTCTAGATGTCCTGGCTTCTTCGCTATCTGCGGTTAGATCACTGGGTCCATGTGCGTTTGATAGACGTGCTGTGACCAACAGAGACAAGACAGCAAATCGCGCTTCTTTCCATCACGAGGAACCTCCTTGCTCTGCACCAACAAAATGTCTCATTTGTGAAGTCTCAGATCGTCATTGCCACTCCAACAGTCAAACCCCATGCGTGGGGGTGGCTGATCAATCGAAGCTGAAGTGGTCAGGGCCAATCGTGTCTCATTGCTTGCACCAGAAGTGACTGGTTGGCAACGCCTCTTGTAGAAAGCTCATATTTGCATTCCGACCGACGTTGGGGCTGCATGCTGAGGAGAATATCCCTCCCATTCGTCCGGTGTACGGAGTGGTTTGAGTTCAACTAATGCACAAGAACGAAATCGGATCGACTTGCACCTGCAGAATGTCCCAATTGTTCGTCTGTAGGTGCATGATGCGCAAAATAGGGGCGAGTGACCCTGAAACCCAGCAATCAAACAAAACAAACTCCCTTCGTTATGCCTGGTAATCTGAAGCTGCAAAATGTGCCCGAACCTCATAATGCGAAGCGGGGTAGAAGTGAAAGGAAGGAGGGAAGCAAGGAAGGAAGCACATGAATGTGCGATCATGGATCGTTCCCTCTTTAATTCAAATGGTCAAGACTCAGCTTCGCGCCAACAAATATGTTTGATGACCACACAACATGCAGTCGCCGTACTCCGTACAACTGGTTCGATCACTATTACATACCCACGTGTTGGAAGAGGCACTCTGTGGCGTATTGCCAAGGTGCCATGATCAGACGAGGAAAAGTCAAATCAAGCCTCGACATTTGACTCCAGGAGTGTCTAAATCTCGCCATCAATATGCCCTGCAAGCAATTTCGACGACAAGGTGATGCATCCAAACATTTGATCGACTTTGCCCGAGATAAAAATGAAGATGACTCGTCGATGCTCGCTCGAAGTTCCCTGCATGCAAACACGAAATATGGTTGGTGGTGGGATCGCTCCGATTCCAGATGAAAGTCCAAGCGCCAAGCTTTGCCAGACAGTCGACGGATGATCAGGAACGCTAGTCATCGCAGCAGCAAGCCCCATCATTATCATCAGAATCATATCTCAGCTGTGAATTCAACAAGCTATAAAATGCAGCGGCGGATGGCCGTCAAGCTAGGTTGTTACCCAGGGGCACCAGAAATACAACAGGAAGGGCAATCCGAGGACACCCAGAATGCTCAAATACAAACCATTGTCGCATTCTAGTACATGGTTATCGAAGAAGTCTCCTGGGACTTTAGAATCTTGAAGCCAGTGTGCTTCACGAGTGTTGGCAAAGCTGTTCGACCACTTTCGCAAGATCCTTTGCTCGCTGTAGAAATGTTGCTGGCTTCAGCACCAGCCGAATACATGTCCGCTCATACGGGCGGCTTCGGCTTATTCTCTGTTTTGGGAGGCATTGCAGCAAACAACAGTAGAGGCATTGACGTCGCAGATCTGTGGCAGACAATGCGTTGTGCCATGACAAGCACCCAGACACTTATCTGTCCGGATGACGGTAGCAAGACATTCTGGGGCAGGCCTAGGGGGCGGCAGTAATGGATGCAGTCCGTCAGGGCTCTCTCCACTTCACTTACTTGGACCCTGGACCCGGACCCTGGACCCAGACGCTCATTGCAAATCCCCTTCGTGTAACTGTACCACAGTTCCTACGGCGGGGAAAGCACGGCACTGACGGCTGTGGCGGCATTTAGCGGTTCTGCGCAAGGATTTGCCAAAACACGGAACTGGAACCAATGTTGCTACCACGGAAAATGTTGCTTCATCAACGACGAGCGAGGACAGCAGTGCCGTGGTCAATGGTCGGAACAGAACGGCTGAGGTCTACGGAGTACAACGACCAGACCTGTTGATGACTCGGGCTTCGAAAACCGAAGGGAACAAAAAAGGTAGCATAAAGATGTTGCAGGAGGAACACGGAGTGCAGCTCAATCACACCGCGTCGGGCCTCGCGTCTAAACAACTCCGCGGCCTTGATATCCGTAGTGAAAAGGTTATTGCCCTCGACTGAAGGCGGCAACTCAGCGGATAAGGGGCCACAATGGGACTACAGCCAGCTTCCATGCATCCACCAGGATCAGATGGTCCACATCTATGCAGTGTGACCGGCCTCTCACATCGGACACCCCTGCCCTGGCATCTGTAGGAGATTCGGCCAGCCAATTATGCTCATAGGCATTTCCTTCTAGAACAAGTGAGGCTGGTCTGACGTGACAAGGCGGTCTCGCTCGGCCCTCCACTGTCCTGTCGACGAGAAAGAGCCATGAAACTGTGGTCTGAATCGCAACCCACCGGACCCTTTATTCAGAGCGTGTCCGCAATTCGTTCTGGGGTGGTACGCTTGGCATGCAGTTACCTGCTGGTTCTTATGCCAGGCCCGTGGAGTGCATCCTGTGAAGGGCATCCTCTGAAGAACCCACGATGATATACATACATGCCATCCCTCAAATTAGCGGGTTGTGGCAAGGCGACGATGCCGTCGAGCCCTTCCGTCTATACTAGCCCCACGGATTTCACTCCACCGTTGGCTTTGCATACAAGTACGAAAATGTCGGTGCTGTCGATATAGCAGCGGCCCATGGTCGCCGTTGCGCCCTTGGAAAGTGAGTTTCCGTTTCCTGGCAATTTCCGGACCCATGGACACGGAGTTCGGCACCAACTTGGCCAGAGCTGTCTCTTGACTCCGAGGCTATCTGCCGAGTGTGTCCAAAAAAATTTCCCGTTCTTACTACTGTGCCGCACAAGCGCTGGCAGTAGCTGTCTCGTTTAAGCCACTCAAAGGCAACCCGAAGGCCATTCGTCGCTTGAACATACATTCCCGTTGGAAATGTGGTGGCGACATGAGGCAAAAAGCCACACATGGGGATTCCCAGGATGGCGCCAGAAACCGATAACCCCCGATGCAGCTATCCTTTCCAATTACTAACATGATCGTGGGGCAGGAGATTGGCACCCCATATGATCTAGGCTGAATAGGGTGAATTTGTCTTCGCGGTGTACATGGACAAGACCACCTGTCCTGGTCTGGCAGCAAGAAAATAACTCACCTTATCTCTTGTCGTGACAGACTAGTTTTAGCTTTTGAGGCAAGCGAACGTTACTGCTCGGCGCCAACGTCTTGGGCGATGATTCCCAGCCCGCCCGCCGCCACCCACCCAGTCGGCGTCGGGCTTTTTGCCTGTCTCTGTCTCAGGTTTTTCTTCACCCGCGTGGCCCATGAGTAGAGCCGCATGATGGATGACCCAAAGTACTCCGTTTGTGTGCCGGTCAGTTGTATAAAGAGCTCTGGCCTCCCCTCCGACCGGCTACATTGTGGACCTTGTAATATTCCAGTCTCAGTCCTTTCGACGTCGTCTCTTGATATTCGCAACATACCTCTCATAATCCTTCACATCGCTCACAATGCCTGGATCTGCTGCCTCCGCCTCTGCCTCTGCCTCCCCCGCCGCTGCCCCTGCTTCCTTGGGTGACAACAAGGGCATCAAGTTCGAGATCAGGACCGGCAACAACCGCTGGACCTGCACGCTGCAGGACCGCTCTGCTTAGTATGCTTTCCCAAAACTCGGTGCTACTTCCTCTGCTGGAATTGCAACTGTACTAACGTTGCCTCTACAGTGAGCGCACCAAGACTGCTCGTGCCAACTCCACCGACTCTGTCGAGTCCAGTGCTTCATCAACCACCTCCCACTAGACAATGTGGTGGGAAACAAGAAGTATATGGCTCTGAAGCAAAGCATTTGGCGTTAAGACAGCACGTGGCGTTTTGATGTACGAACGGATCGCTACCTGGTGGGATCAACAAGCACCAACAGAACTGATGTCGCTGCTCCCAAAACTGTTTCCTGGGATCTAATTGGTGACAATAACCGTTTGGTTGGTGCTATTTATTATTTTGCGTGGGCAGACTTCTCCAAATAGGGTCGATATCTAGAATTCAGCATGTTTGAATCGTCTCAACAGGAAGGCCTCGTGGTGAGGCACGGAACTCTTTTTTTTTTTTTTTTTTTTTTTTTTTAATGATTTAGCGATATTAGCACTTTGACCGAGAACTGGATGCGGCTAAAGTATCCAGGGCTCAAATCTGACCTAGACCAGAAATTTCGAAACCTTGAACGCCCCTCATTTGTCCCAATCCATGTATTGTGCATACCGCATTACACATCACATTATTGCGTATCGCACGCACAAAAGCCGCACCCACCCACAAGGGCTGAACGGCTGCTCATTGTCAACCGGGAGCGATGAGGGTCAGAAATAATGGCATCAAAAGCTGGCTTGAGTGACAAGGGATTGTTGCTGGAGTTGCATTGCACTGCACGACGGCCTCCTCTGTCTCTCTGTGCGAAAAGACCCTGATTGCCCAAGGTAAGGTGGGACTAGGGAGTGGTTTTTATTTTGGTCCTTGACTACGCGTGGTGGTCGGCCACGAAGCGCGTCAACGATTCAAAGGGTTGGGGTTTGCGTATCATAATAGTATGCCTGCATTCTATGCCTGCATTAAGCCGTTCAATAAATAAATGGCGGGCGGAGACTCCGTCAAAACTCCGTCCTGAATCCCCCCACTGGGCCCGAGTCCAGTTCGTCGGTCCGAGCATCCGGGAGGCTCTCTGGTCCTGCTGAAATTTTGGGGCAAGGCATGTGGGTTGCGTCAGCGACTATGTCTGTTGCGTGCCAGTATCGGTTCTCGCTTTTATCAATTGAGATCCGAGACTGCGCGGTGACTACGGAGTTGGCTCTTTAAAACTGCGTGATGTTCCGTACTTGACCCTGTGGGTCCTGTTATGCCACGGAAGCTGGCCCTACTTGGCTACGTTCTGGTACAGTACCTAGGTACTAGTTAAGTTATTGAGTTGCTAATCTCGGCGCGTTTTCTTGTCCCGTCGAGACCGTCTCGCCCCACACCGAAGGACCCTCCTCGGTGAGTGAATGATGGACGAAGAGCAAGACGGAAAGACTCCCAAGATGTCGGCAAAACAAATAGTCTTCACGATGGTTATGCTTAACTTAAAATTTGCCTTGAAGACCTTTTACTACTTATGAAGCATGGAATAAAAGTACAGGTTGCTGTATTTTGGTCATGTGACCTCGGCCTGACCCTTGACTCTACGTGCGCGGCCTCCTCAGCTCACATGTCCCAATCAGGAAACCAGATGACTGCCATTAAGCACGAGTGGCGAGGCGCGCAACAAGGACTACGCAAGCAATCACAGTCATCCTGAGCTCAGTGTCGAGCTCTGTCCCCTTGAAACATCTAGTTACTAGAAGACATATTCGGCCAAGCGACGCTCTTCGTTCTTCAGCAAGACGCAGAGTTTATTTATTGCGGTTTCTTTTGATCTAATCACGGCTGTCAAAGGTCGAACCGTTTACCCCGCCACTCGCAGCAAGGACTCAGTACGGTGCACCAGAATGCCCGTCAACCATGTCGTACTCGCCTCGGGCGCCGTAGTCGCCGTGTCGGTAGCTGTCGCTGCGGCTATGGCCATGTATGAGAATCCAGAATTACGACGATATGCCGACGATATTCGACGCCGCATCGCCGTGGCTCTTCACTCGCTGGGTGATGGCATCAACCCACCCGAGCAGGCCCCACGCTTCAACAGACCCGAGGATGCGGAGGGCTTCTTGCAATCGAGTCGTGGCGCGGGCGCTGAGCCCGGAGTCGACGCTGACGAGGCTACTCGTCGCCGGCAGCGAGAGGAACTGCTGTATTGGAACTCGGTGCTGCTGAGGAAGAAGGAGGAGGAATCCGCTGCACAACCGCCGCCGGCCGCTCTGCCTCCCGCCGAATCATCAAGCCCCCGGACGGGAACTCGCGGCTCATCATTCGATGACTTCCTCCGACAGGATGAGAATGCCGAACAGGGCACATATGTCTTCAATACCGGGGCCGATATTCGAGATGCGAACAGTGGTCTTCGTCACCGTGTACACGCTGCCGCGCCGATGGCGGCGCCCCCCGTAGCAGCAGCATCGCTCTACGCGAACCCGTTCGCCGACGAGCACTGCATTGCAAACGACGAGGTTGAAGATCTCTCTGCAACTCACACCCTCCCCCAAAGACAAGAGCACATGTCGGATATATACAGCGCAACCACCCGCGAGAATGACGACGTCCAATCCCGCACGCTAGACGGCCCTCCTGCACTTATTGAACTATCATCCCCCAATTTTGAGGCACCACCACCACCACCGGCAAACCTCGAGCGAGAACTGGCCGAGAATGAGTACATGTCTGCCGGCCAGGACGATAGGGAAGATGCGTACGCCTCCATCCAGGCCTGGGCTCACGATTCCAGTCGAAACTTCTACTCGCCTCTGCCAGTCACGCCTGTTGCCCCGGTTTCCGAGCCCGAGGTTGTCAGCGACGGGCAGCTGACGCCTACGGACTCGGTGTCGGTTATTGTATCAGGGGGCGACGTGGGCAGCGACAACGACAGCAGACTGGGGAGACCATTTGACGTCATGAGTGAAAGCGAGGGCATGTTGACACCAGCTAGCTGGTCCGAGGTTGGGAGTGTTGTCAGCGAGACTGAAGGCCATGGCCACGTTGATGTGAATATCCCTCTCCACGGGTGAAAACAGGGGACAAGCAAAAGAAGAAGTTTTTTGCTGCCCTGGATATGCAGCGTTTTGCAAGGAATTACTAATTGGCAATATTCTATTTTTGGAGGGAAATCTAATGGCATGGCGTCTTTGGGGACTTGTTACTGTAGTAGTTTCTCGCTTTTTGTCGATGCGTGAACTGGCACGCACATTGGACGAGAGAAATAACATATCATAAAGTCAATTCATTAACTTACATGAGAAAAAGAAAACCAAAAAAGGGCTAGATGGAGGGCATCTAGCAACACTGTATTTTGGCCGTACCTAGGCCAGGGAACCGTAAGTAACCACGCAAGACACCATGAACGCGTCGCGATGCGCCAGACACATCAATGTATTCGTATATAGTGGAGAAATATATATGCTGTGAAAAAAGGCCCCCGTGTGCAACAAAAGTCATGACCAAAGTCTACTACTGCCCAAGGTTGAGACTCTCGACATAGTCGGCAAATAAGTCGCCAACGGTGCGCCCCGTCAACTCTATCCAAAACTTCCTCTCAGAGTACTTTTCGATTCTCAGCTTCTCGTTGAGCCTCGCCACGAAGCCGTCCCCGCGCGTCCTCTCCAAGTAGTCGAGAAAGTAGGCCGTGTGCTGATAGCCCGCGTCCCACCTGTCGGCGACGTCGTCCCTCTTCCAGTGCGGCGGCGCCAGGCCGCAGTTCAGCCTGACCCAGTCGGCGATGCCCTCGATCAGGCCGCCGGGGCAGGTGCCGAATGCGTTCCACTGCAGACAGTGGACGAGCTCGTGGGTGATGACGCCGGCGATTTCCTGGTCGGTGCGCTGCCTGCTCGTGCCGGCGATGTGGTTCAGCGAGAAGTGCACCTCCTTGTGGTCGTCGTCGAGCTCGGTGCCTGTTGTGCAGGCTACGCCCGGCATGTCGCGGAGGATGAGGGTGACGGAGCGGGTTGGCGGCGGCGTGGTGGTTGGGGAGGCGGGGGAGGTGTAGAGGAGGCGGAGGACGTTGCGGGCGGCGGTGGTGATGGTTTCGGCGGCGTCGACGGAGGCGAGGGCGAGGTTGGCGCCCGGGTGGGCGAGGTCTCGAATCTCAAGGCGTAGCCTGGGCAGGGTGAAGTCTTGAGACTGAGCGCACGGTGGTTCCTTGGGGTCTGTGGCGGGAGTCTTGGTTGGGAACGAGGAGGGGACAGCGGATGTTTCGGGGTGCGGTCTCATTCTGTCGGATTGCTTGCGGTTGAAGCCGAGGTTGGGGCGGTCGACGGTGAGATGTCGTGATGCGTGTGTGGTGTTGTGACCTGGGACGGCGCTGAGAAGACGAGGGGGTGCAACGTTGGCAGGTGTCGCGCAAGGGGTTACGGTGGCCAGCAGGTGTTGTAATCACAAGAGAGCATGTATGCTTTTCTGGATAGTATATAGCTATATCCTTGGATCTCGACCATCATGGTCTGGGAGTCGAGGGTCCTCTACCTGAACACGGTGAATTGAGCGGTGGTCGGGCCGTCCATGTCTGGACTCGGGAGACACATGCATGGACGCACCGTGCCCCCCGCACTCAAGGCCAGTGCTGGCGGTTTCTTCAGTGACCCCCCATGGGCGCTTGGGGCCCTTCGCCCAGGCAACTAAGAATAATAACTGCCAACGGCCCAGCCGGTCCCGAAACATAAACATTGCATAACAACATCGCAGCATCGACAGCATCGGCAGCCCAGTCCTCCCGTCCTCCAGCGGACTGGCATACCATTATTGGAATTTATTCTTGCCTCGCGCAGTTTGCTTCACCAAATCATTGTTACGCGCCCTGACGGCGATACGAGACCCGTGCAGCTCCGCGCAGCCTGCAACAAAATAAACATTGTCTGGCCGCTTGCTGGCGCAACTTGCTCAATGCCCTCGCCTCTGCGTCGAAATCTACCTTTGCGACACCCACGACGCCCTCGACTCTGACATTTCCCAAGCCAGCGCACCCTGAGCATTGTATGTCCTTTTTTCCTTTTTTTCCCTTTTTTCCCCCCTAAAAAAATTCCCGCCCATTGCCTTCTTTCTTCGGCCCCGTTCGAGAGACGCGTTGATGAGTTGACGGCTCTTACGTGGTCTGGCCGTTAAACAGCTGCCCCTCTTTGGCTTGCTTGACCCCTCTGGCAACGTTCAAATATCTGGCCCATAGGTCAAGCTACTAGTAGTAGTTGACTCTTATCAATTGCTCAAGTGCTACCTACCTACTCCGTACCTAAAGTAGGTATCTAGGTATCCAGGTGGTTTATCTGCTGAAACTACTTGGCTACGTTGGGTAGATACATAGGTACGAGGCAGCTGGCTTCTTGTCCTCGTCTCTTGGCAGGGCAGGCACTGGACCACTCAGGCGTCAGCGCCCCCCTCCAGCTCCAGCTTGTGGCCGGAATGACCTCACAAATCTAATTTGTACATGCCTCCCCCGTTCCTCTTCACCGCGCACCACAGCTGCTTGTATCGCTTCCCCTTAGCCCACACAGTCAGAGCTTGCCATCAATGTGACGCCCATTCGCCACGAGACATTCCTGAATCTAACAATTGGTTTCTGGCAGACTTGCTCATCATCATCAGCCATCTCTTCCCTTCTCTCATCTCGTGTCCCTATTCCCTTTCATTCAGAATTAGGTGCCTCCCATGGCCGACAAGCTCACGGATGCGCAAGTCGCAGACCTGCTGACCATCCTGCGAAGCGACTCGTCCCTCGACACCAAGGTCCAGTTCGTCACTGTCATAAAATCCGGCATAAAGCAACACAACGTGCCCGAGAGCTGTGTGGCCCAGCTTTTCGAGGGTCTGCGCACCGCGTCGTCTGCCCAGCATGCCGCTCTCGTCAACGCCGGCTTCACCGCTCTCAACCACCTCTTGACCCGGCTGTCACGTCAGGATCCTAAGCTGCTCGCTCGCGAGGCTGCTCGCACACTGCCGCTGGTCATCGAGAAGCTGGGCGATCAGAAGGACAAGTACCGTAGTCTGGCGGCACAGTCTCTCAACACCCTCTATGCCGCATCACCTGCTGATGCCGAGCGCTTCGTGCGCAACTCGGCCCTGGCCGGGAAGAACCCAAGGGCCAAGGAGGGCGGCATGCACTGGCTTTTGCAGGTGAATACAAACTTCTTTGCCCTCGTTAAGCGCGCCTCATGGGATCCATATCAGAGGTGTCGTGTCTGTCTGCCAGTTTTGCTCCGTGGAACTAACCCATCTTCTTTCGTTTTATAGACACATCAGGAACACGGTCTGCCGTTTCGAGGCTACGTTCCCATACTTATGGAACTTCTCGAAGATGCCGACGGCATGGTTCGAGACACTGCCAAGGCCACCGTGATTGAACTTTTCAAGTGAGCACCTGCCTATTAGTTTTCATCGTCGTCCAGTCGCAGACATCCATGCTAACGCCCAGCTTAGAACAGCCCCCAACACAGCCAAGTCAGACCTCAAGCGACAACTAAAGAACTTCAAGGTTCGTCCTGCTATTGAGCAAGCCATTGTGAAAGCCCTCGCGCCCGCAGGTGGCCGCCCAGAAACGCCAGCCGATTCCCTTCCGTCACAACTGTCGCAAACCAGCCGATCGACCCTTGTAGCCAGTGTTTCATCCCTTGGAAGCGAACGACCCATCACTCCGATGCCAGACGCCGCCGACGCCGTCGACCCGCAGTATGTCAATACCAACCGCGAGCTGGACGACATTTTCAAGGACATGGCCTGGTTCTTCGAGGGCAAGGAGACGGAACAGAACTGGTTGAAGCGTGAGCAGTCCATCAACACTTTGCGGCGCCTCAACGCTGGTAATGCAGCCACCGATTTCCAAGACGTCTTTGTGAGTGGCCTTCGTGCCATGCTGGATGGTATAATCAAGACCATCAACTCACTGCGGACGAGCTTGTCCAAGGAAGGATGTGCTCTCATCCAAGAGATTGCCATCTCGCTCGGTCCAGCTATGGATCCCATGGTAGAGTTGCTGATGCAGACCCTGGTCAAACTATCTGCGGGGACAAAGAAGATTAGCTCGCAGATGGCCAACGCGACGGTTGATACCATTATCAGCCGCGTTTCCTACAATCAGCGGTTAATGCAGCACATCTGGGGTGCCAGTCAAGACAAGAACATTCAACCCAGGACCTATGCAACAGGCTGGCTAAAGACGGTACTGAAAAAAGAGGCTGGTCATAAGAGTCATATGGAGCACACGGGGGGTGTAGACTTGATGGAAAAGTGCATCCGCAAAGGCTTGGGAGATGCCAACCCTGGTGTGCGAGAAAAGACGAGGTCTGCATTCTGGGCGTTTTGGGGTGTTTTCCCTGCACGTGCCGATGCGTATGTTTCCCCTTTCGCGTTGTGGTCGCAACAAAGGCAGCTAACAGGTTTGTAGCATCATGGCGGACCTCGACTCCACGGCTCAGAAGCTATTGAACAAGGACCCAAGCAACCCAAACTCTCCTAAGAAGACGGACGCACCGGCTCGACCTGGACTTGGGTTATCTAGGAGTACCATGACTTCCAGCAAACCTAGCCTTCGAGAGGCCATGATGGCGCAGAAGAAGGCTCTGGCTGCCAAGAATCTGCCAGCAAGACCTGGCTCGGCCATGGCCCATATCTCATCGCCCGTTCGGACGACGCCGAACACGTCAACTCACCCTACGGCGTCCACCAAATCAGCCGCTACAAGGACTCGCCCCGAATCGACCCTGTCCGTCAACGCCGGAGGCATGTCGGTGGCTCCCATGCGGCCAGCACGCCGTCGACCAGAAATGGCGGCTCGTCCCGCGACCGCTGGCCCATACTCGGTTCGCGATCGCCCTGGCTTGGACGCTGACAGCCCCGAGAGCGTCAAATCCAAGCGCGTCACTCCCAAGGCTCCAAAGGCTGTGACTCCCAAGAAGACACTTCCAAAGACTCGCCCCGGTCACACGTCTCATGCCAGCGAATCAAGCATCCCCTCGCCAACTTTCCCATCCGCACACAAGCGCATTGCTTCCCCACGGGGCAGCCCTGTGCTGCTGAAGCATTCACAAACATCGCCTGCCTCGGTTAGCAGAGCGGTTCCGGTGCACAACGAGAGCGAGTCGATACCAGTGCCGAACTTTGCCAGCCTGCATGTCTCCGTGCCAGAGCAAGCGGAGAAGCTCCGGGAGTCTCCGGGAATGTTGAGATCATCACCTGCAGCAGCATTGACAACTCAGGAAAGCAACTTGGGGTCTCAGGACCAATCGCCGTCTCGTACACTCAAGGTTTATGAAGACCCGTTTACAGACAGCGCTCCGTCTGCAACGAAGCCAACTTTCAACGTTCCTGTTTTGGAGGATAAGCCAGTGAATGAGGCTGCAGGTAACTTGCCGAAGCCTAATGGCGAATTGCTGATGCCGGATATGCTAGACTCGCCAGAGAAGACTCGACAAAATTCCAAGCTGCTGGACAGTGGGATTACGAAAATTAGGAACAAGAATCTCGAAGTTCATGGCTTTCGAAAGCTGCAATCTCTGATGCGCGACAGCAAGACTGTCTTCACAGATGAAAAGTTTGAGGCTCTATTGTTGGGACTTTTCCAGTACCTAGAGGACCCTCTGCCCAGCCTTCCCACGGAGAAAGTGCAAGATGTCAAGGCCCAGATCTTGTCCACCATCAAGCTCTTACTTAAGAAGGAGCGGGATAACTTTCAACCCCACGTTTCCAAGGGTCTGGAGTCTCTGCTCGAGACGCGTGGGGGTTACGACACACGAGCTCACGTGGTTAGTGGCCTGGAGCTTTTGGCAGACGAGCTCGTAACCATCGGAGATGGTTCTGAAATTGTAGTTGTTCTCACCAAGAGACTTCAAACATGTACGGATGCTACGACGGAAGGGTGTCGTACCCTGAGTATGGGTCTGCACGTCCTCAGAGAGATGCTCGATAAGCGGACCGAGTTTGTTCCTGCAGACTGGGAACTAGTGCAGCTGACCGACTTGTCAAGTCGTTGTCTGGAGTCTGCCGACTCTGGAGTCCGCATGGACGCTGTCAAATTCTGTGTGTCGTTGCACGATCGTGTGGGCGATGCCGGATTCTGGGGCGCACTCAAGGATATCAAGGAGGATCCGAAGAGTCTTATTACGTATTATATTGTTAAGAAGCAGCGAGAGTAGGTTTCTGTCTCCTAGGGCTTCTGTTGACGATTTGTATTATTAATTACAAAAAGTTTTCTTTTTAGCTTGGGCGTTTGTGGGCGGCGGTAGCTGGGCGTTATTGGTACCATATAAACTCTGTTGATTGACTCATAGCACGCTATTGTATAAACACTGATGCACGCTTGATGTAGATTGGGCAGATCTGCCAACTGCTCAACCTGTGATTGCTACGTCTTGTCAGAGACGGTTATAGGTATTCGCTTATGCCGTGTATGGAGACGTAAAAGACATGTCCAAACTACTCAGAATACAAGCTGTAGTAAAGAAAGTCCAAGACGATGCAGTCAATGGACCGTGTGCTCACATTTCCCTCGGTGTTTCTGCATGTCAACAGTCCAGGCTTATTCATTCGTCGCCACTGGATCCGTCTGCGCTACTGCACAAGTACCTAGCTAGGTAGGTACCTAGGGTATTGAAAAGAAAAAAGGCAGCGCACGTCTCGTGCACTGCCGCACAGACAAGACATTCAACGCATCAAATATTCTTACAATCCTAAACAAGCTTCCTCAAAACACCGCCTACGCATGCTGAACGATGGATGACTCATGGCTTTGACCGCCAAGTCGAAGGCGCATCAACAAACAGACTTTCACTTACGGGGTTTATTTGTCTTGAGCACAATCAGGCAGAGGGAAACAGCAAAAAGAAGCGCCGAGAAAGAACACCAAGTTGCCCCGTACTGGAATCGAACCAGTGATCTTGTCATTACTAGTGACACGCTTTACCACTGAGCCAACGGGGCTGTGCTTGATGCGGAGACTGACGATGCTAGAATCCAACTATCAACTCGACTGCGTGGGGGCAACAGAGAACGTTGCTTCGCAAATTGGGACTCGGAGCAATATCTGACCCAATCTCGTTGATCAATTTGTTATGAATTTACTAATTTTTAATTTTTAAAATTTAAATATTTTGATCTTCTTAAAAAAAGATTTTGTTCAAACCTATCTAAATGATCGTGCAAGCACCAACTCCTTCAAGTAGGGCCCAGTGAGAGCAACGCAATGTGTCCGGCCGTACCCAAGCCAGAGGACCGCAACAGACCACGTAATAATTGATCAGTTTGTGTTGTGTTCTTGATTACGACTTGCAAATGGAAAATCCCTTGTCGTGGTAGGCAGCCTACCGGAGAAGAACTGACTGCTTCTCTACTAACTCAAATAGGGGCAATGACTCCACGTCACGTTCAATCTTTCTCTGTTCGTAGTCTTTTTGACCGGCTATATATCTCGCCGCAAATGCTGTCAACTGTCTATCTCTCTTCATGACCGTACCCTAACAACCTGCTTCGCACACCTCATACGCCGAATCTTTCGCGACCTGTCTTCCGCCGACCAGCGGAAGGAATTTCGCTTTGAAACAGAAGGGCTGCAGATAGGAAATCGCAACATAAACCGTAACCGCAGAAAAGGAGACGCGACTTCATGTACAGGGCCGCCGAATGGAAAATGGAAGGCACCGTGTCGAAACTAAGGACGAATCTGTCGCGCCTCTTCATCCATATGAGCTCTGAGAATTTCACTCAAGAGCCGGAGAGAAAATACAAAGATCGCAACATGTATATGGCAATGCAGACAATGTAGGGATGTAAAACTGCAAAGCACACGCAAAAGGGGGTTTTCCAGTAGCATGACAGCTGGAAACTGTATCAGATGCCTTGGGCGTAGCCTTCTAATTGGACGTTGACTACTAATTGATACCAAATGCCAAGTGATGAAGAAGTCGCATCATAAAAACGGACGTGAAAAAATATGTCCCGGCCAACAGAGTACTTTGTAAAAACGAGCCAATGCATCACCCACAGAACTCGAATATCGAAAAAGCGATTGAAAACAGAGAGGAAGCGGATATCATCATGAAAAGGTGAGGAAATATCAAACGCCAAGTTGTGAAAACCCGCTCGCATTTGATGTAGAAGTAGAAAACGTGCTGTGGACAAGAACAAAAAGCCAAAGTAAATTATGCTGGGACCGAGCGTGGAGAAGCTGAATAGTGTGCCGCTACCCTTTATTTGACGGATGATATCCATCATGAATCGTCAAAGATTCTGTTGGTGTTCTCAATAACAAATTGAACCGCAATGTTCTTGGCGTGCATATCCGTCATCTCGCGTTCAATGCTCAGGTCTCGCATGATGGTCGGCGCAAACACGACGGCCAAGTTCTTTGGTGACATCTACACACTGTTAGATTTTGATTACTAGACTGTAAGAATGTACACATACTAGATTCTCCGGTTCGCGCAAGGCAACGCGGTTGAGATGGAACATGAGGAATTCAAGGCAGTCGCTGTGCCTTTCCGGCATTGAGGCAAAGGTCTTCCTAAGATGGCTGCACCTCTCTGTCTCATCGGCAATTGCTGTTGCAATTGTCAGTATTGAATAGCATCGGAAAACTGCAATTGTTTTTCAATGACTTACCATTCGACTCCAAAACCCTTTCATATACATCAAATGTCAGTAGCGGAGTAGGCAATTTCCGGAAATACTGCTTCAATACGCTTGTGACAGCAGTGATATCCAAGTCTGGGTCAGAGATGTCAAAGTTTTCATTCTTGTCAAAGCCGTCCTTGATCATGTTAACCTGGGAATTACCACCAGTCTTGCGGTAGATACCCTCCTGATCCATTCCTCGAAGCTCAACTTCTTCAATACAACGAGTGACCACGGCAGGGATTTGCCGGCGCTCGTACTCGGTCCGCTCGACCAGGTCCGATCCAAAGAGGATTGATGCCGGTTCCGCCGCCGCCGCCAGTGCCACGGTGTTGGACGAGGCGGACTTCGGCATTGCGTTTTTCTTGCCAAAGAAGCCAAAGCCTTGCCTGCCAGGATCCATGTGCTGCTGCCTGTTCTGACCATTGAGTGCGCTGGGAGTTGCAGTCTCTACCTGTGTGACCGTCATATTGTAGGGCAGGCCAATGTTGTCTCCAACCAATCCCTGATGCTGCATCCTCTCGCGATCGTTTTGCTGGAAGGCGACTACGGCCCTGTTCACGCCCTTTGCAACGTTCTGTGCCATTGTCTTGGAGCCCTTCTTCCAGTTAAACTTCTTGGCTTGGCCCTTTCTGACTTGTACGACTGTAGGACCACTTTCAACAATCGGCTCTTCATCGCCCACCAGTGTGGTCCCAGTATTCAAGCTTGAAGTATCCAGATTGATCGACGATGCACCACCAGATTTGGTAGGACCATATATGCCTAATCCGTTGGGTGACTTGAGATCTCCAATTTGTGACTTGAAGCGCTCCTGGATTTGATGCGTGAGATCGTTATTCATGTCTGCTAATTGAGCATTCTTGGATGATAGTTGCTCAAATTCCATGAGCGCACGGTCTCTGTCCGCTATGGCCTGGTTCTTCTCCTCAACAAGCTGGTCTCGTTCCTCGTGAAGCTTCTCAATGGCTTCTGACATGGTCTCCTTGACGGCATCTAACTTATTCACAAAGTCTTTGATGGCCGAATCCTCCAGCTCTCGAGGATCAATCGGCGTCTTAGTCTCCTTAGCGCGTTCGACATAGCCAGCAAGAACCTCCAGCTGACGAATCATAATCTCAGTCTGCGTATCAAGCACAGATACCGTCTTGCGCTTTTCGACCAGCTTCTTGTTGAGGCTCTTGAGGTCCTTTTCCGTGTTGAACTGCCTCTCGAGCTCAGCGACACGCTGCTCGGAATTTCTAAGTTGACGCTTCAGCATTGCGGCGTCATCGGGAGGGGTCAAGGAGATGGGGCTGCTGATATCGTGGGGCATGCCGGGATGGTCATCCCCCATAGGGGTCTTGGGCCACCTTGGCGATACAGTGGCTCTGGTGGTTTCGCTGATACTTCTGGCGTGGTTGACTCTCCCGGAATGGGGTTGGCCGGTTTCCACGCTGCCAGTGCGGCCGTGGCGTACGACGTTGGAAACTCGCCGCAGAATAGAGGAAGAACCTTCATCAGTACCTAGGATTCTAGCCATATCTTCGTCCATGCTGAAGTCCCCTCCATTGCTCCATCTGGGTAGTTTCGGGGAGGTCTTGGGTTCAGATGGATCCTTTGAGCTGCCTGAACTCTTTCTTGGTGTTTGAACTTGTTCAGTGGGCGGCGGCGGCGGTGCGGTTCGAGGCTGTGTGTAAGAGTCGCTCAAGTTGTTTTGTTCTGACTGACCGGATCGAGAACTACGTTGTCCGATGGCTAATAAGACTCAACATGTCAGTGAAACTCCAACGGAAAGGGCAGCTCACTGAAATTACTTGCACTTACAATTCATACTCGCGGATGCAGGGAGTTCCTTCCGCGTAATGGCTTTGCTGGACTCTGAGCGAGAGCCACTTTTTGCACCATCCGTATCTTCAGACGTGCGAGATTCATTGGCTTTCCTGGCCTCAGACAGGTTCGAGTGACCATCCTTTCGCACAACGCCATTCGAAGTCTTTCCAGATGAGCCCTCTTGCGGAGTAGATGAGTGAGAGCTGTTGCTGCGAGTTGACAGCCCCCTTTTCTTTACCGGAGCATCCTGAAGCCTGAACTCATCGCCAGATACGGAGGCTTTTCGCTGGTCTTGTTCAGAGTTTTTGGTAAATTTGCCAGACTTGAGACGCGCTACATCGAGATCTGAGGAGGGCTGCCGTCCTTTTTCTTGGAATGCGATGTGAGGAGTGGATGACTGCGAGTCGTCTCGCTTATCGGACCCTGACCCTTTTGAAACACCACAGTAGTCTCTGTCCTTTCGTCTGCCGTTCTCGGTCGCATTGTCGGATGCAGATCTTGGTGTACCGGTGAGGGCCGGGCTGGGGTCGAGGGCCACGGGTATGAAGAAGCTTTCAGGTCCCTCTTCGGGCCCGGAGTTGGGACTCTGATAAATGGTTGAGTTGCGATTCTTTCGGTAGGTAGTGGCGGGTAGGCCCAGTCCTTCAGGCTTGCTAGTGGTATCTGATCTCTCCGGCGAGCGGGCAGGTCTTGAACTGCCCCGTGACGAAGATTCGTTGTGTCTATGTGTAGCGCGAGGGCGTGGGGAGAGCTCGGTTGGCGTGTCGGAATCGGGATCGACACGATCATTTGAAAAGGCGTTTGGAGGAATCGCGCTGGGTGGAAGAGCGGGAAGGGACTTTTCGGTTATCATGGGTGAGTTTTCCTTGTCTCTAGACTTGGCAGCAGACGCTGCCTTTGATTTCTTTCTCCGCCTGGCCATGAGAGTCTCGTGGCAACCCATGCAGAAAATGCCTTGTGAAGTCCTTGCATATCGCAGATTTTCAATTTTCCTCTTGCAGTTACGACATCGAAAGCAGGTGGCGCAAAATGCTTGGTCTCCCGTCAAGATAGCAAGGTCTTCTATCTTGTTGCCGCAAGCACTACAGCTGTAGGTGCAGTTATTGCAAATGAGTGAACCGTCGCCGAGGAGCAGAAGGTTGGCGTCTGAGTCGAGAAGAGTGCCGCAGGTATGGCAGCGAAAACAGTCGAGATGCCATCGGTTTCCGGCTAGAGGTTGAGCAACCATCAGCACCAGACTGGCCAGTCATAATCAGGAATATCATGACGCCCGCGACCGACACCAAATCGAGAGGCGAAAAGTGAGGGGGAAAATCAAGTGTAACCAAGGTTCGCACATGTTTTTGGGGCTATAATGCATGGCAAACATACCTAACTCGAAGGCCTTGCCTTCCTCCAGAATCTACACCAGAAAAACCCTTTGTCAGTATCGGGCTGCCGACAGAGCGTGGACTGATTGTACGAGAGCAATGTAGCGGGGGCAGACTAGGTCCAAGGGCACATACCTCTCCGCAGCCCTTGCAAGGGAAAACATCGTCATTGTCCAAAGGACTTTCGATATATTCATCGACTATGGCAGTCATGGCAAAAGAGTGCGGCACACACGGCCGGTCTGCGCCAAAACAAGAGCCGGTTGCGATATATATCGAATGTCGAAAGGTGATCGGCAGAGGTGGTCTCGTGGAACAGGTTCGTGGAGAGGATGATAAAGGCTCAGCCTGTCATGGACTCGACGGCAGAGAGGATTGGCTCCACGGAGCAGTCACGTCGCAATCGATGATCGGCAGCCTAAGAGCAATGATGATAGTGAAAACGAGGGACGACAAATGCATGAAGGACGGTGGAAGAGGGGAGCAGAAGAAGGGAAGTCTCGGGCTGGTGATGGTGCAAGGATGCGGCGCCGCCACGAGTCTTCGATATTACCATGGGCCTTGCACAAGCACAAGCACAAGAACGGGGGGGAGAAGAAGGATTGAGAATGGCCGGGAAGAGAGTGGCGTTGCCAGGGGTTCACAGTCAATTGGGAAAGAAAAAAGGTGTTGGAGGGCCTGCCACCTCCAGCGCTGGCTAGGCACGGAAGGGGTCGTGGGCAGATGTGGGCGTAGCTGTCATGTAATACCCCGTATTACGTGCCTGGCGTGTCGAGTCCTCCCTGGGTACGGAGTACTAGTATTTGATGTCTGGTGCTTGGACTTTATCGAAAAGCGGCTGGCTCAAGGCCAACAAGTCGATGTAAGGAAAGAAAGACTTGCGCCTCAGCAAAAAAAAAAAAAAAAAAGGATGGGGGGCCGGGGGTACGCAGCCTAAGAGCAATGATGATAGTGAAAACGAGGGACGACAAATGCATGAAGGACGGTGGAAGAGGGGAGCAGAAGAAGGGAAGTCTCGGGCTGGTGATGGTGCAAGGATGCGGCGCCGCCACGAGTCTTCGATATTACCATGGGCCTTGCACAAGCACAAGCACAAGAACGGGGGGGAGAAGAAGGATTGAGAATGGCCGGGAAGAGAGTGGCGTTGCCAGGGGTTCACAGTCAATTGGGAAAGAAAAAAGGTGTTGGAGGGCCTGCCACCTCCAGCGCTGGCTAGGCACGGAAGGGGTCGTGGGCAGATGTGGGCGTAGCTGTCATGTAATACCCCGTATTACGTGCCTGGCGTGTCGAGTCCTCCCTGGGTACGGAGTACTAGTATTTGATGTCTGGTGCTTGGACTTTATCGAAAAGCGGCTGGCTCAAGGCCAACAAGTCGATGTAAGGAAAGAAAGACTTGCGCCTCAGCAAAAAAAAAAAAAAAAAAGGATGCGGAGCACGGAGTACCTCGGTGAAGAATGAGCTATTATCAGGGAAGCAACGCGGGCTGGGGAGGCGTCTTGTTCTGAAGCTCGGGTGAGACGGACGATTTCAACGTTGGAAGGGACCGTCGTCAGCAAGGGGGCTTGAGTCGGTGGAAACAATGGATCGAGGCAGGCACTACCGACATCTGGACTGCACCTAGGGCTCGAGTGCCACGCTGTACTCAAGTAATATGTACTCTGAGGACAAGATGATGTGCTCAACCAAGCAATAGCTGCGGATACTACATACATGCTAATAGTCGTATTGATCTAACACATTGTACATGTTCCAATATTAACTACCTTGTACCGAACCAGGAAGGAGTCTCAGCTGCCAAGTTGCAAGTCAACGACGCCATGTTGGAATCAGGGAAACAGAGGGCCAAGGACGGAGCCAACCATCAGCAACAGAGCGCACATACAAATGCACGCCTAGCATGCACGCCGTGAGCAGCAGAGCACTCGTACAGCCAATTGCAGCTGTATCAAAGCGTCTGGCTCGCTTACGGTTGCTGGGCGAGGCCGAGGGCACCACCTGACCTATCGTCGAAACTCATGTCAACACACACTTACGTACGTCCAGATGTCAACCTAGTATGCTCAAGTGCCGTCCGCGCGCCAAGACAACAAAAGAAGCTGAAGAAGACGTTGCCGTGCTTCAGATGTCTCTGCCCAGTGCAGTCTGCAGCCCATGTGCTCCTCACGCTGGCTCCGTCAATGAATTGATCCTGGTACCTGACGCGCGACCTGCAAACGCCAGGCTGGCCCCTGCTCCGCCCTGCACATGTGTGTGCCCTGCCCTTGCTCTGCCTCGCCATACGGTGCCGTGCCATGCTCAATTGTTCAGGCGCCCGCAACCGAACCTGATTGGGGCCCTGAGATATTAGCTCGGCCTGTTGACCGCAACCTGAGCCTGGGAACAGACACTAGAAACATCACCAACAGATATCTGGCTCTGGCGGTCATGATGCCACTGTCGAACTCGGCTCGAACCAGCCGACCCAGCTGAAGCGTCTAAAGCACCTTCAAACATCCAAACACGAAACATCAGGCGAGCATTCCGAGAGCCCAAGGCGTCATGTTGATTGAAACGGCGCTCTGTCAGCTTCGACGCAGCCAGCGCGAGCTTCTTCGGCGCGTTTTAAGCTTGAATCGTGCGCTTGTTGAGCGCATAATGCTGGGCTCTTATCATGGCTGAAGCAACCTGGACGCATCTTGGACACGAATCCAGGCTTCCTCCCCCTATTTGTGATCCAATCTATTCCGTAGTCATCATCGTCATCATTTCGCCCCGCCGGCTTGTCTACCTGTTTTGCATTCCAAAGCCTCTGAAAAAGGTACGACTGATGAACCAAGTACTATGCAGTAATGAAGGCTGCAACCGCCGAAGGGATGAAACAGATGGGAACTAGTCACGGCTAGTAACAATGACTGACAATGGGAGTCCCTTGCTCACGCCCCAATATTCGTCCGTAGAGTGAACCCTTGTCTTCCTTGGCAGCCTGCCCACCGTCCTTGAAGAACCTGTGATTCAAGCCATGTCGAGACAAAATCTGCTGGCCGCCTCGTGCCCTTTGTCTCGGCATGCAGGTTGGTCCGGTGTAGACATCCTTTGTTCCTGCTGCCAGCATCTACCGTATCCGTCGCATTGATAATGATATATCACCAAATGCTCAAAATAGTGAAATAGCTGCTAGGTGTTTAAGGCTGTAGATGATCAATCACGAGCGTGCAATGGGCTGACAACCTGCCTAGGCACTCACTACCCCGTAAGCACTGCTTCGTCTTAATCTGCCAGGGAAAGAATTAGAGAGCTCACGACAGCTATCCAATTTACAATTATTTGTCGGCTAGATAATCGTCGTGGACACTTGCGTATGATCCGCCAAGCTGCCGACATATAAGGAAGCTGCGAGAAATGGTAACTATCTTTTACAAGGAGATCATTTCTCGTAACGTCTGCATATCTCTGGAAAATACCCTTTCCCTCAGCTTCTTCATGTCTTGGCAGGGTGGGATCAGACACCAGTGTCTAAAGCCGAGGATCGTCTAGCCGACAAATAATTGCACATTGGATAGCTGTCGTGAGCTCTCTAATTCTTTCCAATCTGTTCTCGCCATCCAAAGGGAGAAGAAAGAAAAGGGAGGGAGGGCTCCGTGCAGAATAATGCCACTCGGCTCACAAACAACCCCGTGCCATGCGCTTCGCAACTCAGCAATCCCACGCAGTCCGCGACACACGACGACTCCTCCATGACATGGCTTTCGTCCTCGCGCTAAAAGGTGGAACAAGGTGGCGTGGCTTGTGGAGGCGGATAAGGGGTATTCTGACACAACTTTGCCCGTGAACGAGCCAGCCGGGCGAATGACATGATGACACTGACACCTACATTGTCTGTACGGCGCCGGCATTGCGGGCGTTCACTTACAAACAGTCGAGTGGGGGGGAATGGACGGGTTCTACGCCATGCCTTGTTGTAGACCGGAGAAGAGGAGGAGGAAGCAGGTAATGTCTACCATCGTTGATCGATGTTTCGAGAAACCGCGCATATTAAACGGAGGGCGGAGGTACTTGTCAGAACGAGGTCAGTCACTACTATTGTAAGGTGTGGAGTCACATGATTCCGACCTGGCCTGGTCAATGCAGCCGGGATTTGCAGCCCCTTATAAACGGGCCTCGAAGGTACAATCCAACCCCTGTAAGTTTAGCCATGAGTGACCTGACAAGGAAGTTAGTGGGGTTTATTTACAGGGACTTTTCTGCTAACAGGAGCTCTTTTTATTTATATTAATGGCTGTTAACTGTAATATAGGTTAAATGACAGGGGAGTAGTGGGTCTTGTAAGAGTAACCTTTATTGATAAGAGATTTTATCGCGTTATCAGGTACTTTAAACCCCCATATGCTCTCTGTAATAGTGATATCTCATTGGCTTGAACCCCCCTTGCTATGTCACACCTGGCTAAACATTCAGGATCTGAATTGTATTTAGCTTCGTTCAACTGAATGGATTATCCATCATTCCCGTCACAACAATTACACGTCGAGCTAGTATGACCGAATAGAACGCCATACCTTTCCGGCTTCTCAGACAGTTAGTCAGCGGAGGATATATCTGCTCGTTATCAAGCATTTACTTACCTCTAGTGAGGTGCTACTACTCCTATGGAAGACTAGGGTACTTTTTGGCATTGACGGCATTGGCTCGGCTGCCAGGAAGATGGATAAACAGGAGTTTGGGGGCCAAAAGGCTCCCACATGATTCATCAGTGTGCACAGCCGTATAGACGCCGAGGTGTCTGCGTCTGGCGACAAAGTACCGGTCTACCATGTTTCCAAGCAGTCGTCAACCGCATGCCAACAAATCGACACCCATCCAGAATATATATTGATGTGGGTTTGGCTTGGCCCAACTCGTTTTGACGCGCGCGTAGGCAGGAAGAAGGTCCAAACAACTAGCTGGTACTGTAGATAATGACTCCCAACACCAGCCTTGATTGCTGTTCGCCAGGCACACTGCGCAATGTCATAAGTCAACAAAACCCATGCCGCTTCTTGGGTGCGATGCAGGCCGCTAGCAGCCGCATCAGGATGGAGATGCCAATGATGCTTAGTCAGGGGTAAAGCAGCCATCGGCCGGGGGGTGATTATGTGGATATCCATCCCAACGCCCACATTCCCATAACAAACAAAGACATGCGACATTGTTTGGCATCGCCGCATCGGCTGCTCCACTTGGGGTTGTGTTTCATCCTGATGGGCCCGCAGAAGGCGAAACAGGGAGCGACGTCTTGCCCTCGTATCGTCAAGTGCACATCAACCACAGAAACATGGGTCATCGGTGCCGTCACGAGCAGTAGTACTAAACTTTTTGCTTTTTGTCGTTGCTGGCAGGCTGTTCAGTCTTCTTAGCTCATTCGACCAACCCGGCCCTCATGCACCGACTCTCACTCGTACCCTTTGACACCCGTCGTCGCCAGCTTTCCCTATTGCGGCACCAGCAACGAGGCTGCCGATCTTGCCCAGGATTGCGACAGCATGAACAAGCTTTCCATGGTAGTGCCCCGATGATGTTTTTGAATTGGTCTTGGATCTTTTGCCTTGTGTGTGACGGGGGAGTGTCGACCTCATCGGGTAAATGAAACGGGTTGTCGTGTTGCAGGATAGCGACGTGCCTCAAACGACGTTGGTATCTGAGCAAAACCGTATCTCGAACACACACGACACCAGGCTGCATACTCGCTCTCGGTATGTTCCGCAACAGCTCGCAGTGAAACTCGGCGGCTCAATTGAACATGTTGGTACTAGTGCGGCCGATTGCAGATGTGAGGCATCACGGACAGAATCTAGATTTGACCTCGGAAGTTGGTCAACGAACCAGACCTGCTCGAGTTGTGGTCAGCCAACCAGAGCATAACCTGTCTGGTGGTAGTTTCGCAAAACCTCCGGCGGTATCCATTATTCCCCCCCGGCACGGCAGTTATGCAAGGCAATTATACAAGTTTTATTCGGCACACCTGTGTTCGACCACCACGCACCGCATTACCTACTACCTAGCATTGAATGTGGTTTTGGTCACATGCCGGCCCTTCGACCTCGGAACCAAACCGAAGGAACTTGATATTGCTGCACTGGACACATACGGCGAGAAGCATTCAGTATTGCTCAACGACAATGGTCAGAAATACAAAGACCACTTCGACTCAGGGTCTAAGAGGATACCATTCCCAGACCAAGTCCCTTGATCACATTTTGGCCAGCCGAGGCAGATCAGACGCCATGCCAATCTTGGCCTCCAGTGCATATATTTGCACAGACATACATCCAATGTACGGTGGTTTGTTCTTCCCGTCCGCTCCATCTGCCTACCGAGGTATGTATGCATGTACACACAGACGGTGATGTGAGATGATCTCCTCTTGAAATATCCAATTCCCGGCGCCGCGACTGCCCCAGGTGCGACGAACTCGCTGGCAAGGTACAAGGTCGTTTGTAACGTGCTGGTCGGTGATCACATCGTCATGTACTTCGTATCATGTCGTATAGCATCCCTGGCGGGCATCCCCTTGAAGCATCGCGACCGACCACTTCGCGCTCCTGCGCCAATATAAGCATTTCTATATTAGGAACAAGCCCCGTTCGGACCTAGCCTCGAATTGCGAACGGCCATGGCTCCGGCTGCAATCCTCCGTCTTCCCGGGGACCAACCATCCGTTGAACAAGTGTGCGTGCGTAGTTTGCGGCAGACCAATGCAGCTGTTTCAGAATTCATCAGCCACAGCGGCAGAGCCTCGACAACACATGCTCTGCTCGGATGCCTGTTTCCAAAAGAAATGACGCGATGACTATTGGATAGAGCAAATTGATGTCATTCGTTTTAAACCTTAAATTGTATCTTGGACATGGCTGATGGATTCACCGTTTTTACAGAAAAGGTCCACCAATCGGGTGCCGGGTATATGCCAACATCTTTGTGATTTCCTTAGATGTTCCTCTTCATATATACCTATACACGTACTTTGGCACGCCCAAGTTCGTTGCACAGTTGCCACGTGTTGAGTATGAGGCCGAGGCTATTTATCCCTGACGAAAGGAGGACGAGGGTAGTAGATTGGTCGACTTCCAAAGGTGTTTGATCGAGCTTGGGACAACGTGTGCAAGGAATCGGGGATGCCTGATGGTAGCAAGTCATCGGAAAGGATTCGATATACACGTGAAAATGAATTCTCGGTCGTCTTTAAATCCACAATTCGATCTCTCCATAATATCGTCATGTACATGTGTGAGGACGGGCCATCGAGGTACTTGATATCGAGTTTGTGGGAGCGGTATAATAAATACCGGCTAGGTCGACTAATACTCTGGTCAACACATCAGTGAAAATTACAACCACACGTTTTGCCTCTTTTTACTACCTTGAGGCAATCCCTGGCATATTCGTGAATAATGTATTTTGTCTGTATTCTACAAAAAAAAAGTGACAGCGGATATCATCACAACGTTGGCCAATTCAGAATCAAGCTCGTTGCCAAGTCCACGAATGAAATTTCCGGCCCTTCTCAACACCTTGATTCACTTCTCCATAATCCTCTTCACTTTATCGAGTAATATCGTACTCTCCCTACCCAACTTCTTCTTGCCATCCCTCCCGATGGTCTTTGCCATGGCCTTCCTAAACCGCTCCCTCTCCGCGAGCCTTCTCTCCCTCTCCTCTGTCCTCCGCTGAATCTCCTGAGCCTTCTGCTCGGATTCCTTTTTGCGCTCCTCTGCCTTTTTGAGCTGCTTGTCGTAGTAACCTGGCCGTCGGGTGCGTCGTCTCATGCCATCGCTGGTAGGATCCGCGGACGCGCCAGCGCCTGCTTGTGCCTTCTCCTCATCCTTGAGCATGAGTTCTCGTGTTGGATGCATTTTCTCTTGTCCTTCTTCCTGCGACTTGGGCGTCTCATCTTGTGGATTTACGCCATCATCGTTGTCATCCTTTTGCTGCTCGCGGGCCTTAATCTTGGCGTATTCTTTCTTGACCTTGGCTTTTTGAATGAGATCCTTTTTTATTTTTGTAACTATAAGTCGGGTTTAGTATGTGAATATTTGGAGTCAAGGTGAGGCTGAGATTTCTGATTTGAGGGTGGCGGTATATTTCAAAGTTTCGAACCTTTTCTTCGCCATGGCCCATCAGGCAAATTATCTGGCCCTACTCTAAAACCGCGTTTGGGTTTCTTGGCCTCTGAAGAGGGCTCTCCTGATTCAAGAGGTCTCTTGGGAGCCATTTTGGCGTACAATCAACGCTGCACGGATTTCGTGTCGCTCTTACGATGGTGATTTTCTCATGGATGGTCCACCGAGTGTGAAGTTTGCTCAGGAGCCTGATAAGAGTCGGTGGCAGCGACCGAAGTGGGGACCCTGAAGATGAATGCAGGGTCCGCATTGGACCAGCACTGCTAATGTCGACTGCGGAGCATGGACATGTCTGGTGCGCAGGCACTTACACGAATGCAACAAGGGAACAATGAACAAGACAGGCATGTCACCGGTGTAGACATGGCAAAGTAAATCCGTCGTGAAGGAATGCACAGTCAGTCAGAAGGGAAAGATTCCTTGGACAGAAACAGGCGGGTGCATATGCACATGAACGCATGCAGTAGGAAGGAGCACTCAGTCACTTGGGCAGGGTTTTAATGTTCAAATCAGTGTCTGGTTTGGTCAACTAGTGTTTGGGCCCCAACACAGGAGGCCAATGTGCCGAGTCACAGGCTACATGGTCCACTGGTGCTAAAACTTGGCGGTCGGCACCCCAATGTCGCCCCCCTTGCGCACTGTATTGTATCACTCGCCTGACCAGAGGGGTCTGGTATAAATGGTGCATGCAGTTCAATGTTGCGGCAGTAGTCGCCGCCAGGCAGCCACGGATGGCCACTGAGGGGGAAGGCGCGAACCACTGAAGATGCCCAAAGTGGTTCTTGCCGTTGCAATGGGCATCACCTGCTGCATCACCTGCTGCACCGTCTTGGCTACCATTATGCAAGGTGGCATATAATATATGCGGCGTCGGCGCGCGGTGCAAAGACGAAAGACGGGACCACAATGTTCATGTCGAGTTGGCCAGACATCTGGGTTCTTGACAGACTGCCAGGCTGGCCATGTTGGATGTCGGTTGATGCAGGTGGGGCGATTGAGCAGACCCAGTCCCAAACCTCGTTAGCCCATGACCGCCACCAACTCTAGACTGCTGAAATCGACCGCATGACGACGTCTCGCCTTGTCCACCGGCAGACGATTGACTGCTTATTGAACGCCTGATCCCCATTCTTGTCCCACCGCTCTCGGCCTGGCCATGATTCACCGCTTATCGTCACCAAGACGTACATGTCCTTTTATCTTGTGTCAGTTGTCAGCGCTCGCAACAGTAGCTTGTAAGCTCGTCCGGTTATTACCCATCTTCCGGCCTGTTACAAATACGCGATTGGAACTTGCATCTTGTCACCCTTGACCACCTTTTGTCCTCGGATCCCGCCGGCAGCTGAAACCGTTTTGTTGGCTCGTGTGCCCATGTCCATTGGCCCTTCCGCCTCCCATCTATACGGTACACTGTGGCCGGCAACTTGATATCATTTCTTGTTCGTCTCCGAAAGCTTCTTTGTTCAGCAGCTTTCTTGTCGTGGGAATTGTAGGCGTTGATTGTCGTCAAACTCTCCGTTTTGTGCCGTTATATATTGGAGAACCACAGCCCAGTTCTGAGCTGTGGTTCTTCCGCTTCGAATTCAATATGCCTATTTTCCAGGACGACCTCGAACCCGACCGCCATCGTCGTCCCGGCCAGCCGAGCCCGCTACAACCAGAACCCACGTCTCCGGTCTCGAGACGTCTTTCCGAAGAGAGCTTACCCACGGAGCTATGTGACGGGCCGGTCCCTAATGATCCAACACGACCGACGACACCGAAGATAGACGAGGAGGCTGCCATTTCTTGCCGAGCGGAGCTCATTGAAAGGCTTAAGAGGGGAGAGAGCCCGACTTGGGTCCCGAACCGCCATGTAAGTTGTTGGCTGTATGGCACTTTTACAACCAAGGCCTGATTCTAACATGTGCCCCTGCGATAGCTTGAATCCATCCTCCAACGTCGCGATAGCCCTGCGAACATACGTGCTTCGCCCGAGTCACCGAGACTCTTACCTCTGGTCCAGATCACCCCCGACAAAGTCGATCCTGGGACCGAGAATACTCTAGAAGATAGGCTGCAGGACGGCTTGAACATCGAAAGGCCAAGGTCGGCCCTTCACAGCGGAGATTTTACACACGACCAAGCGGAACAGGACAGACGATCGAGTTTTCTCAACCGGCAGCGAGTCGAGAGCCAGCTGGCCTCGGAATCATCCTGGATTGCAACTTCACCGCCCCGGGATTTCACACCATTCAACTTTGAGCGGAGGATCCCGTTCCAGAGCGATGCTGGCAGTTTCAGGTCTGTCACTGCGTCGCCGCTATCGGCCTCTCTTTCATCAAGGTTCGCCTACCACCCGCCTACAAGTCCGCTTGTACAATCAGAAAGTAATGATGAGTTGGATTTCTCCATGGCCCCAAGGAGCCTCGATGTGCCGACTAGGGAGTTAAATCGGAGACTCTCTGCAATCAACTCGACCGGTTCATCACCGTTTACCTCGCCTTCTCCAATGGGTGGTTCAAGGTTATCTTTTGGCCGACGAGATGGTTCACTGCCTTGGCAGGCTCATCAACCTCGAAGGTCTTTAACTTCCACTCCTACTTTCGCTTTACATGGAACGCCCCCCCAGTCACCGGCAGTATTCCGTGCAAGACGACCATCTTTTGGACCAGATTCGTCACCAATTCAGCATGCATCCATGGTTTGCTCATACGAAGAAAGCATTCTACGTGGTCGAATGTCCACAACGCCGTCAAAGCCGTTTGATTTCACGGCTCAGATTGGAGTTCTCGGCAAGGGGAAATGCAAATCCTGCCTCCGCTGTCCACCACACGTTTCGCTTCATTTTGCTGCGGTATACTACAGCTACAGCAATACGGCCCATGGTAGATCTCGTTCTGACGATGGGCCAAGCCCGTACGTTGGTCAGATTGATCTGGAAAATGGTTTACCTAATTCAGAAGAGGAGTCAAGGTCTAGGAGAAAAGCGCACGGTCGGTATTTGGACCGACAACCCGTCAACAATCAGTCTGTGGATACCCTGATGCCCGATTTCGAGCCCGACCATGATCGACCAGGAACATCTCGGCCAAGGCGTCGTACGGGCTCTCCAAAGGCTCCTCCAGGGGGCAGTTACCGTATTCCGGAAAAGGGACAGATCCAAATCGTCATCAAAAATCAAAACAAAACGGCTGTCAAATTATTCTTGGTCCCGTATGACTTGACTGGCATGGAACCCGGTACCAAGACATTTATCCGGCAGCGTAGTTACTCTGCCGGACCTATCATAGACCACGTTCCCAATCTCAGCGAAATGGACGCGCAGAGTCGCCCTATGCTCAGATATCTTGTTCATTTGCATATTTGTTGCCCTTCCAAGAGTCGATTTTACTTGTACAAAAGTATTCGCGTTGTATTTGCCAACAGGGTACCTGAAGGGAAAGAAAAGCTCCGGAATGAAACCACATGGCCCGAGCCTAGGTTTACACCATATAAACCCATCAGGGTCATGCACCCACCACTCAGCATGTCTTCCGGCTCAGGTTCCATGTTAGCAGCAGACAAGGCCTTCCGACGCCGAAGCCTGGGAATCACTTTCGGCGGAGCCTCGTCTCGAGCGTTGGACATGGTCGACGGCTTTGACTCTACTGGTGGCGGAAACACTCTGCCCATCGAGCCCATCCCCTTTCGGCTACCCACTCAAGGTCGAGGAGACAGCGACACGAGCAACTCAATCAGCAACCCAGCGGCTGGGCTACGCTCGCCGGAATCTTCTCAAGCAAGCCGCCCATCGACCAAGGACTCAGCAGGACTGGGTGTCTGGGATGGTAGTGGTGACGGCACTAGTTCACCTTACGAGAAGCTTAATAGAGGAGATTTTGGCTACGGAGGCTCCCCGTTCCTTGACTTCTTCGGCAACGGGTCCCCGGGCGGAACAGAAGGCCTACTATCGCAACGACTTCGTTCGCTGGGCGTGAACAGGCCGCAGCCGCCAGAGTCAGCTGAGGACTTGGCATGATGCCTGGACGTCATCAAATTTATGTATAATCATAGGAGTTAATCAGCTTGGGCACTTTTGTATTTTGGAAAGTGAAGAAAAGAATGGGCGAATGAGCACTGTAGGGGTACGTACATATCTTCATCATAGACAGCTTTAGCGGGACTTGTTGGGCTTTGGACTGGGCGGAAACCTTTTTTTTTTTTCTTTGAAGAGTTTGAATACAGCGCGCCCCAGGGCATTGTAGGATACCTTTAGTATATGCGTACGTTAATGCAAATAAATATCAACGCCAGCGCCATATCGCTGCCAGACCGATCCGTCAATGGCAACATTTATCATGACAAGTGTTTCCACAGGGTGTTGAAATGTTTTACAGTTTGTATCGAGTCAGTCCCTTGTGTTGCGCTTACTGCTAATGTACATTGATCTACTTTTATACACGGATAATATACAACACGCCCACGAGACCATACAACTTAGGCAGGTGTAGATGAGTCCCCTCTACTGGCCACAAGCTCCTTCTTCAACACGGAGTCCAAGGCCTCCAAATCACCAGTCTTGAAGGCCTTTGTCAAAACCTCGCCCTGCGTCTTTGACCGTCCTACAACGACATGAAACGGAGAACGCACTACTTTACGTGTCTTTTGCTTTTCTAGCCGCAGCTGCTTTTCAAGAGCCTTTTTCATTGCTTTCAATTCATCGTAGGACAATGGGCGAAGCATATTTTTTATAGCCTTTGTCATGCTCTGCTTCCTGGGGAGGACCCACGTAGCGGGTAGGTGTTCGTAGTCTGTGGTGATGAAGGCGTGGTGTAGCATGGGGTGACGGCGTTCGATTTCCTTGAGCTTGGAAGATATGTCACCGGACCAGGCGGCGAGTTTGCGGAGCTTGAGCCATTCCTTTTGGAGGCTGAAGACGGTGGCTTTAGAGGCTGCGGGGACACGGGTATTTTTCATGTCTCGTCGTTCTTGGAGGGACTTGGTAGCGGGCATCCAACCTCGCCAGCGGCTCATGAGGTGATCCTCACACCAGTCCATTGCGCGTTCCCATAGGCCCATTTCGGCTAGGTAGCGGATGCAGAGGTTCCAGTTTGTGCTCGTGAGTTTGAAGCCGGCGCTTGTGAGTTGTTCAACTGTGTTGAGGAGGCCGAGACCATCGTTGGCTTCTCGGTATGCCTTGGCAACAACGTTGAGCGGTCGTGCAAGATCGTATTGAAGGGCGGGATAGATGGCGCCTTCGGGAGTCTTGCCGCTGGCTAGAGCGGCATCCAACGTATGCTGCCACATATCATGAACTTGGCCACGTTTCCCCTCCTTAAGATAGCCCAGCATCAAGGCAGAAGCAATGTTGGGAGGAAAGTAGTTTTGTTTCTTGAATTCAGGAAACACGTCGAGGTATGCCGTCACCAGCCGCTCAACAGCCACAAAATCCCTGAGTTCTACGAGTAGCATGATTGCTCGGCCAATCTCATTGGTTTGCCTTTTCAGCTCAACAAGCCCAGTTAGTGTACCGCGTGATGGTACATCTGGGCTTCCGCTCGGTACTGTGGTCTTGGTGGGCTGAAGCATTGAGTACAGGTGTTCCACAAGATCTTTGGCCAACGCTCTCGTGTTCTGCGCTGACGGGGCTCGACGGAACGCAGCCTCAACAAGAGACACATGCGCATTGAGAGGCACGGTGAAGCCAGCAGACCGCATGTGTGATAGAACTGTCTCCGCTAGATCTAGTTGACCTGTACGAACGGCACCAGTCATGACTACTGCAAAGTGCTCTGGACCAAGCGGAAAGAGGCTATTGTCGCAGGCATTTCGAAGCAGTCGATATGCCTGCTGGACTTGGTTGACTTGGACCAGAGCCTGAAGCAGATACTGGTGGGTTTGGTGATCCCACTCCAATCCATATTTTGTCATGGACTGTAAAATGCTGTAGCATTTATTCAGTTTGCCTCGCAAGCCATTGAAGTATATCAGTTGGTTCCAAACAGCCGTGCTGCTTACATTGCGTTCGGCAAACTCGGCACAAATTTTCTCAGCATCTACGAAGCGATCGTTGTGACAGTAAACCAGGACCAAAGCCATTGCCATCTCCCTTGAAATCTGTACACCAGCTTTCTGGGACTGATTGTAGAAGTCCAATGTAGTTGCAAGGTCTCCTTTCTTGGCTGCCATTGCCATGACTTGTGCATAGGTGAAGGAGTCCGGCTGGTGGACGCTCTTGATCTCTTCGAAGCATTGAAAGACACGAGCGTGATCGTTCGTCTTTGTATAGCATTTAAGAAGCATGTTCCATGTGTCGACATCGGGCTTTACCCCGTACTGTTCCGTCATAATTCGAAACTCGCGTTCGGCTCCCGCAACATCGCCAAGCTGTGCATACACGTTCATTGGACCTCGAAAAGCTTGAGGCGTCTTCAGAGCTTCCGGAAAAAGTTTCGTGTACCTTGCCCACAGATCTTTGACGGCTGGGACATCCCCCGTGGTGGAATGAAATTTTAAAAACTTCTCATATCCCCACTGATCAAGATCACCCCAGGCTTGGTACCAATCGGAATAGATTTGTGCCAAGCCAGCCGCATCTGCCGGGTAATAAAAGTTGAACATTTGTCGTAGTAAGAAACGAGGCGGTTTCGCGTGGTACATCGTGCGGTATTGCCGATAGATCTCAGGGAGCATAGCCAGGCTTGCTCTGGTTTCAAGCCCGTCGTTCCAGCGCCTTAGCATACGGAAGAGATATGACCTATATAACTTCTCGTCGTTCCATATTTGAAGAATCGTCTTTGCCTGTCGAGGCGAACATGGCTGTCGTAAAACTTGTTGTGCCAACCAGCGACGGAGCGCCCGAAGCCCGTGACGTGTATCCTCGTATAGATGAATTGCTTTGACGGGACCAGCTGCTTCGACTGCCAAGTAATGTTCAAATGAAAAGTATAGTTGAGCCAAGTCGGGAACCAATTTTAGCAATGGTACGTCGGCGTAAATAGATGAGGTTGTCATGTGACTTCTCGTGAGATGTGAATTATAGTCTAGCCACACCTTTAGTGCAATTGACCACTCTTTGTTGATAATAGCATATTCCAAGATGGATTTGAATCCTGCTCCGGAAGACTTTGTCGCAAGTCCGGTATTGAATACGTCGATCGCGGCTGTCCTATCTCCAGCACGCAGGTACAGTAAAACACCTGCAGCTTGCAGCTTTTTGTCCCACAGTTCGATGGGTATTTGTCGAAGTAGTGAGACGGCTCGGCCCATCTCTACAGAGCCATGGGACGTAGACAGATATATGACGACTAATGCCCGTAAATCTTGTTTGTGGCTTTCATCCAACCTACAATATAGATCCCATACATCATGGTAGTTCTTCTCTTCCGGTCTGCTGAGCAAATCTTTTAGAATTTCGGGGTGTGCCTTGCGGCTCGACCGTGAAGTGTCGTTCGCTTTGATGGATTCTCGCCGAGAGCCGTGGCTCGTAGACCGTATTTTATTTGCAGACACATCCGAGGTCTGGATACGGACTGCACCTGAGCCAGCCCGTGGCATATATTCCCCAGTTCGGTCGGTCACCCGGCCGAGACTCTTGCTGCAACGAAACGATGCAACCCTTGTGTCCACCTCTGTAGCAGCCATTGATGAAAAGGTTCTTCTCCTTGATGCTCCTGTAGGCTTATTCTCGTTTTGAGTCCGCGGGAGCGACGGGTATAGACGCCTTAGATAGGCATATGTCCCACTTGGGTACAGAAAGTCGAGAAGAAATGTCGACGCCAAGAGCCCGGCCTGCAAAGGCTGAGTAGATGGATCAACAATCTCATGTTCTTCCGGGGCGCCTCTGGTTGGAGCAGGCCAGATACTGAACAGCTCAATTGCGGAGGCTCCATGCTGCCAAAATCCCGTATGGAGCTGCCTGCAACGTCTCGAGGCTCGAGCCGGCTTAGAAAAAACGCGCTGGAGATTGCGTGATTCCAGGCTAGCGGCTGTTCTTTCTAGCATCAGGCCTCGTAAGGGCAGCCCGCTGCACGAGTTGCCAACACCTACGCCCAAGCTGATAATAGTACGGTTGGCATACGTGCGGTGAGAGGGACTGTCGCGGTTGAGAAGCGGTTGAAGCTCCGAGGCCCAGGGTTGATATCGTCAAGCGTAAACGGCAGTCGTGAGCAAAAGTAATCAGCGACCGAGAGAACTATCCAATCATCTGAATGAGATTATGTGCTAGCCAAGTCTCATGTAGCAATGTACCACCCTGTATATGCGGCAGCTGCAAAGGTGGTAAGATGGGTGCTGCAAGACGAGCGGATTTGACGTGGAAATTCGTAAGATCAAAAAGTTGGGCTTGGAAGATTGAAGCTCCTATCGGGGCTACACGGGTACGTACCCGCCAGCAACCGACAGCCCTGGAGGTCATTGACTCAGCACGTGCAAGAGAGCAACTGCGGGCCGCCTCAGGTGTCACCACCGGGTAACAATGTGCTGAACTCCACCATGCCGGTACTCAAGTACATACCTACCTAGGTTAGGTAGGTAGGTACTAGTACTCCGTCCTATTGCATTAGGATGAGTGGGACTGGCCCGTGGCAATTGCTTAAATGGGGCAGATTGATGCCATGATCAGCTTCGGATTGGAAATTGGGACACATATAAAAGGGCTACGAAAGGCTGATTGAATTGTTTATTTTTGTAGTTAAACTACATAGGTAAGCATTTTTGTAAGAAAAGGAAAAAAAAAAAAAAGCTATTGTTAACGCCCAGCAATCCCAGTCATTCCTGCTGAGTGCTTCAAAAACACTTGCCGTTTCCCCGTCACAACTCCGTTGCGTGTATGCCAAGAAAGTACATATGAGAAGCTAAGAAATAGAATGAAAACACCCCACTCATCACAATCATGCTTTTCTTTTGTCCCAAACAACCAATCTCCCAAGTTGTTGGTTTTTCATGCGCCACGTGCTACACAAAGTCCTCCGTATCGTACAAGAAAATACAATCTTGTTAAGTCCAAAACAGTCTATCGATCCATGTTGATGCTAGTTTCCCCTTTTCTTCTTCTTTTTTATGCAAGGTCATGCCTGGGCTTTGTTATCTGTGTCATCGGCATGTCCGTACAAGACTTCGTGTCTCAAGCTAGAGAGGATATCAGGAGACCGAACAGGTTCGTGGTCCCGTCGAGATCCTCTGCTTCGGCTTCGGCTTCGGCTTCTTGTCCTTTGACGTCGTCTGAAGCTTCGGTCGCTAGGAGAGGCAGTGCGGGATGGACAGTGCTCCCGGCGAGCCCGTCTGAGTTGGTTGTACAGTAAGATCTGGCTTGTAGGCGACCTCAGGATAGAGGGAGAGGTGTTGCGAGAGGGCAGCGGGAATGGAGACGTAGCACGGCGTGGTGATCGTCCTCGAAGTGTGCTAGACTCGTCGGGTCTAAAAAGGGACTTGGAGGTTGTAGCTCTGGATGTGCTTCGGGACCTCTTGCGGCCCCTGGATACCTCTTGTTCCGCGGCGAGATGGGCGGCATCTCGGAGAACATCGCCGGCATCAGCGAGAGGAGACATTGTTTCCCCGTGTGCCGTCGTGGCAAAGGTACTGAGGGAGGATAGTATAGCGGCGTTGAATTGCAGGGTGTAGTAGATGGAAAGGGTAACGGTAACAGTCGTATGCCCTTGGTGTCTGTTGGCCTCGACAACAATGGAACCACGGGCACCGCGTATGTACGTCCCGGCAGTCAGTGCCACGAGTAAGAATTTAAATACTGTAGAATTGAAGGACAAGGAATGGAAAGGGGGGTAATGAGCAAGGGGGATGCAATTAAAATACAAAACAAGAACAAAGAATAACCCAGGGAGGGGTGAGCCGTCTGGTTCTGGTCTTGCGAGTGATGGGCACAGCGAGTTCCTGGCCCAGGCAGGCAGTGTGTTGTCTGTTAGACAATTGTCTTGCTCCGTGGAGTCTCCTCCGGCTGGTACCCCCGTAGCGCTCGTCGTGCTTGCTTCCTCGCATACCATCCGTCCTCAAAATAATTCAATCCACGATTGGCGCTAGACACAATTGCACCAAGCCGGCCAGCCGGTCCTCGAGCGAGCTCCATCCACGCAGACCAAAAGCCCAACCTAGGCAAGGTGAGGTCACCTGAGACCTCCCCAAAATTAGGACGAAGCCACCAAACCTTGATGTCGGCACCCGATCCTGAGAACTGTCACCACACGGATGGCGCTGGGGTGTTTGATATGCCACAAGCAGACAAGCGGAGGCACTGGGCAACCACGAGGTCTGTGATGCCTTTTGGTGACTCGGGATCTCGCGACTCTTCAATCTGCATTGTCCCAATCAAGTCCAAAGCCAGGACCGCTGCCTCCGGTGCTCCATTGATGTCATGCTACCGCAGCCAATCCGCCAATCCACCTCCTAGGCCACCGCACCATTCCCACGGATCCTTGCTTTGGCCACGCATTAGAAATGCACCCAACTCTTTCTTCCCTCCGGCCCAGTCAGGCCTATGCGGCCCCCCTACAGTACCAATAAATGCGTACGCGAGAAACGCCAGTCATCACAATCAAACTTGACTGGCCACGGGACTTGTAGGGTCCGATTAACAAGCACCCTCTCGAGAATTATATACGCTCTTTTTATAAGTGCGCTTATTATTAGGGTTATCCACTCGTGGTTGAGGGTTTGCCCTTATCTGATTATGCGTACGTAATTTGTACCCGTAATAAGTGACCCATTCTGACAATAAACATCCAGGTTACAGGGCTTTTCATCCTATTTTAATACAAGCAAGGCAGAAAACAAATGATACAGAGGAAGCCAAGAGAGTCACTACCATGGGTGCTCTAGAGAGTTGAAAGCAGAACCAAAAACTGTCCAACTTACAGGAGCATAATTTCCACCAACTTTGAAGTAACCAACACCTTTGGGGGCTGCACGATCAAAGTCTTCGCACACGACACCCTTGATGCCTCCGCCAATCCCATGGTATGGGACGGCCGGATGGCAGTATACGGCAAAAATGGTCTCCTCGCAAGGCCCCAAGAGTAGTCCATCGCTGCTGCCAAAGAGGACGGGTCGAATATACAAGAAGCCTTGTGAATTTTCCGGTGGCACATACTCCCCATTGGAAGCTACAGCCATACGAATACACTCAAGGAAGAGCTCTTCTGGGGGCGGCGGGAGGCAGACAGCCGCAGCGGAGCCTGCCATTCGTTTCGCGTGAAACTCTGGCCGAAACACAACAATATCGGATGGCGTGCGAAAAGCTTTGAGACCCTCGTAACATTGTTGACCGTAGTTTAGCGCTGGTGAGATGCCAGAAATGGCGATTTTGGGGTCGGTTACCAGTGTAGGCGCAGTCCACTGCTTGGTTGACTGGTAAAACCGTGCCTCTACGTGCCCATTAAGAGGCAAGTGGTCGGTGAGCTGCAGTTTAGCCCAATCTACAGGTCATGGTTCGTTATGGACTGCTTCTTCGGAATAGTACCGTTCAATCTCAGGCCAGAACTTACCAATATCTGAGTTGGGTGCGGGAATAGCCATATTGAGATACTCGGGGGCCAGGTGTTGAATTTGCGAACTGCTAAAGCTACTGGTGTTTTCGACAGTCCGGAACTGTCCAATTCACCTCGTTCATAAAGGGAACAGGAATAATTTAAAATAAGATAGATTCGCAGGCGTAAATTTTCTTTCCGGTATAAGGAAGACCGCGACTTGATGTCCATATCTATGCTCGTATTCATCGGAATACACATGCTATTCTGCATGTTTTCTTTTTCCCCATTACGGCAATTTTGTCAACTGTCATCCCAAGGCTTTATTGTTGAGTACCCAAACCGCGCAGATGATTCGCGTTGTGTAGTCAACCCTGCAAGTACTAGTAATCACAAGCCTAGTCGCATAGTAATCGACCCTCAACTTCAGTGGAACGCATATTTAACACAGAGGCATCACGACGAAAATCAATCTGCCAGATTATTGCCTGAGTTAAAGTGACTGGTAATGAGTTGCCTCTGCCCCAACTTTTAAAGGAGAATAAATGAAGGCCCTAGTTAACAAGCACCCTCTCTGAGTTATCAAGCACCCCCATTGTGGCTGGGCCCCTTCAGGTGCCGGTGTCGGAATTTACTAGTAATTAGTAACATTGGTAACATTGAAGGCAATTTAGACAGGCCGGCCTCACAGTCACCACTAACGCCGCTTGCAGCGCACCACACACCCACCACACCACCACAACACCAAAATAACAGGCCACAAATAACGCACGATATCTGAAGAAGCCGCCGATCAACTTCAACAGCTATTGGCCTTAGAGCTGTTGATCAAGACGATTCATACGAGCCGGGCACCGAGGGCCCTCGAGCCCATATGCGTATTGCAGCCGCAATTGAAGACTGTGCCTTAGAGCTGTTGATCGAGACGATTCATACGAGCCGGGCACCGAGGGCTCTCGAGCTTACATGCGTTTTACAGCCGCAATTGAGGACCGTGACGATATCAATGAAAATGACGGAATTACGGCCTTGACACCATAAAATTCATCGCTAAAAGCCTCACAGCGTCCTTTTACAGAGTCATAATGGGGTAGTTAAGATGCCTCCGTTTATTTAGGATGATGATATTACGCCTGAATTTAAAGGTAAAATGGATCAGGTCTTTGAAGAAATGACATAACAGGCAGCTACGATAGATGATATTATGCGACAGCCGGTGCCGACGATAGAAATCTCTGAATAGCTTCATTTAAATAGATTAATTCGAGTGATTTTTTGCGAAGGCGCGACCGTACAGACAAGACAACCTTTACGTTATTCCCATACAAAAATCTATGGGGGCCCGGTATCGGGTGCCCCAGCCACAGCAAGCCACAATGGGGGTGCTTGATAATTCAGAGAGGGTGCTTGTTAACTAGGGCCGACTTGTACTAGTCTACGTGCCTACCACCTGCCAGAACCAAGCAGAGACACGGAAAGATTGGGGTGCGAGAGAGCCCATCGAGATGCGGCTGGCCGTTTAGTTCTTCTTGTCTGCCGCAGAGGACACTCTCGATGCCCCGTCCAAAGCCACGGAATCATCATTTTCGCAAGTGTGCTCGCCTGCGACGGACCATCTGGATTCTCTGGCGGCTGTGCGTTGTTCCCGTCTTATCTTTCTTTTGGGACTGTCCCGAGACGTTTACTTAGGCCTCAACGAGTGGGTGGGTTTGTTTGTTGTCTTGTCGTGCGGCCGCATGAACAGCAAATGACTGTTTGTACGGACGACCCCGTACTCCGTAATAACGAATGCAAAAGCCTGGTTGCATTCTACATACACAATTCCACGGCTAGACAGGCAGTTTGAAGGTGGACCTGACTGGAGTAAAGCCGCGTGCTCTGCCGACAGTTCGGTGACACATGCTTGTGTCACCGTTGTCATCGCCCCAGTTCCAGCATGAGCAATGCTTTTGGGGGCCAAACTCGCTCGGGGAGCCTAAACACTTTGACACATCATTACTAGATATTGTGTCAATGTGTCTATGGAGAGTGGCGATGCAGGAGTGAAAGTCACTGTGTGATGGTCCTTCATTTAGCCCACTCGCAATCCAAACCCATGGAGCACGATATTGGCGTTGTATCATGCACTCACCAACGCGGGTTTGACCATGTTGCGTTGCCACAACAGATATTTTACTTGATGTCACCCAACTTGAGACTCGGACTCATTGGCTGCCCTCTCTCCGCTACGTCACGCCCGTCTCATCAGGTCTCAAAGCTGGCTTCGCAATGCAGTCCAAGAAACAGGTCTGGCGCCGATCAACATCAGTCGTTCGCACCAAACGAACATGGCCATCTTTTTTTTATTATTTTGAACATTGCCTTCTCCGAACCACGCAACACGTCAGGTGTTGGCCTCGGCGGCAATCATTCGCTAACCACCATCTTACGTAGCATGAAGGGGACCCCAGGGGCGCCAACCATTACGCCGAGATTTCATCTGATATGTGCTACTTGGGGCTCTCGAAGGTGAGGTATAGTTAACTTATTCTGTATACTGATTTGGGGAACACGGACGACATACCCTCCTCCAGAATTCATGCAGCAGACATCCGGGTGGATAGATGGGTATCACCATTGTGTCCTGAAACGTCAAGTTTTACGAGTTTTGTCTCTTTACTTTTATAAAACTCAAAGGTGCCTAATATGTCATATATTGTGTATGTACTACCTCTCGACAGATGGTAAAAGATGGCATCATGGGATACTTGGACGACCGTGTCACGCGAGTATTGAACCAAGCACAAGTTAAGATGAAGTGCTCCGTAGAATGGAGAAGATCCATCTAATTTCTATATGCTGAGCGGTATCACGCTTCCTGCGCCATACCAGTGATGGGACCTAGGATGGCGGTATATCCCAGAACGCCATGCCATGCTTACAAGCTTACAACTACAGAAGAATGGTCCGATCCAAGCTGCTCTCGCTTTTTTTTTTTTTTTTTTTTTTTTTTTTTTTTTTTTTTTTTTTTTTTTTTTTTTTTTTTTTTTTTTTTTTTTTTTTTTTTTTGTGTATGTGTGTGTTTCTTTTCCCCTTTGCCTTGTCTCATTTTCCCCTTTGAAATCCGCTAGGAAGACGCTCCCCTCAACTTCTCCCACTCGTGTTCCGTCATGCCAAAGTCCAGCTCGTCGTGCCACGCGCGATTAAAGTAGCACACTTCTCTCCGGCGTCCCTCCAACCTGAAGCCGATATCCTGATACAGATGGATGCCCCTCTGGTTGAAGCTTGCAGCAACCATACACACGGTATGCAAACCCGCGTGCTTAAACGCCCAATCAACCATCCAATTAATCGCCTCCCTCCCGTACCCCTTGTTCTGATGGGCCTTGCCAATCACGATGCCCATTTGCGCGGAGCGATGATGCGCATTTCGAGGGTTGATGCCCCCCCAGCCGAGACACATGGTTCCGATGATGATGGGCTTCTCCTTCTTCTTCTTCCTGTCCTTCTCTGACGGCGGTTCCTGGTCCTCCCGTTCCGTCGGGCCAAGACAAATGGCTACACCGAGGAGAGCCTTGCTGAGGGCGTCGAGGCTCTCATCGAGATCTGACTGGCCCGTGGGCGCGAGAACCTGGCCGGACGCCAGAGACAGCACGACGGGATCCTGCTCGGTCTGCGGGAGGAACTCTTTGATGTTTTGGTCGTTCTTGTCGACTTTGATGAACTCGAGGCGCGCGGTGCGCCAGGCGTTGACTACGTCGGTCGTCGAGTAGTTCACGTCGTACGTGGAGCTCGAGTCAATTGTGACGGGCATGGTGGCTGCTGATTGGGAGGCCTTGGGCTGGAATAGGGGAGACTAGTTTGGATCCCGAATCGGTGAGCTTGGGTTGAGTGCTGTTGACTTGCAACGGCGACGGCCGTCTTGGCTGGCTGTTTCGGGCTGATTGGATGTACATATATGTAATGAAGGCCTCGGTGGTGGGCAGTGGCCGCCGACGAAACCCGGCGTTGATCATTTGGACCCTTGGAGTTTGGTACCAGGCACCAGTTGACAGTTGAGCTCATCCCATGCCGGTTGACTCATCGGCGGATTGGAACCTGCATTGGGGATGCGGCACAAGGTTTAGCGTGTGGGCTGCTGATGCCTGGTTCCCCGGTTGAGTGGAAGTCGGTCATCTGATGATGCCTGCCGGGCGAGTCCGACAAGAGACTAAACGACGTGCATTTGATTTCCCTTTGAGGCTGTGTAGACTAATCAGCTGTAGATATCGGTTGGTTCCATCTCTCAAGGAAGAGACATTACCAGTTCTCGTGTCAGGTCACGTCGAAGCGGGTTTCAAAAAGTATCAAAAGCCGAGCTTACCACATGCGTGACGGGCTCAACATTGCCAGCTACCCCCGACTTACGGTTGTCTAGAGAAATTTGTATAGACTTCATTGATCTGCCGAGGGTGAGTCAATTGGCACGTCAACACCCATCTAACACAACCTTGCCACCTTGGTCGCCCTCGTACACAGACCGGCATCATCCCAATTCTCGCTGCCCACTCCCTTGCGCGCAATGAACAAATTGTCCGGATCCACAGCCTGCTTCACCTTGTACAGCCTGGCGTAATTCGCCCCCCCCGAAGGACTTCTGAAAGTCCTCGTTGAGGTACGCGCCCATATGCGGCTCCAAAACTCGCAGCTTTTCCACCTTGACATTCGTCAGCTCCTCCTGAATAGCCCTTATTTCATCCGCAGGAGTGGTGCTGTTCCAGCCTGCTCCAAAGATAATGTGAGTGGCTGTCTTCCGCCAGGAGGGATTGAGAGCCGAGTCGATGGCAGTATCGGCAGCCGCTCCGCCGGCAACGACGACACCTGTAAATCCTGTTGGCGATGTCTCTGCGATACCTCTCGGGCAGGACCGTCGCTGGAGAGGAGAAACTCTGGCGAGATCATACGTGAGCCGGCCACCGCAATGCCGCCTGTGTCGTCGGCCTCGCCGCGGAGTAAGCCAAGGATGTAATTTGATACTCGGCGGGTGATGGAGACGTTGTACCCGGATCCACGACCGGCGTACCTATTCACCTCTGCCACCACGGGGGCTACAGCCTTTTGAATAACTTCTTCGCTCAGGTTGAGAAATCCGAAGCCTCCTGTCAATTCGAGCACCTTGGCTCCGTTGGTGTCGCTTGGTACGGAGCTGATTCCGTAGTATCCTGCTCCTCCGGCCGCCGATACAGATGGGAGATGGGCGTGGAAGGCTCTCGCCATGTCTTAATATGCGGATGAGTTGGCTGCCAGCGTACCGAAGCCGAAGCTCACGAAACCAGAGGGTACATCTGGGAATGTGCTGATGGTGACGCTGACGACGACGCCGAATGTGCCGCCTCCGCCCCCGCGCAGAGCCCAGAAGAGGTCTTTGTTCTTGTAGTTGTTCGCCGTGACTAGTCCGCCCTTGTCAAGTCAGGCGGAGGATGTTTTAGTACATTACGCTCTGTGACCCCGTGGGAGGGTAAGAAATCCTACCTTGGCATTGACAACCTTGAACTCCAACGCATTAACAGACGCCATCTCCTTCCAGTTGCCCAGTGGCGAATGGCCTCCGCCCTGAATATAACCACCACCAGCACCAACAGTATGTGCTACCCCAGCAACCACGGTAACATTATGCTTCGTAGCTGCTACGTACAGTTCCTTAAGTTGGACTCCGACGCCAATCGTCACGGCAGAACCAAACGACTCGGAAGTACTACCAGCCGCCCCCTCTGGAACAAACCTGTTTGTAGAGGCCATGCTCTTGATCTTATTGGTCGATATCTGCAGCGACTCTGGCGCAGTAGAGCAGCCTAGGAAACAGTGGCCGGAGTTCTTGATGGCTAACCGGAGGTTATACTTGGCTGCGAAGCGAACAGCGGCCTGTATATGTTCTGCCCTCTCCACGAGGGCCGAGTACAACGATGCGCGGCCTTGCCCGCAGGGGACATTTTTGGGTTGATCAAAATGGCAGGATTGGTCTTTTTCCGGCCATGCTTCCCAGTTTGCCCATTGGACAGCGCCAGGTTGAGCCGACCGCCAGACAGAGTTGTTGGCGTCTTGTTTCGCCACGGCACACGACGCAGTGAGGGGAGATGATGGGTTGAAGCAGGGCACTGCGACGGGGCGAACGGCTTGCAAGTTACCTTGGATGGTGGAATTTAGGGCGCTCCATTGATCGTCCGAAGGTCAGCATTTTCGTGGGGACGACAGCGACATGATGCGTGGTGGTGGTGGTTGTTGTTTCCAGGAGCAAGGGTTTGAGACGCTTGTGTGGAGGAGTCAAGGAGGATTGATATTGATATCTGTCGCAACGACACCATTGCTATGAACGCGACCACAAACTATGTTATGACAAGGTATGATGTGAGTTTGCTCTAGATATCAGCTTGAATCACTGTTTCAACATGGAGAAGATATTAGAGTCCATTCCCCCCTTTTATATCCGTTTCATGGCAGTATGATTCCGCCCACAATTCGAACCCGTCCCGTCAGACACACATACGGTGCCGTCAGCTCGTGCCACCGACTGTGTTCTTATTCATCGTATTTAGCGACACTGTAACTCTGGTGACGCAACATCGTCTGCTGAGCCTTGAGATGCGAAAATGCGATCCAGCATCGCGTGTGCTCTAGCCGCGGAGCAATAACATAATGGCCGGAAGAGACGCACCAAAATGCCCACGGTTGGGCATGATCGGCCCCGGGCTTTGATTTGTGCGCAAGGCCTCGGATGTCTTCATTCTCATGCTGTGCTAGGTGTGAGGAAAGGGCTGGAGGTCTGGAACTATAGCCAGTGCCACAGCCAAAGCCACACTCAGGGCAACCAGCCACAGCCAGGGCCTCGTGGTGCCACCATACCCTAAGCCTCTTTGGGCATAGTGCCGCCAATCCCAGTTTCTCGTAGTACTCCGGAGGTGGAGGTCCGTAGGCCGTCACAAGCTGGGCGCGACTTGACACATTGATGAACAAGCCAACGTGCATCAGCACTCATTACCCTTCCACTCCTTTTCAAAGAGCAGCTTGGCCATCAAAGAGTCTGTATATCGAGTCGGCCGAGTTCTCCGGTCGGGAAGGGCAAACTCGCAATCTGTGTCTCCATTGAGGTGCCGAGGGCCGAGCACGTCCATTTTCTCACACATCGTCTCCTTTCTTGGATGCCGTCATATTGCCACACAGCTCGAAGGCTCAAGTTTGCTTCAACTCCTACCTAGCTTGCATCCACCGAATCACCTTTCAGAGTCTGGCCTCCGAGATCCTACAACCGATACACGTCACTGAAAAAGACTTGACTCTAGAAGCACACAGCCCTTTTTGTTCAGGGGACGGACATTTTTCGTACAGTCGTGCCCTCTCCCCATCGTGATGGCTGGCTGCCCAACTTCGACATCCAGCTAAACCATGCCGCGGGATCGACCTCCCACCACGGGCTACGAGCGCCTGGCCCAAGCCGACCAATTCAGTGACGACTCGGACGATGATCCCCTTGCCGCCTCCTCTGCCTCCCTGCAGCCGGCCTCTGCGCCGCGCTTCGCAGCCATCACACAGCCTCGCCATCGCTCCGGCATGATGAGCCCCAAGGCCAACCAACGGCCCAAGTTCCGGAGACGTGGAGGTTCTCATGGTGGCGTCGATCTGAAGGCCATCAATGCAAGGCTGGAACGATGGGCCGACGAAATTGCTTCTCGATTCAAGCGCGGCAAGGGCAAGGGCATTTCGGGCGAGGAGGAGAGACTCGAGATTCACCACTCCGTCTTCCAGCCTCCAGAGGGAGTGCGGCCCGTTACGGCGGAGGCACTGGCAGAAGACCAACCTGGCGTCATGACCAAGGCCGAGTTTGAAGCCATTGTGGAAAGTGTGCGCCTTGCCATTCGACAAGAGGTCCACCCGAGCATGATTTCACAAGGGAGCTCTGGTAGTTATTTTGCAAGGAATCCGGATGGCAAGATTGTCGGCGTGTTTAAGCCAAAGGACGAGGAGCCGTACGCCGCGGGTAATCCGAAATGGAACAAGTGGATTCATAGGAACCTCTTTCCTTGCTGCTTTGGGCGAGCTTGGTACGTCTTGAATCTACAACGTATGAATATCTGGTTGCAACTACTAACCCCCGTCACCCGCAGTCTTATTCCGAATCTGTCGTATGTCAGTGAGGCGGCAGCCTACGTACTCGACTGCCAACTCCGCACCCACCTCGTTCCCTACACAGACGTTGTCTGGCTATCATCAAAGTCATTCCACTACCCTTTCTGGGACCGTCGCAGCTTCTACCGAAAGAAGAAGCCACTGCCTGCAAAGCCCGGTAGCTTTCAAGTCTTCCTCAAGGGCTTCAAAGATGCAAACGTCTTTTTGCGGGAGCACCCCTGGCCTGACCAATATTGGTCCGGTTTCCGGGCAAATGATACGCATAGGAGTCGCAGGAAGAGGTGGACAGAAAGCTGCCGTCCATCTACATCTGCGTCACCGGAAGATGCCGATTCCAGCGACGACGAATCGCCAGAGGATGCTGACGGGTCTGCCGGTCCGCCGCGCTTTACGTGGACGGAGCAAATTAAGCAGTCCTTCAGGGAGGAACTTGAGAAGCTTGTCATCTTGGACTACATTATGAGAAACACGGATCGTGGGCTTGACAACTGGATGGTCAAAGTTGACTGGGACGCGGGCACGGTGTCTGTGGCTTCGGACCCTGTACAGCTGAACATGGAAACACCACAGGACGACCACGAGAATGCTCCCCGACCCGTTGATCTAGAGCAAATGCCGCAGTCTGCTACCAGGGCATCGTACCCCTATAGGAGCCAGAGGCCCATGAATGCTTCGAGCAACAAATTGGCATCAAAGGATCCAGCCATGTATATCGGTGCCATTGACAATTCGCTTTCGTGGCCCTGGAAACATCCTGATGCATGGCGGAGGCAAGTCTTCACCTGACAGATCATTTTTTTTTAAATGCCTCATAACACAACAGTCACTAACAACGTGTTACATTAGTTTCCCGTTTGGCTGGCTTTTCCTTCCTGTAGACCTCATCGGTCGGCCATTTTCACAAAAGACGAGAGATCACTTCCTTCCGCTCCTCACTTCTACAGCTTGGTGGGCTCAAACACAAATGGCGCTCAAGCGAGTCTTCCAGGTTGATGAAGATTTCCAGGAGCGCATGTTTGCCAAGCAGATCGCCGTCATGAAGGGTCAGGCTTGGAATGTTGTGGAGGCACTCAAAACCCCGGACCACGGTCCTCTCGAGCTCACTCGTCGAACCAAAGTATGCGTCTGGGATGATTTGGTCGATGTGCCAGTTGCAGTCCCTATGCGAGTGACATCTTCTGAGCTGCGGCGCAACTCCAACGTTCGTCAATCTATGGACGAGGCCGACATCGCTAGCTCTGTACCAGTCAATCAAGACTCGTCGGCCGACCTCCTTGGACTACAGACCGCCCCGGTGGACATGCCACGTTCTGGCCGATTCGATGAAATTTCCAGCCCCAACGAAGACGGTGCCCGATCACCCGACGAGAGACGATCCATGAACGGGCATGACAGGAATCCATTAGGGAACCAGGCAGGATCCCGCCCGCTAAACGTCTACGATCCAGCTCGCCACGGGCCCTACCAACAGCGGAGATACTCGTTTGCTTCACCGGCAGCTGCAAGGCGGAATAGTAACACCATAGCCCAACAGCTGTACGGCGACTCGCATGATTCGTACGACAGTGACGACCTCGATGGGGACTTGGGTTTTGCAGCGGCAGAAGGACAAATGGGCAATCAGCGCAAGGTCATCGTGGAGCGGCTTGAAGCCGTCAAGAGCAGAAACCCTGTCTTCACTTGGTGCTGATCGGGGCCACATGCCACATAACTGGGGGGAGAAAACTCGCCCGTTTTTGGCAGCTGCATGTCTGTCAAGCTCAGACGGTCGAGTTCAGATCCACGGACGGGCCGAAATCCGCCCTCGTGTTTGGCGGCGCAACAGCCACAAACATCTGCTGCAGGGACCATCTACTTCAGTGCCGGGTCTGGTCAAGTGGACTTTCACTCCGTACGCAGGCAAAAGTCGGCCCAGTTCGAGCTGTTGCTTGAACAGGGCACCTGCGCCGCTTCAACGCTCGTTGCTTTATGACCGATTCATGACTCAAAAGCCGGCCAATCGCTGTGTTGGTACCTGATCCAGTCGTGTCGGCCTGATTAGTGACTGGTCATGTCATACAATGATGTAATTATAGACATAGCAATTTTCTTTCCCCTCCCATTCTACACCTCATTCTCCGGTCAATTTTCAGTACTCCGTGCGGCGCTTTCATTTCTGTACTTGAGAGGGGCGCAAAATAACTGCGCATGCGAAATCAGACTCTTTTGGTGGAACGTACGGGGCTTCAGCAACAGAGTGGTCAGCACTTATGTAGTACAGCACGGATACGATAGACTTGGTTATAGACTAGTATGTTCAAAAATTTGACACCGATTCCCGGTATGACATGCTTAAAACCCCTGTGCTTGGCCACGGCGGCACAAGCCTTTGAGGTTTTCCGCTCCATAGCCCCGAGAGCATCGTTGCCCAATACAAAAAAAAACCTGAATCAGCAATTTTCGACGGCCCAAAACACTACGGCAACATGTCTCGGCTCAAAGAGAGAATCCAATACCATGACGCAAACTAGACTTGCCTAAAAATCCGAGGGACCGGTCCCCCACGCGATGCGCCAAACCCGACGGCTTGGTTCGGCAAAAGGGCTTGCCTTGCGCAAGGATCAGCCCCCTGCGAGGCATGGCTCGCGCCGGTCCGGTCCTCAAAACCGCCGTGTCGTTGCAAAAATTCAAAGCCAGCAAAGCGTGGGGACAGGAAGGGACCTGGTCCTCGGGCCAAATCTTGCCATGCGGTAAATTCCACCTGTCCGAAATATGTTGGCTCGTTCCCAGAGTCTCTCGGTCTATGTTCGACGAGCCTCTGTCGGTTCCGAACCCCCTCCCCAGTTGACACCCATTTGACGGTTCACTTGATCCCTGCAGGGAGCCATCAATAGAGAGAAACCATGCAGTGTAACTACTATGCGGTACGGATGAGTGGTTGAAGCGGTCGCCATTTTACGTAGTCTGGCTGTTTTGTGGGGTCTTCCCGTATTTATCCGCGGTTGATTCAGACCATCTGAACAATACTCCGTACTCTGTAGATGCTTGGCAAATGTGCCTGTTCTGCACGGCCCTGTGTGTAGAAAGACCGCCATTTTAAGATGATGACCATGGCACCTTTCGCGACCAACACCACTAGATTGAGTAACACGTGGCCAATCTGCTCAGGCGGGACATTTCCTCATTGGAGAGCTCTCATTGTTGACTCTGAAGACTTCTGTACTGTTTTGTCCGGGGCTGCTGTGCTGATTGATATATGGACAAGTGAGGAAGCAAGTGCGGCATAGAATGTGCAGCCTTCTGGTGCATGGTTCCCCGTGCTCAGGGTATAGATTCAGTCTCCCGTTTCGTAAACTATTATTCGTATTACTCCTGGCATATTTGCAGCTGCGAGGGGGTTCCGAGTGCCCACACTTCCCACACTTCCCACACCTGCTTCTTTATTGTACCCGACCCTTGTCGATGCCTGTTTATCTCTCAGCTGGTCTTTATCGGTGTATCCAGGGTCTCTGCATAGTTCTACATCAGCCACGTACGGTAGGGAGACGAGGAGGCTAATGAGTGTTGGTGGCCTGTCTTGAATTTGGCGGAGCCTACTCCGTGTATCTATCAGCCTTGTCATTTCACACGATATCGACCAGCTCGGTTTGTTCACCAGGTGAAACATCACTTTCCCATTAAAGATGATGATCCGATTTTCGCCCGCTTGGTTAGAGTTCATACCATCTACTTCGTAGTTCATGTTTTCAGTCCACAAAATATGTGCGGGATCAGTCTTTACAGCCGGAAGCATGCCTAGTGGCGCTCGGGTTGAGCAGATAGCTTGGTTGCTTGGCAAGAGCTCCCGCCCGTTGCTTTGGTATTGAGGAAGTAACATTTGAGGTCCACCAGAGTGGGTGCCATGAAGCCTCGGAACGCACGTCCAAGGCCTAGGATTGACCTGCTCATTCACTCCGTTGGTAATTCCTCCTTCACTAGGTCGCCACCCGAGGCTCAGTGGCTGTAGATCCAAAATTTCCAAAGACGCAGACAGGCTTGCAATGGGACAAATAAGGCCATGTTGTAAAGTCGAATACTGTCTGGTTTGTAGTTGGCCTTCCGCAGTCGGTCCGGAAGTTTATGGGGCCATGTCAAGAGATCAGAGCTACTTGACCTTTTCCGTTCAAATCCCGCCTTCTGCAAGTAACGTCACTGCGCTGGAGGATGGACTAATCTCAGACCTAGGGCATAACAGCCTCCATATCCACAGGGGACAAATTAAAGCGCTGCGAAGCGCCCGGCCAGGGCAATGTCGGTCCTTGCAAATCTTGGCAAGTACATCAACGAACATTCGGCTTTCAAGTACACCCCCAATGATACTTCACAGAGGATGTGGCAGCTCCCCCCAAAAAGCCTTCTCAGCCCTCCTATGTCTCTGATCATTAGACAAGCGTGACTGCTTAGCACCTCTGTTCTGGCTCGGCACGAGAAAGTCGTCAGTCTATCAAGTCTCATTTCTTGGCCTATCCACGTAGTGATCGTCAAATGCGTCGAGCCAGCTTGTGGGGGAAATAGCGAAATAAGATGTTCTCCTCCCACGGCACTGGCACACTATGCCATTGAGCACAAGCCCTTCACAATCACTTCGAGTCCAGACAGAATAATTCGTTGCGAGCCGTTTTGTCCTCCAATTAGGCTTCCGCAACGTTGTTGATTTGAGATCATGTTCGTTGCTCCTCGGTAAATCTGGACCCTGCGGATCCATCGTGCGTCATAACAGACTATGCGTCTCTGCCCTCCATCTAAACCCACCCCTGGACGTTGGTGGGCTCTTATGGTTGATTGGGTGGCACAAACAATAGCTGACTGCGTTGAGGTTTGTAAATAGAAGGACTGGGCCACGCAGTTGGTGAAGCAGGTCCTTCTCAATGTCTCAGCTCTCTATTGAGTCTTCCAAGGTCAAACGCGTGCCGGAGCCAAATATGCCAGGCCTCCCTTTCTTCCTTTATTCCTTCAGAGAAAATATTTATCGGTCGTCGATTTTCTAGCTTCTGTAGCAAGTCATACGACGCTGTAGGCTTGTTCTGTTGTTGGGATAGCCTGACAGGCGGACCGGGATTGTTCATTCGCATACCACATGACTGCCTCTTTCGCGTGAGACTAGTGATAACTCTTGCATCTCCCTACCCGACGGAATATCTACTCATGTCAGCAACGCGTTAACCAAAAGCAATACTTATTTACTTAAGTATCCATCGAACCAAGATATGGACACCGAGTAAGGGATATTATGAGCACCGAAATCAGGCTTGGCACTAACCGTCCGAGGAAGAGATGGGACCGTCCCTCTGGACAAGTCGTTTGAGGAAACGTTGGAGTATCACGGTCGATCTTATCAAAAGCACGCTGTGACTAATGGGGTGTATTTTGGCCCGGTCGACGAGGTATGTGCTTTCCGTTAATCAAGACCAAAAGACGGGGAACCATTGCGTGCTGATATTGGAATATAGGAAGAGGTTGCACATCTCGAGTTGATGCACTCTGTTCTCTGTCGACTCTTCGATGGTAGACTTATCTTTCCACCCGTGAACGAACCGAAACGAATCCTCGATTGCGGCTTTGGAGCCGGTGACTGGGCTGTCGATGTTGCCAGAGCCTATCCGGACTGTGAGGTACGACAATATTACGCAGCCCATCGCGAGACATGGAATTCGGCAAAAGGGAATACGTGGGACCTGTTTGTTCCACAACGTCGGGTCCTTGGGAAAGGTGCTTCAGCGGCCATACTGCCTAGCTGACTGCGTTTCTATAGGTGATTGGCGTTGATATCTGCCCCAATATGATACCTGAAGACCAGCCAGAGAATCTGGTTTTCCAAATTGACGACCTGAACGCGAGGTCAGCGAAACTGTTGCCAGAAATAGACTGCCCTCGACTAACCGTCTTGATCTCACCAGGTTTACCTTCTCCCCGGGACAGTTCGATGTAGTCCACAGCCAAATGATGTCTGGTGGCATTAACGCAAGCCGTTGGCACGGCTACATCCAAGATATCTTTCGTGTTCTTCGTCCTGGAGGTTGGTGTCAGATGGTGGAAATATATTTCAATGCTCAATCAGATAACGGAACTTTACACAGAGGCGAGTAATGCCGCATCTCCCAAATTTAAGCTAGGAGTTGACAGTCGAGGAGCCAGGTCATGCACTATCCATATGGTCTTCCCTGTATCTTGATGCAATGCATCCCATGAAAGACACCAGAGCAGCTCTCCAGCTAAAACATTGGATGACGAATGTGGGTTTCACGGATGTTGAGTCACGGTTACTCATGTTGCCAATGTGTCCTTGGCCGGGTGGTACGTGGTCCGCAAATTCAACGAAACAGGATTCGCAGCTGAGGTACCTCTTCTTCAGATGAAAGAAATCATGGCATAGGGTCTGCTAATGCTGAGAATGTTGCCCAATTACTGCATTCATTGGCCTTGTATCCATTCACAAAATTGCAAAAGTAAGCAGATCTCTCGTGGCTTGAAATCCGGAGTTAACTGGCAGTTCCCAGAGTGCCGCAGGACCGCTTCAGGAGTTTAATAAAGGACGCTAGAGAAGAGGCAGCTAATCGGCTGTACAAGGTATGAAGTCGAGGGGTGCCAAATGTCGTCCGACAAAGGCTAATATGAGTCCAAACAGGCCTATTTTCCATTGTAAGTATCATTCAAAGTGATAATGCCTAGGCGCCAACTGGAGCCAAGTACAGCGTACAGCTTGCTTACATTGTTACTCAGATACGTCTGCATTGGCCGTAAACCTGAAGCGTAAGGCCATGACCAGGGACTCGGTCCAAGCAGAGTTGAGTCATGGACTGTTTGAATACCTACCTTCGCAGGTAGCCAACTCGAGGTATTGGGCATGCTCATGTCGCGGCCTGGCAGTCCCATCTTGTACTTCCTGCTGGTATTTCATTTTGAATGGCCTCCAGCTTCTCCCCTGGTGACCAGTAAAGACGGCAAGGAGCAGGCAGTGGAGGGACTGGTCAAAAAAGAGTTTCAAATGTCGAGAGAAAGAGACGGCTTGCAAAGCAGATGCCATGGTGGAGTGCTGAAGGAGGTCAACGGTCGTTGTCCGCGGTCGCGCTTTCCAAGCTAGCAAGGCGTTCCGCGACACAGGCAGGTGCGACCAGGCGCCCAGGCGATTTCAATGTTAGGCCTTGGGGGTTGGACTTGGAGTGGCCGAGAATGGCATCCAGAGGGCAACAGCTTTGGAATCTGCGGGTGTCCTTCTCAAGTTGCGTCCTTGTCATCACACCAAGCGTGGCATGGCATCAATCGTTATGCCATCTCGTCACGGGGTTAGTTCAAGATGGTGTAGAGAAATTAATACCTACTCAAACACAGCGGATGCGCCCACGTTTATTTTAGCCTAAATAGGCGTTCCTATGGGGTGGGCACACCAGTACCGACAAACCGGAAACCGGTGATTGCAACGAAACCATGGTGAAGGCGATTCGGGTCGAAACCCAAGCCTTGGCTTCCCCCCCATGTCTCTCGTCTCTGTGGACGGGCGACAGGAGACATGTTGGGCACCAGTGCGCCATGCCAGCCAGTCAAGTCTGCTATTCATCTTCTTAGGGACTGACTGCCTCGCCCTTCCTCTCAGCTCGTCCTCCCTTGGCTCCCCGTGCCCACGCTGTTAGCGACGTTTACAGACGGCTAATTTGTTTCAATGCTTTGCAGACCGGCTGACATGGGCGTTCGGCGTCTCGTCCGAGGCTATGAGCCAAGTCAGGTCAGGGGCGGTGTAACTTTACTCCTCTGTCGATGTTCTCTTCAATCTTGAGAGACGTGGTCCTCGTGCTGAGTGACAAACATATCTATTTCTATCTATCAAGGTGTACACCAAGGGTCATTCCCGCAGCAGGCTACGGAGTACTCTCATCCTGGTTGGCAACAGCCGCGTAACTACATAACTCCCGATTAGAACATTGTGTCACCAATATTTTGCCGAGCAAGCAGGCCAAGCAGAGTCTTCTATGGCAAGTCATTCAGACAAATAACATCAGAATCTGCTGCTGTTAATTTATTTGAAACTTGGTTCCGGTTGCTGCTGCCAGGCCGGGATCAGGTGATAGCGCGACGGCGCCGATCCTCAAGCCACAGCGGGTCATCGAGATGCGATGAACTGGGAGGACTGTAGCCGCTTGATAGAGCGTCGATTCTCAGGCAAATTTTGTGGCATCATGTCTGGTGACATATGACGAGGTGCCTGGGCATGGCGCGCATGGCTAGATCGATGTGCAGCTCATCGTCCACCCCACCCAACTTGAAGTGTTCCACTCTGAGTCCCAGCCAGTGATGTGTAATGAGGAAGGAGCCATCTGGAGTCCTGGACAATGATAGCTGCCTAAAATACGGTAGAACAAGTTCCTACACATCTGGGCATATCGGGCGTAAGTTGACTTTAACATTCAGCGGGTCAAAGACTCGTCGGACGTTTTGAGATATGCCTGGGTACAGCATGTGCTCCAGCCAGTAGTTATTAAGCTATTAGACGTCCCCTTACTCCGTACAGTGTAAAAAATGCACATGCAACCTCGAAGCTACGTAATATAATATGACAGGTAAAGGTCTGTCCGGTGGGTGTATCCACTGATTGATTGCGCACCTGCAGCCAGCCAATAGCTGGTGGTCTTAACAGTTGAACCTCCCGCCTCTCACTGTTCTGGATCTGACAAAACACAAAAAAAAAACTGCCCCTGGTATTCGTGTTGAGCTTCGTTTCCACAAGACATTGCGGATCGACCTTGGCTTCATCAACAGCGCAACCGACCCAAACTACCACGTCAATTGAGTGCTCAATTGCGCTCAGCACAATGGCATCCAACCGAGCAATGTCTCTTCTCTCAGCAGCGCGCTGGGCGCAGCTAGCCCGCATGCCACGTACTAGTAGCCGCATGCCCTCAGCCTTCATGCAGCGAGCTCACCAAGCATTCTCGACGACCACTGAGGATGCTCCTCCACCCTTCTTGCAGAAGCTCAAGGGAGACCTCAAGACCGCCATGCGAGCCAAGGACGCTCCACGGCTATCTGTGCTGCGATCAATCATGTCAGCCAACCTCAACGCCTCCAAGACCTCCAGCCCGATTCGGACCGACGTGCAGCTCGTTGCCCTAATGCGACGCATTCAGAAGAGTGCCCAAGATGCCGCGGCCGATGCCAAGGCCGCAGGCCGCGACGATCTCGTCGAGAAGGAGAACGTACAGATCCGTATTCTGGATGAGTACCTGGCTGGCAGTGGCGTTCAAACTCTTGGAGAAGCCGAGCTAAAGGCCTTGATACAGGAAGCAGTTGACGCTTCCAAGAGCGCAGGGACGGCAACAAAGTCCCTCATTGGCGACGTGATGAAGCGCTTGTCCGGTGCTTTGGAGGGCAAGGATGTGGACAAGAAGGTTGTTGCCAATATGGTCAAAGAGTTGGCGGGCCAGTAAAGGACGGCACGTGCCATCTTCTGTATTATATTATTATCAGTGTATAACAGCTTTCAGCGGCGATTGATACCACGAATTTCACTCACTTCATGGCCTAGCGAGTAGGCCACATGGTCATATACAGGAATTGCTTTAGACCCGGTGATGTGCAAAGCAAAGCATATGCTGTGCGTAGGTCATGTACTACAACCTGTACGGACGAGCAGCAGCTTGGAGGTGACGACAAAGTCAACGGACAGCCATCAATGCTTGACATTGAAACAGCGGCAGAACCAAACTGAGACGTCACGAAAATAGCGTATGGGGGTTCGAGCTTCGACGCTGTGACGTGAAATGTTGATGGTTGGTACAGTTCCTTGGCAGAAGTGCGTGCTATCTATTCAATACAAACGCAGCCAGTCAGTCGACGAGCACAACGGCCTTTTTGTTCGTAGCTGCCCCACTAAACTCAACGACGGCCGGCGAGTTTAGAACGGGATACTCGCGGTTCTAAATGACTCATCCAAACGAAATGCTAATTCACGCCAATTGTTTTAAATACGCCCTTTGGAATCAAGGCATCACTTCGGTGCTCTGAAGGCATCTTGTGCCAAACCCTCTGCCCGGTACCCGTCCTCTCGCACCCTACGCTACCCTACACAATCAGATCAACAATATCAGAGCTTCAACCATGTCTCGTACGAACATCAGCTCTGGCTCAGCGTTCGAGGCCGAAATTGGATACTCCCGTGTCGTCGTCGTGGATGACTGGGTAATGGTATCCGGAACCACGGGGTAGGTCTGCAGACGATGTGAACTGATATTTTACATGTTTCGCCATTTTCTTTCTTCTTTTTTTTTCTTTTTAAACAACTGATGTCCTCTCGTCAAGGTACAACTACCAAACGGGCGAAATATCAGATAATGTAGCAGAGCAAGCGGAGCAAACCCTGCGCAATGTCGACAAAGCATTGACGGAAGCTGGTTCTTGCATGACGGACGTCGTTCGTGTCCAATACATCTTGCCGGATCGTGACGACTTCCCCAAGACCTGGCCGGTGTTGAGGAAGTGGTTTGGAGATGTCAAGCCTGCGGCCATGATGATCCAGTCTGCGCTAATGAAGGAGGAAATGAAGATTGAGGTTGAAGTGACGGCGAAGAAGGGATGTGGAATCAAGAAATAGGGCAAAACTTTATTTCCGTAACGGGATGGAATGGACTTGTGCTGTAGAGCTAAATAATAGGATGCATAGAGGAGCAAATTGGACAGGGTCAATGAACCAACGGCGCGACCACACCCCCAGCAGCAAACGCACTCATGATGGTGACGATACTCGACGCAGACAACAGAGAAATACCACTGATGCCGTGCCCCGAGGTGCACCCGCCCGCCATTCTCGACCCAACAGCCATCAACACACCGCCTGACACGGCCAACAGCGGTGACATCTCGTACGCAGGGCCAGACGCCAACCCCGGGACCAGCCTCAAAAGACCCCATGCGCCGGCTGCCACCCAAGAGGCAAACAAGATGTTCTGGTACGAGGAGGGCTTGGCATTGGGGTCGGCTCCCCGGACGAGCCACCAGAAGAAATTGCCCACCTCCTCGTACGAGCCCGAGATGCCCACCATGGTCCTCCGCGTGAGGATAGAAACGAGCTGTGCGCCCCCGATGAGAAGGCCACCCAGCGCGCCGGGTATCTTGGCCGTGGGACTGGCGGGCGTATACAAGACCGTGGCAGCGACGACGGCCACGCAGACGGCCTCGAGCAGCAGGAGCGTGGTGCCGTTGGACAGGCCCAGCTGCTCACCGACGACGGCTGGCTCCGGCTTCGCACCCATCTTCTCCCGCCGCCTCTTGACCAGCTTGCTCACCAGCCCGGACCAGAGCACCCCCCCAATGATGGCGCCGTCCAAGGCGTGGAAGCCCGATCGAACGCCCGCCGCCAGTTGTGCGTAGAGCGTGCCGGGACACGAGCCCGACAGGGCCATGCCCGCGCCCAGGAGGCCGCCGCCTATAATGTTGCCGTCGTAGCTGGAGAAGAGGCCTAGGGGAGACGAGTTCCGCGGCGAAATCTTTGCGTAGCCCAGGCGCTCAGCAACGGCATATATCGCCCTGGTGGCGGTGACGTGTGTGTGTTAGTTGCCGGCGACGAGGCGTGACAGGATGGGCCTTTTCGACTTACGCGCTGGTGGCCGTAGCAGCCAGAAAGGTCTGAAACATGTGCCAATTCTCAAACCTCAACTGCGAAATCACCACGGAAGGCTGGTGGAAGCCCGCGGCCATCATGGCAGCGCCAAAGGCAGCCCCCGATATCGCGGTAGCGGCCATGGCGAAGACTCGACGACAAAGAGGACGTAGATGTAGCTCGACTTTTTTTCTTTTCGTAGAGATGCGGCCGAGGAATGTGGCAGATGGGGAGGGCTCTTGAAGTCGTGTTATTTTATAGATTTTCCTTCCTTCTTTCTTCCTGACCCTTGAATCCTCCTCTGCCCTTTTACGCATAGGCCGCTGATTGCTCCCGAGATGGAAGCAAGGAGAGCCAACGCTCCAACATGTTCGGCGATCTGGTCTGCGCGCAAAGGCACCCTCTTTGCCCTCCTTCGGCGACGATCCGGATCCGTGGTGCCACATTTTATAGGACCCCTTAGAACCGAATGCTTGGTAAACGCTCTGGTAGTCGGCGAAGGGGGTGGTGTGGGATGCCCACTGGCTGGTTTGGTGGCTACTAGTGTCGAATTAGTGATGGCGTGGCATTGGCAATTGTCGGGGACCATGGCGTGCTGTGTGTCGTTGGATCGTGCTGTCATGTTTGCGTCGTAATTCTTTTTTTTTCTGCCTTTTTTTTCCTTTTTTTTTTTTTTAAAGGTTCCCCCCCTTTTGTGTGGCTCATGGCCGGAGTTGGCAAATGTGCCAAGTTTGCAGCCGTGCGGCAGGTTACTGCTTGCTGAAACAGTGCGCACGAGTTGCTGTCGCCGTGGAATTGATGATTCGCCGACCTGGCCCGAGCCTCGAAGTCTCATAGAAGTCTCAAGATGTGGGGGTTCGCTTCTCTTTGGACCCGCCCTTGGCCCGGATGTGTCGTTGTGTGACTCGGGCATGTAAGTGTCAGGTCGGGCACCTTGATGACGGGCGGCGCCTTGACGACGGCACGGGTCTGGGTCGGTTCGGCATCTGGATATAAAGAGTGCGCAGACTGGCGTTTGCCTCCAGATGTCCAGATGCCGGCTGATTAATTTGGGGGCTGGCTATCGATGCTGGTATGCACAACACACATGGCAGATGACAGATGACCAAGCGGACCTGCGTGCGAGTTCCAAGTCCCTTGTCCTCCGTGAGTCCGTACAACCTCCCCAGTGCCAACCGAGGTCCCCACGCTTGATGCCGTTATTTCCCCGCCATGCTGATGCGCATTCGCCTATGAGATCTCGCCGCGGCCTGCCATTCGCCATGTGCGATTCAACCTCAACTTGTAATATTAAGCCGGCAATGGGCTGCCGGGCCATGCATCATCTTGGATGTGTTCACGCTTGCGTCAACCACTCTGTACTTTATCGTACACTGTCCAATGACTCTCAGAATAATACAACATTTATTTTCGAATTGACTGCAAATCTCCAATAAAAACCCAGAATAACCTCCTCCACAATGCCGCGAGTTCTTCATGTGCAAAAGATTGACGGCAAGCCGGGCAAGGTCTACTACCCGTAAGTTTTCTCGTGAGCCCGTCAATCACCGGTCGGCATCTAACTCTCCAAACGACAGAATCAAAATCAGGCAAGTGCCCTTGCCCCAGGTCGGCCCAAGCCAACTCCTGGTTCGTATGGATGCCGCGGCCCTCAACCACAAGGACCTGTTCATCCGCAGACATCTCTACCCAGCCATTTCGTTTGAGAATCCCTTGCTCGCCGATGGCTACGGCACCGTCGTTGAGGTTGGGGCAGCCGTCAAGCAGAGGAACCTTCTCAATAAGCCTGTTCTTCTCAACCCCATGCTCATGTGGGAATCCGACCCCGTAGGGCCGGAAAAGGGCGTCGTCCTCATCACCGGCGCGTCGTCCATGACCAAAACAGGCTGCGCCCAGGACTATGCTCTGGTCGAGGAAGACGACGTCGTGCCCGCACCGGCGCATCTCACTCCCGCCGAGGGCGCAGCTCTGCCGCTCGCAGGCCTGACCGGCTGGCGAGCGCTCGTCACCAAGAGTGGCAACGCCGAGGCCGGCAGGAACATACTTGTTACTGGTATCGGAGGCGGCGTGGCAATCCAGGTGCTCCAGTTTGCCGTGGCCATGGGCATCAACGTCTACGTTACCTCTGGTGACCAGGCCAAGATTGACAAGGCCAAGAGGATGGGAGCCAAGGGCGGCGTCGTCTACAAAACCGACGGCTGGGAGCGCGAGTTGAAGGGTTTGCTCCCCGAGAGTAGACCGTACATCGATGCTGTTATTGACGGTGCGGGAGGTAACATCGTCTCCAAGGCCACCAAGTTCCTGAAGCCTGGCGGCATCGTTTCCCAGTACGGCATGACGGTTGCGCCCAAGATGGAGTGGACTATGCAGGCTGTGTTGATGAATATCGAGCTGAGGGGTTCGACTATGGGCTCCAAAAGGGAGTTCAAGGACATGGTTGCTTTTGTAAATGACAAGAAGATCCGGCCGGTTGTAAGTAAGACGGTGAGAGGGTTGGCGAACCTGCATGGTATTGATGGCTTGTTTGAGGATATGGATGCTGGGACACAGTTTGGTAAATTGGTCATTGAGATTAATGACCACCCGTCGTCAAAGCTGTAAGATGAGAGAACGAGAGGAGGAAGGGTGAGCGAAACACCCCAAGAATCGGCGGCCAATAATGAATCACACAACTAAAGATAAAGTTCGCTCGAATCAATTTTTGGCAATGAATGATTTTTGAATCTTTCGTAGGATATCAAAACGCCTTGAATGCCACTAGTACTTGTCCTCCTCAGCTTGGAATGATACTAAATGACTCCAGCCAGACAAACAAACATAACAGAACTCCCAATTCAGCCCCCACTCCCTTCTCTTAATCAGATGACTTCTTTCTCTTCTTCTTCGGCCTATTCTCCTCCGGAGGCACGAATTCAGCCTCTCGCTCCTTTGTCTTCTCCTCTTTCCGTAGTTTCTGCTTCTCCTTGCGTTCCTCCTTGGCCGCTCTATCCTTGGCCTCCTTGCCCAAGAAGTATTCACCACTCTCGATTTGCTTATCGACCTTGCTCTGCTCGGGTGCAGGCGGGAAGGGTGTGTACACCTTCTTGCTCTTGTCCGTGACCTTGTGGGGAACACGACGGCGGCTGAGCGTCTTCTTCTTGAAGTTGGGAAGGAACCGGTCCCAACTCTCGTTTACAAGCTCGGGATCCTTGGCCAGTTCGCGCTTGATCATGAGCTCCTTGATGTGATAGATGGGGTGGATGTTGGCCATGCAGTCCTCGACGATTCTTCGGAGTTCTTTGAGACCCTTGTACCCGCCCATGGCGCAGACTGTGTTTCCGTGAACGAGAATATACGTCTCGGTAAGGAGCTCGAGTGCCTTGAGGGTCGAACCGTTGGGCCCCAATATTCTTTGTCGGCGCTTGACAAACCTGTCTTTGCTGCCGACCAGGTTTCGAATCTTGATGACGTCGCAGGCCATGCCGTCCTCGAGGATCTTGACTGCCTGCGGAGCCGGGACACTTCGAGCCAAGAGCTTGATGAGATCGCGCGCGTTCAGAATCGCCGCCGGGTCAAACGTTTTTCGGGTCGTCTTGACCGTCATTGAGCCTTCAATCAAATCCAATGTGCAGGCAATGCCATGCTTTTCGAGAGACTTGGTGATGAGGGGCCAGGCTTCTTTCAGATACACTTCGCGGTATTTGGGGAACAGAGTCGCAAAGGACGACTCCTCCGCAAGCGTGCCGCCGACATTGTCTTCGGAGGTGAATGTGTCGACCTTCCACTTATTGATGTCTTCCGTATCCCACGGCTTATCCTTTTGGTGTGTGGAAGGCATCCTTTTTCGAAATTTTCCAAGTTCCCCGTTGTCTGTGGTTGAAGAAGTATGCAAATGGATAACCTCGCTGCCTAAGATCGGGCGGGTGCACAACGAAGTGCGATCGCTTGCCGACAGTTTCAATTGTCAACGTGAACGAACCTCTGGTGCTTTTCCAAATTTTTTGGATAGACAGCCAAGTCGTGTGGGGCGGGTTCAGAAAAATTCAAGATACACCCACCCCCACCGTATGTGGAACACGAGGCTCTGCCCAACAACACCAAGAGCTTGGTGAAATCTTTCTAGCGACGACTCCATGCTCGAGCGACCACGTCTGGCCTTCGAAACCACCACCGCGCCACGGGATACCGCCGCATCAAAAATGTCCAAAGCCAAGGGCGCAACTGGCGCCGTTGAGCAGGTGGTCAAATTGATTGTTGGAGCCGGCCAGGCGAGTCCCAGTCCGCCGGTTGGTCCTGCACTGGGAAGTAAGGGTGTCAAGTCGATGGATTTCTGCAAGGTATGGAGAATGCCTGGACACTGCGGTGCCGCCAAGTCACGTTCAATTCGCGTATTTTTTTTCTAACCGAGACTTTATTCCAAAATTACAGGAGTTCAATGCCAGGACCGCACACATAACCCCCGGCACGCCGATGCCTTGTCGAGTTACTGTTCGACCAGACAGATCTTTCCACTTTGATCTGCGGACGCCACAAACTTCATGGCTTCTTCTGAATGCTGTCGAAGCACCGCGGAATAAGAAAGGAAACAGAAAGGGTGCCAGCAAACCAGGCCACGAGACGGTCGGAACCATCAGTTTGAAGCATGTGTACGAAATCGCAAAGATCAAGCAGTCAGAATTACGACTCTCCGGTCTCTCCTTAGAGGGACTATGCAGGTCAATCATTTATCAAGCGAGGTCGATCGGTATCAACGTTGTAGCATAGGGAAGCTGTGGGGAACCCGACATGATATGAGGCCTATAGAGCGCCGGAAGTTGCCTTTTTTTTTTCAGAGAAGGGGTGAAGATGAGTGTATACTACAGAGGAAGCAGGCTTGAAGCCAAATGTACAATATGGATGCTGTATGTTCTATGCCCAAGTTGGAAAATCCAGAATCACAATCTCATCATCATAGCATGGAACTTTGATTAGTAGAATGTGGAAAGGACCTCGGGATTTCATGATGCTCAAGTCCTTGCACAGAGCGTGTTAGAGCATTTGTGATGTTGCTGGCGGTCGCCTAATCGACAGGGCGGGAGTGCGAACAACTTGACTTGTCCAAGAGTATCATGGTCCAACGCTCCACAGTGTGCTCGTTAGCATGTTGAGGTATTAGATATTTGGCAAAACTTGGCCAGAACCTGGATATTAGCAAAAGGCAAATCAGCCAGGTACAGCCGCGCAACCGGCCTGCCTCCAGGCAGTTGCTGTGGCTGAACTGATTTATCCTACTACTACCATGTTCCTGGTCTGAGCTGAGCGGTGGTAGGCGAGGCCGAGCATATTGGGATCCTATTCTGACGTTCTAGATAAATTCGGCTACCCACATGCTGACCTCTTCGTCGGTTCAGGCGAGCAGGCAAGTGGCCCTCGTTGATGGGACATGAGGCTGTTACCAACATTCCAGAGCGACACAGCAAAGGGCGGCTGAAAAACTTGCGAGGCAAATCTTTGTAAAGGCTTCTCAACCATCCAGCCCAACCCCAACAGCTAGCTGCAAGGCGTCAACTGGTAGGATTCCACGACGTAACTATTAGTACTACTCCCGCAGAACAAGCTCCAGCGAAAGTCCACTGTGGGTCCATTCCACCGGGCTGTTAGATCTGTCCCGAAACATGGACGGACACTCAGCCACACCGGACTCGCAATGCGATGGATATCTTGGTCGAAATTGACCCATTGCGTTGCAGGCTCATGGGTCATGGTACAGCAGCCGGAGCCTTTGGCCAGCGTGTAGGGTTTCGCAGAGTCTGCATCATCTCACGTGGTACGAAATGACGGCTTCATGGGACAATCCGACAACGGAGTGTACATTTGAAAATGGAAAATGCAGCAGAAGCCTTAATGTGTACAATGCGGCACTCCATGTGGGTGGGATGGTGGGATGGGTTGTGGTTGGACGACTTCAGCCCGAGAGTCAGGAACCTTGTGGTTCAAGTTCATGTGACGATCTCGTTGCCGAACACGTTCATGACAGGACAGGTCCGTTGCAAATCCGGTTCGCCTCGACATAGCTCTCCAAGCTAAACAACATGGCAGGGGACGGCGAGAAGTCAGCATGCAGTCTAGTTCAAGCTGCTGAAAATTCGGACCGTAGGCGATGAGCTTTCGTGGCACAGACATGCAGAAACACCCACATATCAAGCCAAGGATGTATGATTTGGTCCGCGGTGTAAGTCGGGGAAATTTGAAGCCATCCGTCATGCATGTCATTGGAGCGTCAATGACTTGCAATTTTACTACCGGAGCTGCATTAGCTCTTCAGCTGTCACCTTTGCCTCGCAATGCAGGCGGAAAGAGATTATTGATTTTTCTTTTTTTAAAAAAAAATAAAAACTTTTAAAAAAGTTCAAGCGGTGCCTTCGGAAGGCGGCCGTCGGGATGGGGGGGGGGTTTCCATGGCGCACTGTGGCGGTGACAGTGCCGGCGAAAGGCCATGACTGCATCCTGTCTGCTGTACTTTGTAGTTACGACTAAACTGATTCATGTATTGTCAACAAGTTGCATGGCACAATTGGTTGCGGCAAGTACTGCCGAGAATTCTACGCCTACACTCAATTAGCTAATGAATGGCGGCCATTCCAGGGCAGAAGGCTGAAAGCTCTTCTCATCGGCTTGCACCAGAATGTTTACACCTAAAGTTCGATGCTGCTGGATTGCTTGCTGCAGTTGGGAAGCCGATAGATGGAGGCTGGTACCTAGCTGCCTTCCAGGGAAGTATGGAGTATAAAGTACCTAGTACTTACGTTGGCAGGTGCTCACAACGTTCAACGACCACATGCATCCTGCCTGCCTGCCGGCTCCGGCGTGCCGTCAGTCAAGCCCCCCCTTTCCCTATTGTAGTTGCCTTGTCCTTGCGTCCTGTATCGCTCCTTGCTGCGACCACTAAACGGTCAGTCAACTCGTACCTCCTCAATACTTCCCTCTAAGTACTCTTCAACTGTAGTAGAATGGAGCACTAGCATTTTGCCCCACCGCCAGCTTCTTTCCCACTCGCGCTAGCTGTGGCATCGCCGTGCAGTCCCCCGAAGAGGCGAAAACATCACATTGCTTCGCTCTCCTCTTTCTTATTCCTTTCAACCTCTCCTAAAGTCCTGCAACGATCAGGCACGCCTCGGACCGGCTCTAGCTTTCCCATCGGGCTCTGCTCGTTACCATCTCATGGCTTCCCAATCCCCCAACCAGGGGCACCATCAGCATCCAGACACCGCCGGTACGTGCATCCTTTTCCCGATTCTTCCGGATTCAGTACCCCTCCGTGCAAGTGTGTTTGTTATCTCTTGCGCTTTCTCCCCCGCGCAGCCTGGTGCTGTCTGGTTGCATCTGCGGGTGCAACATTGATCCAATCGACACCGGTTTGCGGGCTGAATTCCGCAACATGACGGCCTGCTCTCTGAATCGCTTTGCCGCCACTGACCTTTGCAATTCATCCCGTTGCGCCGCTTTCCAAGCCCAACTGGCTAACCGTGCGTTATGCTAACAACAGCCCCAGAGTCATCGCAGACGACTGCGAATGATCCGGGCGACGTCTCGAAACCCAAAGATGATGCTCCGGCAGTTCGCTTTGCCTCTTCCATAGAGGAAATCTCGCCGTCCGCTGCAGCCCCCGCCCCGAGCCAAGACCAAGAAGACTATAGCTCCTTTGAGGTTGCTGCTGACGAGCTTAAACCATTCACCAAATCTCCGCAAGGTCGCCCTCTTCAAGAGAGGCGTATGAATACGTTCCAATTCGAAGCCTTTTCTCTCCCAACATCCAGAGTAAGTACATCGCTACGCGCTGTCGACGGCTGGATTTTTGTGTCACACAAATCTGACATAAAACCAATAAGGTTCCGTCCCGGGAAGACGAGTCGGCGGATTCAACGACACTCCCAACACCCAACTCTTCCAGCTTTCATTCACCCCATGGCAGCCCAAGGCTCTCTGCGTTGGCGTCCCCGCCTCTTACACCCGCCGGCTCGGGCCCGTCTACAGTGCCTGAGAAGAGAAATTCCAGAGGACCATACGACAAGAGTCCTAGCTCTGGCGACCCCCAGATAATCACTCCCCAGGCCTCGTCTTCGCACGATAAGTCCCCTGTGATTGAGGAGCGCAAGCAACTAACTCACCGGCCTGCTTCTTCAGACCATGTTATGAGACGGTCCTCCTCTGTTGAAGATCACAAGTCTCATAGAAGGGGCATGTTTGGTGTCGGCCCTGGCTCCGTTCCCGTCTCTCGAGAGTCCAGCCCGTCGCGAAGCTCCGCATCCAACTTCTATTCAAAGCCTGTCACACCTGGCGGGGACGCAAATGATCCATATGCCAAAGGAAAGCGACCTCCACAGAAATCGCACCCTACGCGGCACACAATTGACCCCCGCTTTGTCTTTTCCAGGAAGAAGAAGCATGGATCCCCAGGCAGCTCAAAGACGAGCCTTACTGATAAGCGTGCTTCAGGCGTGTTTGGCAAAAGTGAGGAACATCTCACTGTCGAGGGTGCAGGAGCTGGTACTGGCCACACTCCACAAGGGTCTATGGCGGATTTGAAGCGGTTTTTCAGAATGTCCGGCCATAGCCAACATCACCACAAGAAGAGGGATCAATCCCCTGCGTCAGGCACCAGAACGCCTCCGACATCTCGATCTGCGAACCAGCAACTTCCCTTCAGCGACGACCATGGTCTGTCGTCAAGATATGGCAAGCTTGGCAAGGTTCTTGGCGCCGGTGCCGGAGGATCAGTCAGATTAATGCGACGCAAGGAGGACAACACTGTTTTCGCAGTCAAAGAGTTCAGGGCCAGACATAGCTACGAGACGGAGAAGGAATATAACAAAAAGGTCACCGCCGAATTTTGCGTCGGTTCAACGCTCCATCATGGAAATATTATTGAGACTCTGGACATTCTCCAGGAGAAGGGGCGATGGTTCGAGGTCATGGAATATGCGCCTTTTGATCTATTTGCCATTGTCATGACGGGGAGAATGACTCGAGAGGAGATCCGATGTTGCTTCTTACAGATTCTAAACGGTGTAACCTACCTGCACAGCGTGGGACTTGCACATCGGGATTTGAAGCTGGACAATGTTGTCGTCAGTGAAAAGGGAATTATGAAGATTATTGATTTTGGCAGTGCCCATGTCTTCAAGTATCCCTTTGAGAACGACACTGTTCCTGCAAAAGGTATGTTTGGACTTGAACCCGAATTTTATGTCATGCCGTTGTATACTAAGTCCACATTCTAGGCATCGTTGGCTCTGACCCATATCTGGCCCCAGAAGTTTACGACGTGAAGGAGTACGATGCGGCGGCTGTAGACATTTGGTCGCTGGCCATCATTTTCTGTTGCATGACTTTGCGACGTTTCCCTTGGAAGATTCCGAGAATGACAGACAACTCTTTTAAGCTTTTTGCAGCTGATCCCACTCCCGGACACGACCCAACAAAACTCATTACGCACTCTAAATCAACTGGGAACTTGTCCAGCACAGTACCTAGGGAGTTCTTGACGGATGAGGATTTGAAAGAAAAGGGCCATCGCAATCACTCTCAGCATTCACACCACCAAGGTAATGGCCACTCCCATGGAAAAGAAAACGCAGAAGCTTCATCTACGGCCGAATCCCACAGCCAGCAGTCTCAAAACCAAGGCGCCGCAGGAGAACGCAAGGAAGTCATTCGCGGCCCTTGGAGAATTCTCAGATTATTGCCGCGAGAAAGTCGCCACATCATTCATCGCATGCTCGACCTTGACCCCAAGACTCGTGCCAAGATGGACGAAATTTTGAGCGAGTCGTGGGTTGCAGATACTGTTATATGCCAACAGCTAGAGAATGGCGAAGTCATCCCTGCCGAGGACCATACGCACGTGCTCGAGCCACCCGCCTCTCAGCAACAGCAGTCTAAGTCATAATGGATTCAATTTATGCGAAGGATCCTTACAATTTTGGAAACTAGGGAAGATTTGGATAATACCTTTACTCATGTGGCGTTTTGTTTTCTGGAGACAGGGGCCGGATCTCTGACAAAGATGGCTGGAATATTGATTTTGCATACCACAAGAACAAACCATAGGAAGCATTTAAGTGACACGTGGACAAGAGGAGCATAACCGACTTACAGGTGTGCCTCAGGGCATGGTACATAAGTCAAGAGCGATAAAATAAATAGCAATAGATATGTAGTTGAAGGGTTATTATCAATAATATGATATTTGTAAGTTTTCAATGAAACTGGGTTTCATGAGCAATCCGAGAATTTGCTACGTCACGATTCTACGTTGAGCCGTTGCTGGGTTGACTCGGTTGAAAGAGTCGCGGGTCGCCGGAACCGGGGAAATCAGGAGCCGGGCCATGTGGTTGCCAGCTCAGAAGAAAAAATTGCTGACTTTCTCGAAGCTGTTGGAAGAAAGAGCTCCACTTAACTTCAACAGCGATCACCAGCTTCGAAACCCCTTTCATCATCAACAATTGCCTCTCCCACGAACCCGGTGTACTTTGCGGACCTTGATTTATTCTAATTACAATGGTATGTATCATGCCCTATGACTGGACCAGTACCCGTGTAGTGTCTCAACAATCGTTGTGGCCGTTGGTGCAAGCATGGCGCCGGAGCTTGCATCTATGTCGGCAATGGCCGGGACAAAGCTCTCGATGGGTTCACGCATTTCCAAAATAGGACCCAAGGACTGACGTGTGCCTTTTCGTCTCACGTAGGCTACTTCAATTCGATCCATCCGAGCCCTCGCTCCTCTCCTGGACCGTGTCCTCGTCCAGCGCATCAAGGCCGAGGCCAAGACTGCCAGCGGGATCTTCCTCCCCGAGTCCAGCGTCGAGAAGTTGAACGAGGCCAAGGTCCTGGCTGTTGGCCCTGGAGCTCTGGACAAGGAGGGAAAACGCCTGCCCATGGGCGTCGCTGTTGGCGACCGTGTCTTGATTCCCTCTGTAGGTTACATCTGGACAAATTTGCTGAGGAGCTTGGAAAGAAACTGACTGGTGTCTCTAGTACGGCGGCTCACCCGTCAAGGCTGGCGAGGAGGAGTACCAGCTGTTCCGTGACAGCGAGTAAGTTGACCCTGCACGTGTTTTTACCTTTGATGTGACAAGATGTGCTTTTCAAGAAGGCAGTGACTAATATGCTTTGCTCGTTGCATAGAATTCTGGCCAAGATCAATGAGTAAAGTAAATACACTATACCCGCCAACGAATAACACGACTGTACCATATACTGTACCATAGGGAACAAAAGACGGTCGCAAAGTGGGATAGAAGAATGGCAACCTCTTTGCATGGGCTAGGGAGAGGAGCAAAATATGGGGTGGACATGACTGAGGTGGATTATTTGTGTGCCCGTGGTGAAGAAGCACGAAAAAGGGGGATTTCTCTAGTCTTGGGAGGACTTACACATTCAATCTCCACTCATGGCCTTGTACTGCTTGCACGTTTGAATATGCGATGAAACAAGTAGTTTCTTGTCAATTTTGTGGGCAAACCTTCAGTCCATTGTGCTTAAGCATGAATTGCCAAGTAGGTCAAAGCCGTGATAGGCTGGCGGTACCAGTTGCGACGCTTGCCAACGACTAGGGGCGGTGGAGCAGCAGAGCCTGGTCAAATTTAACGTGCCGCCCTGTCCCAGAGAGCAGCGAACAACAGGGAACGATTGGCCCTGGGGCGCCGTACCAGGTCAACTAAGCACGCTGTATTCTGTACCCTTGAACTTTAAAAACATGCTGGTCTGGTATCACGCGCAATGGTGGTTTTCGCTCGGCTACATCCATACAACGTGCCCTCCCAGGGGCAGGCCGATTCCTGGGCCCGGGCAATATTCGTCTATAATTGCGATTCGGTCAGGTACACGCGACCGATGATTGGTTTCTGATGGCATGGATTCACAGCGGCTATTGGAATTTGATACAGATCTTGTTCACTGCGCATGCGGCAATTATGCTTTGTTTCGAGCCACGAGTTGGGGCTTTGTCTGGGCCCGAGGATGTCCGTCTTTTTGGTGCCGGGCGATGGAGTATATAATTTGCCATTGTTCGCCTGGCATGCTCCGAGATGCGGTTCGTCACTCGTCCATTCATTTATGTTTTTGACCCTTTTTTCTTCTTCTTCTGCTTCTTCTTCTTCTTCTTCTTCTTGTTTGATTTTATTTTGCAAGGATCGTCCGATTCAACATGAAGTTCGGAGTCTTGGTACTCGCTTCGGCGGCGAGTGCTCACACGCTCTTTACCACTCTTTATATCAACGGGAAGAACCAGGGCGACGGAACCTGTGTACGGATGCCGCACGACAGTTCGACGGCCAACGGGCCGATATATCCCATTACGGGAGACGACATGTCTTGTGGTAGGTTTGCAAATGCTGCTTCTGCTTCATCAACTTTTCTCTTTGTTCTAATGCATTCTTCGTGTGTCATTAGGGCGTGACGGTAACAATGCCGTTGCTTTTACTTGTCCCGCGCCGCACAATGCCACTCTGACGTTTAAATTCCGGGAGTGGACTGACGGCAGTAATTCTCGGGTTATCGCACCAGAACACAAGGGACCTTGTTCGGTGTACCTGAAGAAGGTCGACGACATGTATGCCAACAACTCTGCCGCCGGGCCAGGTTGGTTCAAGGTCTGGGAGGACGGCTACGACTCTGCCTCGGGCCAGTGGTGCGTGGACAAGCTTATTGACAGGGAGGGCCTTCTCTCTGTGCGTCTGCCGGAGGGCCTGCCGACAGGCTATTACCTCGTCCGTCCAGAGATCTTGGCCCTACACAACGCTGTTCAAGGGGACCCGCAGTTTTATCTTGGCTGCGCACAGATCTACGTGCAGCAGGGACCTGACGGCCCTCTGCGCATACCGGACGAATTCAATGTGTCGATACCGGGACACGTGTCTGCGGACACGCCTGGTCTCACGTTCGACATATACAAAAAGCCGCACGGGGAGTATCCGATTCCGGGGCCGAAGGTGTTTATCCCAGAGGCCAAGTCATTCTCGCCAAGTCGGAGCAACCAAACAGAGGGCGCCATCCCGAAGGACTGCGTCGTGAAGAACGCAAATTGGTGCGCCAAGCCCGTGCCGGGCTTTTCGACAGAAGAGGGCTGCTGGGCGTCGGTGAAGGACGGTTGGGATCAGGCCCAGGCGTGTTGGGACTCTGTGCCTCCCAGCGGCGATGCCAACTGCAAGACGTGGCAGGATTATTGCAAGGAGCTGGAGACTCAGTGCGGCTCGGGGGACTACGCCAATGGCCCCGTGGAGTTGAAGGGCAATGACACGATGACGGATTTGTTAGGCGAGGATCTCGGGATGTGGAATGATGTATTCACGGAGACGGGGAAGACTGGAGCCAAAGACTCACGGAGACATGTTTTGTAGTCGTGTAGTGCTCGGCGGATGTGTTGGTGTTTCTATTGTACGTACAATAGTGCAGCTGGCCTGCGTTCCACACGCCAAGGAAGCCGGCTGAATGACGGCTTATCAATATGAATGAGTTACGCATGTATGTATGTATTGTGCTGTCCAGCTGTGAAATGCGTCTCTGGACACGTATTGACGTCGAATGGGGCCATTGACTGATTATCGTAGAGCCATTGTGGGATCGAGCAGGACCAGGCACGACGACCGGTTCGCCTCATTCGCACGCCGTCATGGGCGCGCAGCTGGTCTTGGGTTTCTGGAATCCTTTAGCCAGCAAGCCGGGCGGCGCATCGGGCCTTCAAACGTTCCATGTTGCAACCCCCAATGCCAGAGCGCAGGCCCTTTTGTTGCTTTGGACGTGGTCTCGCCGGCAACCCGAGACTGTCTGGTGTGCTTTCTTGAAAGTTCTTTAAGCCTTCAAAAGCTTATCTCTGTCGAACCCCTAATGCCTCTTTGTTCCTCCGCCCCCTCAAAGTGCGGCACGTTGCGCTAGCATTGAACACTGAATCCACATCTTCCCATCGACACGGGCAAGTGACAAGTACCCAGGTGCATATTTGTACAGTGCTGTACCTACAATTAGGTATTAGGTACCTAGTAGGTAGCCTTGGCCCCTCGGGCAGTACCCGAGTCTAACAATTTGACCTTTGGAAAGTCCCGACGTAATCGCTACATGTAGAGGTCTCCGCCTAGAAACCCGCCCGCCACTCCAAAACCGCTTGAACCACATCACCGCCACTAAACGCCCCTGCCTCGTCTCGGCCTGCTGTTCCCCTTTCCTCCTTCAGCTCGCAACGTACGACTTTGCATCTCGCTCGCCGCAACCACAATTCCTGGCTGGCCATTACAGCCTCGTCGTCCTCGTCACCCGCGTCACCGCCCCCCTGCCGACACTCTCCGCGAGACGACGCTGCAGCGCTCGTAATCTGTCACCATGGTGAATAATCGCAACTACGACTTCCTGGTACGCCATGTCCTCCTCCCAAACCCCATCAGCTCTCCGTCTCGGCCCCTGCGCATTTTGCTTTCTGCCGCCATGACGGACCCTCGGAAGCCAGCACGTGTCTGCAATTTTAATCTGGCGCGGCTTGGCAGTTGTGACTATTTTGCATGCCTGTGACATCAACGCGTACTGACCTGCTCCCGCTGTAGATTAAGCTGTTGCTCATAGGCGACTCCGGCGTCGGAAAGTCCTGCTGCTTGCTGCGCTTCAGCGAGGACTCCTTCACCCCGTCATTCATCACCACCATTGGCATCGATTTCAAGATCCGAACTATTGAGCTCGATGGGAAGCGCGTCAAGCTACAGATATGGGACACTGCCGGCCAGGAGCGATTCCGCACCATTACCACTGCCTACTACCGCGGTGCCATGGGCATTCTGCTAGTCTACGACGTCACTGACGAGCGATCATTCAACAGTATGCCTCCTCAAAACCCCTTTCCCCCCTTTTTTATGATCCCTTTGTTGGCCCGTCTTTACGTGCAATATTGGGAAAGGGATCTGAGAGCCCTGTGAGCCTTCTTGAGGATCGTCGCTGTTCAACACACCCAAGCTTTACCCAAACACCGCCTGACACAGCGCACCTGACCCAAGAAGGAAGCTGACAACCCGTTTCTCCAGATATCCGAACCTGGTTTCAAAATGTTGAACAACACGCCACCGAAGGTGTCAACAGGATCTTGATTGGTAACAAGTGCGACTGGGAGGATAAGCGAGTAGTATCAACAGAGCAGGGCCAGGCCTTGGCTGACGAACTTGGCATCCCTTTTCTCGAGGTCTCAGCGAAGAGCAATATCAACATCGACAAAGCTTTCTACAGTTTGGCCGCAGATATCAAGAAGCGTCTTATCGATAGCTCCAAGAACGACCAAGCGACCGGTACCGGCGTCAACGTTGGTGACAAGACCGACGCAGGTGGCAGCAAGTGTTGCTAGCTGTCCACACATGACAACGAAAGTGTTGGCGCTTTCCTGCGGGCGTGCAAACACAGATACAGACACAGACACCGACACCGACACCGACACCGACAGATACTACTAAACAAACAAACCAGTCCGCTTACGCGAATGTTTTGCAGGCGGAAACGAAAGTCTCTCTATTAATCAAGCCCCGGATGTCACACGTGTGTGGGACAGAGAAGGGGGGATATGCTTCTGAGGCGGTTGGGCTATACTAAACGATTTCTAGAACCTTGTCTCTGTGTTTCGCCTTTTCCACCAAACTGTCTTTCTAGAAGAGTAAATGTGGTCAGGAGTTCTTTTTGGTATTTTTGGTCTGGGTTCTAATGCGAGGTTTTGTCACCCCCGCCGTTGTTTAATGGTGTCGCTTGAGGGGGGCTGGGGGATCTCGATACCTGTGTCAGGGGAATTGCCGTACAATGAAGGCGCGAGGAGTAATATTCGAAACAGCGACTGCACGCGATTGTTCCCCAGGTGGACTTTCGAATGTTGCGGGCGAGCCGGCGGATACTATAAACAAGAAGGGGAACGGAGACGGGCAAAGCATTGGAAGCAAAGTACATGGAGGATACAGATTGGGGGGAGGACAAGACACGGCAAAGGTTGGGGAGGGGGAAAGCTTAGTGAATAGTGCGGGCGGCTACCAGTTTATTATTGATGCATGAACTATATTCCTTGTCAATGCCTCTGCATCCCCCGGGCCAGCCGTGAGGATTCTTTGATTCCAGTGCCGATGAAAGCGACGTGCCTCTGCGTCGTTGGCGCAAACCACGACAAATCGACTCTTGAGCCTTTCCCGGACATTAATATCCCATGTTGTGCGCGACTGCGCGTCCACGGCAGCGGGCGCATCGACGGCGGCCGGCAGCAGCCCCTGCGGCGGACATACTTTCCACTCGCAACCCCTCGACGACCCGTCCTCCGTAATATGCCTGGCCAGATCGCCGGCCGTCAGCGTCGGGGGGTAAACGTGGACCAGCACCACCGGCGGCTTCTCCCCGTGGCCGAGCTTGCCCACGATGCCGGCCAGTTTCTGCGCCCACTTGTTGCCCCCTGTTACGCGTCGTCTCTGCACGTCCACGGTCCGCTGCGTGCCAGAGGTCACCGTGTACGCGTCCAGTTCCGCGGCCGGGTCCTCGCCCGCGGGCGATTTCAAGTGTCTCGGCGTGGAGCTCTCCCAGAGGCCGCCCGGGGAGCGGATTTTGTGATGGGCGAGTTTGTGGAGGCGGAGGAGGCGGTCACGGTAGGATATTGCGGCTGCGGAGGTGGAGAATGATATGTGGTAGCGGCCGAGGGGTTCGAGGGTCGTGGGATTCCGTTGCTGCTGGACTGAGGTCAGTGAGTCGGATGTTTTGTGCCTGTATTCTGTATTTTTGGGAGGACGAGGCGCGTACCTCTTTTGATGACGCTCTGCCAGGAGGAGAGGTCGTTGGGCGCGAGGCGGTAGAAGTCGCTGGCGTTGAGGTGAGGGCTCAGGCCGTGGAGGATGAGCATGAGGCGGGAGTCGGGTTTGGGGGAGGCGGGTGACGATGCCGTTTCGGCTGCGGGAGGTGTTTGTGGCTGTCGGCTTTTGAGGCTCTCGATGAGGGACGTGGCGCCGCTGTGGATGGTGTCTTGGTGGTTTGAGGGCCTGGCTCGTTTCTTGAGGAGAGGCCATTGGGGGTCGGCTTGGGCCGGGGTTGTGGATGAGATGGTGCGGCTTGCGATGGAGGACGAGGGCGCGAGGGCTGTCGCGGCGCGACGAAGCCCTGGGGGTCGAATCATTGGCATGGTGTTGAGGGTATTTGCGCCATTGGGGGGTCGGGGATTGCGACGATGTGGTCGAGACTCGAGACGCGCGAGGACGGGTTGAAGCTCGAAGCGAGGTTGAAGGGTGCCGTGCGTGGGTGGGGACCCTTTTTTATCTGAGGACGTCACTTCCCTTCTTAAAAAAAAAAATATGAGGCCAGTCTAAACCCCACTATAAGTGTAAGTTGGGCATATTGTTCGTTACTATTCCGACATTGCTTCCTGGGGTTGGTGTTAAACGTAACATGATTGCGGTGCGAGAGATAGAATCTGTACATGGATCAGGTTTAAATACGACTTCAGAGGCGAAACAAGACTCCCTCGACGCTGGCGGCCACGCACCAAAAGAGTGGTTCTAGAGTCCCGACGGCACTTGTATAAAATTTCAACATTTCACTTCACTTCACTTCACAACCCGCAACCTACCACCGGGTCACAAGACTCGCCAGCTCCAGCAAGCGCTCGTTCCCGGCGCAAATCACTGCATTCCAAACTCGAACCTGTCCTTCCCCCTCCCATGGTGAAGAAAAGCATCGACGCAAAAGTGCGTCCGCTCGCCAACCCGGCCCTCGAAAAGGCGAGCCTCCTCGGCGCCGCCCGCCTCTACGTCAGCAAGGAATCCCTCATCGCGCTCACCAATGGCCTGGAAAACGGCAGGCCATGCGTCGTCGAGAAGCTGGAGGACCCGGCGCAGTGCCCAGTCAGAAGGGAAGCCTCACTGTGGATTCTGCCCGAGAAGAACCTCAGCCCCAACGTGGTCATGATGACGAGGGCGTTTCAGGAGGCGACGGGCTTCAGGATTGGCGACCAGGTGCGCATCTCGCTGCTGGAGAGCATGCCGGAAGTGGACGAGGTGGTTGTGCAGGACGTCAGTGAGCAGCAGCAGCAGCAGCAGCAGGCCAAGGACGGCGGCGGCGCAAGGCATGCCGCCTGTTGGGAGTTTTCCTTGAGTCTGTCCATGGGTGGGTTGCCTTTTTTTCATGCCTCGTCGTTTTAACGAAACTGGCTTGTGTTGGGCTGACTGATTGTGAAAACGTAGAGCGTGCCGACTTGATTTTCCCGGGCATGGTGTTTGAAGGCGTCAATATCAACAAGTTGCGGCGCTCGTTTAAAGTCGTCTCGGTCAACTCGCACACAAACAACATTGCCAAGTTTAGCATTTCCTCATCAACGATCCGCATCCTGTCAGAGGGAGATGACTCCGCCGCTGCAGACGAGTCAGAAGCCTTCACGGGCGGTGAGTTGGCCGTCACCGGCGTGCCTGGCCTCGCCGCGCAAGTCAGCACCATCAACCGCTTCCTCAAGGGGTTCACTCGGCCGTTCTGGGTCAAGGATGAGCGCGAATCGTGCGCCTTTGCCATCCACGGCGGACACGGCACGGGCAAGACCTTTATCCTGCAAAAGATTGCCGATGCAAGATGGGGGCGGCCGTTCTGGATCAGACCCCCCGACAAGCTGGCCGCCATTCGGGAGACGTTCAAGCAAGCACACACCCTCCAACCAAGCGTCATCCTCATTGACGGCCTAGAAGACCTCATTTCCAGGGACAGACCGAACCGGGACTCTGTCATCGACGCCATCGGCGAGGAGCTCGACGCCCTGTCCGCCGAGGCCAGAGCCCGCAACGCCCTCCCTCAGGTCGTCGTCATGGCCACATGTCTGGACTACATGACCGACGTGCCTGCCAAGCTCCAGAAACGCTCCCGTTTCAGAGAGAACATTGCTCTCCCCATCCCCAGGGCCAGCGAACGTCTCGAGATTCTCAACTTCTTCGACCCGCCGGTCCACCCCGCCGAGAAGAGGGCGTGTCTGGACAGCCTGGCGCAAAAGACGCATGCTTACAACGGCGACGATTTAGCAAACTTGGTTTTGAACGCCAAGAAGATTCTCGGCAACAGGCTCGACGAGGAGGGTCTCGATCCCCGTACGGGGGGGGGACAATTCCTCTCCAAGGATGATATGGAGCAGGCATTGAGGATCACGAGGCCCACGGCTATGCACGACATCAACCTGAAGCCGCCGACTATTCACTGGCAGGATATAGGTGGCCAAGAGAGTCTCAAGAAGGTCCTTAACCGCATGATTAAAAACACCAAGGTTCGTCGCTCCTCATCTCTCCCTACCACACACACACACACACACCACAACTACATCCACACTAACAAACCCAACCAACCGTCTGCAGAACACCAACCCCTCAAGCCGACACGTCCTCCGCAACCCTCCAAAGGGCCTCCTGCTCTACGGGCCGCCGGGCTGTTCAAAAACGCTCTCCGCGCAGGCCATGGCCACCGAGTCCGGGTTCAACTTCTTCGCCGTCAAGGGCGCCGAGCTGCTCAACATGTACGTGGGCGAGTCGGAGCGCGCCGTCCGCACGCTGTTCGAGCGGGCGCGGGCCGCCTCCCCGTCCATCATCTTCTTCGACGAGATCGACTCCATCGGCGGCCAGCGCGGCCCGGGCTCCAGCTCGTCGGGCGGCCCCCGCTCCGCCGGCGCTGTCAACATGCTCACCACGCTGCTCACCGAGATGGACGGCTTCGAGGCGCTGACGGGCGTCCTCGTCCTCGCCGCCACCAACCGCCCCGAGGCGATGGACCCGGCGCTCATGCGGCCCGGCCGCTTCGACCAGGTCCTCTACGTCGGCCCGCCCGACCACGCGGCGCGCGAGGCCGTCTTCAACGTGCATCTCAAGGGCCTGGCCCTTGCCGACGACGTCGACGTCAGGGAGGCGGCGCGCCTGGCCGACGGCTATTCCGGCGCCGAGATCAAAGCCATCTGTAACGAGGCCGGGCTGGTGGTGCTGGACCGCTACGACGACGACGAGACGGGCACGGCCAAGCTGGAGATTGGCATGGACGACTTGGTGGCCGCCATGGAGAGAACCCCTAGGAATATTACGAGTTTCATGATTAGCGGCTATGAGAATTGGTCAAGGCAGTTTAGACGCAAGTAGACAAGGGGGGTTGTGAGAAGAGAAAAGCTGTGCTTTATACGAACCTCATGATCAAGTTCATATCTGCGGGAACGAGCTACATTTTACGGCTGGCCCTCGCCGACATGCTATAATGAATTACATGGGAAAGAACGTGGGAACAGTGGCCAAATAGCATTTTTCACGGTGCAGGTTTATACTTTGTGCAAGATTTTTTTCTTTTTTCTTTCTTGCCACTTGAATAACACACACATCACATCGCTTCCAGTGGAACTGTGAGGCATCATCATAGCCAATGACTTGTCCATTGTCCGTCGTCGTCGTCGCCCAGACCGAGGAGGGTACGTATTCATTCATTTTGCCTCCCCCCC